TACCTACTCCTCGGCGAAGCCAAGCCCTTGACGATGAGGCCAGCAAAAAGAGGGGTTGCATACGTTGCAATCACGGTGTATTTTGTATTTCCCCGGCCTCTTGCCTCGGTGCAGCTTCGCCTTTCTCCTTTGGATTCTTCTATATATTGTTCATCGAATGACCATCTAGACAGAACGTTTCATTGAAGCTTCGCAACACAGCTCCTCAAATCATGGGTTCGATTATTGATTATTCTCAATTCAAGATTCCCACGCACTGTAAAGCGGGGGTGGTGGTAAATGAAGGCCCCGATTTCCACGTCGAGGTACAGATGGTGCCTGTGCCACAACCAGGTAGGAACCCAATCTTTATTGGATTGTCAAATATTCCAGTACACACAAGTCGACAGTCACTGATGCTCTTGTGTAGGCCCCGACGATGTTTTGATCAAGCTGAACTACACTGGACTTTGCTCGTCCGACATTCACATGATGCAAGGAGACTTAGGTCTGCCGTTCATGTCAGCCTTTGGTGTGCGATCTCCGGGGCATGAGGGTGCAGGTGTAGTGGTCAAAGTCGGAGCCAACGTGAAGACTTTCAAGTTGGGCGATAGAGCTGGAATCAAACCGATGATGGATACATGCGGTTCCTGCGCACTTTGCTGGGATGATAAGGAGACATACTGCAAGGGCGCAATTCTCACTGGTCTGATGACGGCAGGTGAGGCTACCTTAGATAAATTCTAACGGTCTGGATCGCGGCTCATCATTTCAGGTACCTACCAGCAATACTTGGTATCACCGGCACGATATGCATCCCCAATTCCAGATGGTGTCCCCGACGAAATTGCCGGCCCAATTATGTGTAGTGCTAGCACTATCTACCGATCTCTGATTGAGTCTAACCTGCGATCGGGAGCTTGGGTTGTTTTCCCGGGTGGCGGCGGCGGTGTGGGGATTCAAGGTGTACAGCTGGCCAAAGCAATGGGAATGCGTCCGATCGTGGTGGACACGGGAGCATCCAAGCAAAAATTGTCGCTTGAGATGGGAGCAGAAGCCTTTGTGGATTTTAAAGAGGTTGCCGATCCCACCAAAGCTGTTATTGAAATTGCCGATGGGGTCGGGGCTCACGGGGTGCTTGTGACAGCCCCCGCTGCTTATAAAACAGCAGTTTCATTTATCGGAGACCGGATTGGAGGCATTGTGATGTGCATTGGTCTTCCTGTTGCAGGGTCAATGACGATAGGAGCCGATCCCTGTCAATATGTCTTCAAGAATCTTACCATCAAGGGCACACTTGTCGGTAGCCGGAGTGATACTGCCATGGCGTTGGATTTCGCACGGCGAGGGGCTCTACGGCAAATTAGTGAAGTGTATCCAGTGAACCGTATGCCCGAGGCTGTGGAGAAACTACGCAAAGGGGAAGTGGCTGGACGGATTGTGATCAATTTCAACTGGGAGGAGTAGATGGGTAAAAGATATATATATATCCCGGATTTGTCTTCAAACCGTTCTACAAATCATATGCTCCTTCAATCCACCATTAATTAGATAAATGATAGATTTCCTGTGGCATACCTGGCTTCAATTTCATCTATTTTCATCTGCTTGGTGCAAAGTATATCATGCATGACGGTATTAATTAGTTCAATAAAAAAGGAAAACAGAAAAGAAATGCAAAAAGAAAATGCTCACACTCGGAGTCGAACCGAGGATCTCATGATTACTAGTCATGCGCTTTACCACTAAGCCATGCGAGCTGATTGGTGATAACATTAACGATAAAAGAGCTCATAGAGATGATCAAGGCAAGACATTTGGAAATAGAAAGAAAAAGCAAAAAAAGTGGACTCGCGGGGAATCGAACCCCGGACCACTCCCATGCTAAGGGAGTATTATACCACTAAACCACAAGCCCAGTTTGATGGAAGATTGCAGCATTTAATGTATCATAGTCCTAAACTAACTTATTTACTACATCCAAGTAACTAGGCCCATCAACCGACCCTCAGTGCTCCTTACCCGAGGTCGAAATTCCAACAACCTTTCAACGTATATCCCTCGTTATACATGGAAAATTCCATTCCACAACTTCAGCCGCTTCTTCTGCCGTCTATCTATGAAGCTGAAGAAGGCGGCCAAAATATCTACAAAAGGGACATCTCAAAAGACTCCTAAAAGGATGTCACAAGGCCGCATAAGCGGCCGAGTATCCTTGTTATGATAACGTTAAATACTGGGTGCAACTGTGCCTGAGGGATCTACATGGCATTCTCCTCACGAGGGGGCACCACTACGGAGTATTATCTGCCCGAGAGGGTACAATATGGACGCGTTGAAATGACGTGAAAGCCAAATGTAGCGAAAGTGTTGTCAATCTCTCGGGTTAAAGTTTCGATTCATCTGGATAAATATCCGGCTCGACCTTCTTTCCCCAAATTTACCATGGAGATCTGCAGGTGCACAATGTGGAGAAGCCGGGGAAATTTAACTCCTCACTAACTACGTCTTCTGTGCTGCCAATCAGCACTCTTGAAAGCTAGCTACGTGACGCGGTGGCACTGAGCATTTCAATTGACTTAATTTGAGTTCGACGCCATACATCTAGTACTGTTCCCATGGGCCGACAATTAGCCGGCACACCCACTGACGTCTGAGGGGAAATCGTTACTTGAAAAGGCCGCTTCCTGCGTGTAAAACAGAAAATTTGTCTATTAGTTTCTCCAGAAATGCGGACACCCTTTATTTCCCTTGCAGCTTTGGCTGTGGCTACACAGGCACAGGAAGTATACTTGACAACAACCGGTTACTCGGCTCGACCACAATGTACACAATCGAGTGTAGCCCCTAATTACCACTTCCAGCCCTTCTCTTATACTTTGAATGAAACAGTTCGGTAATAAATACATAGGCCCTATTTACACCATCCCTTGCTAATTAAATTATGAGATATGCAACCTCGGTTCCTTCCCCGACAACAACACGGAGATATGCCCCGCCCTATACAGATGCAGCCAAGCATTTGACCACCAGCTGGTCGACTTCAACCTGGGGCAGTTGGGTTCCAGAACAAACTATTATCAGTGCCACTGACACGAAGGACCCATATGGACAAGCTGCATGGTCCTCGATGTGGCTACAGGCGGATCTTCACAACTATGTATGTCAGGTGCTATGGGATTTCTTCTTTTCAAAATCACGTTGATGCTCACACCATTAGACCACCACTGGGTTATTCTCGACAACTGTCAGTCCTACACCCGTGTCTAGCAGTGAGCTGATCTTGCCACCGCGCGACTATTTTGGTCCCACAGACTGCTATAATTTCCCCAGAGATTTTGTGTTTGGCGTTGCAGGGAGCGCAGCCCAAATTGAAGGTGCAATTGGGTTGGATGGTCGAGGACCTTCGTTGTTGGAGAAATTGGTATCCGACAGCAAGCCGAAGGACTATGTCACCAACGAAAACTATTTCTTGTATAAGCAAGATATACAGCGACTGGCAGCGATGGGTGTGGAGTATTACAGCTTTACAATTCCCTGGACGCGTATTCTGCCTTTTGCTCTGCCAGGAACACCTGTCAATCAGCAAGCAATTGATCACTATAATGACTTGATTGACACAGTCCTCGACGCAGGAATGACGGTAAAACTCCCAAATCTCTCAATATTTTTTCCACTCAAGTTCTATTGTCCTGACCCTCATTACAGCCAGTGGTTACAATGCTTCATTTCGACAGTCCATTAATGTTTGTCGCCAGCGACAATATCACGAAACACCCAGACATTGGCTACAACAATGCCGGCTATCAAAATGAAACTTTTGTAGACGCATTTGTCAACTATGGAAAGGTATGATTTCTATCCCACGAGTCATCAGCCCTCATGCAAGTCTGACATGGCTTACTTCCCAGGTTCTGCTTTCTCATTATGCAGACCGAGTCCCAATATGGGTGACCTTCAATGAACCCCTGCTCTATGCATTCAATTTCAAAGGAGCGGACCACGTTGTTAAGGCACATGCTCAGGTCTACCACTTCTATCATGATACATTAAAGGCTACAGGAAAAATTGGGATAAAGTTCAACGATAACTTTGGAGTGCCCAAAGACCCGAAAAATTCTAGCCATGTCCTGGCAGCTGATCGTTTCCAAGAAATGCAGCTGGGTATCTTCGCGAATCCAATCTTCTTGGGTAAACAATACCCAAAATCTGTGTTAGAAACACTCCCCGGAGCCAAGGCCTTGAGCAAATCCGAACTGAAGCACATCCACAACACATCCGACTTTTTTGGGATCGATCCGTATACCGCTACGGTGGTATCTCCTGCCGATGAAGGCATCAAGGCTTGCGCTGTCAACCGATCAAGCTCGAATGAGCTTTTCCCATATTGCGTTAAGCAAGAAACAAAGAATGTCTACGGGTGGAACATTGGGTATCGCTCCGAATCCTACGTCTATATCACACCAACGCATTTCCGAGAGTATCTCTTCTACTTGTGGAACACTTTCCGAAGCCCAATTCTGGTGTCAGAGTTTGGATTTCCGGTACACGCAGAAGCGGAACTGGAGGAGCTCTCTGATCAGCTTTTCGACTCTCCACGCAGCGCTTATTATCTTTCCTTCATGTCTGAGATTCTTAAGTCGATCTATGAAGATGGTGTGCATGTTATGGGAGCCCTTGCTTGGAGCTTTGTCGACAATTGGGAATTTGGAGACTACACGCAGCAATTTGGCATTCAAGCGGTCAATCGCACAACCCAGCAGCGACACTACAAGAAGAGCTTCTTTGACTTGGTTGATTTTGTGAAAACTCGACAGCCAAACAAAGACTGAGGTGGTCCACAGCAAATGTCAGGCAGCCAGTGATAAATCTAGGGTAGACTTGGTGAACGAGAAGATCGAATTGCGTTTCTTACAACAACAGTATATTGTAATGCGAAATTAGTGTTCTCCTCTGTGAGTTATAAAGTAATTGACATTTTCCCGATTCTTTGTTATGGCCTCTTTCCTTGCTCTGCCTAATCACCAGGGGATCTCTTTGCCATCATACTGATTCCGACCCTCTCGCGTCTCCCATCCAGGAACATGTATGTTCACAAATTTTCCGTTTTGCTCTGGCGTTGCCTTTTGTATGATATCCAAAACCTTCTCGGCACCTAGTTCAACCGGAAGATCTGCTCGCGAGCTACCAAGGTCAGTGCGAAGCCACTTTTGATGTTAGCCAAGTCCTAGAAATTTGCGGGCAACAAATAATGGAAAAGGCTTGACTCACACCAGGACTGATCGCAAGAAAGGTGAAGCCGTCATCTGCATATTGCTGGGCATATTGCACGGTGAGCATGTTTAATGCGGCCTTGGAGATCTTATACGCCGGTGACAACAGGGGTCGAAACGCATCAGCCATAGCTATGGAGCCTAAAGTGGTTGATCTTGTGTTTGGGTCAGCTTCTTATGGTGGTATAAAAAAGCTCGTCTAGTTTTGTTCTAATGTTCTCACATGTTGATCACTGTTTTCTTCTCGCCTTTGCGCAGAAGTGGCAGGAAAGCGCGCGATACAAGATGTGGCGCAGTAACATTGACATTGAACGTCTCGTTTAGATTGTCCCTATAAAATCAGTACCATAGCAAACCCTCTGAGAATATATCCAACTTACATTCCTTCCAGTCCCGTTGTGGACCAGTCACTCACTCCCGCGTTGTTGACTAAATAGTCAAGCCCTTTGCCTTGCAGCTGGCGCTCTACTGCCGCCACACTATCTTTCACACTAGTTTCATCAGTGACATCTAGCTTGACGATCTGCACTCGCCCTGATGAAGCACTTGCAATTTCCTTCAATCGAGCAGAATTGTCCTGGCGCGCGGTGGCGATGATTGTCCCCACCTCGGTTTTGGGCAATGTCGCTAGGCGGGTGATCAGCGCCAGCCCGAGCCCTCGAGAAGAGCCAGTCACTAGGTACGACGCCATGGTTGGAGGTGATTCACAGAGCAAGTTGATGGTAGTATAGAATGGGAGGTTTGAAGTGCAATGATTGTAGAAAATATGATGGGGAACGTCCCAGAATATGCTTGATGTACCTGAGTAGACATCCACGGACATATCGATATTATCTCCATTAATCTCCGGTCGGACATTCTGTTGGATTGACGTTGTTTATGATTTGGAAAAAGAAGCAGTGTCATGTAGGGCTATGGATATATATATTGCGCTTTGTGGTCGAGGTTTCCCATTCTAATTACTTTTACAGCCCTGTGAAGCTTAATTACTGCAAGCCACGAATATTCCTGGTATTTTCAGGATAGAAATAGAAAATAAAAATACAACGTTGACATAATGGAGGAACAAGTCAACTGCAGTTTTTTATCTCAATGCCAGAGGCGATCACGTGCGACTTACGTCACCGAATTGAGGTCCCGAGCAGGTCGTCCACTTGTTCCTCTTTCCTTTCCTTCTCAAGCCATTGGTTTTGCTAAGCTTCGCAGAGGGGTGGATTTTTAGGTGGATTGACGCCATGGCTGACTCTTTCACCCTGCCTTTGCGCCCCATCCCTGAGAAACGTGATCGTCCAGATACCTTGCCTGTGGAGATCGCGCAAATCAACAATCAGTGGGGCTCATTTCGCGAGGTGAATGAAGATGTTCTTCGGAACAAGATTGTCGAGGAGGAAGAAAAAGATGGACTGGATGAGGTAGACGAGAGTGACCAAGATGCAACCGATCTTGATTCGACGGAGCGCTTGGAGCAACTGTACAAGCGGCGTGCCGAGATCACTCAGTTCGCCATGTGAGTCTAATGGTATTGGAGCCATTCCCTCAGCGCACGAGAACTGACATTTTTTTAGGCAAGCCCACATGGAGACCATGTTTGCCCTCGATTTCGTCTCCCTTTTGCTCTCCAAGCAGGCCCCGCGCCAGGCTGAAACCTCCATGTCGGCCTTCCTCAAGCAAGTCGCACCTCTCGGTTCGCTCAATGCCGAGGTCGTGAACCCTCCCCCGAAGCCGGAATCCACAACCAAAGATATATCAGCAGTATCAAGAGGATGGCGGATCCAAAATTTCAACGCGGCCGCAAACAAGCTTTTACAAGCTGCCTCCAGACTTGAAACTGAAGTCGCGTCGGAGACTCGATATTGGAATGAGGTGCTGGCTGTTAAGGATAAAGGATGGAAAGTTTCCCGTCTCCCACGCGAAAAGCAAGCGCTAGGGGTGCAATATGGGTTCCTTGAAGGTGAGCGCGTACCGACATGACATTGATACCGCAGAAAGCATGTGCTGACCACAACCAACTACAGCCACGCCGGTTTTCCGCGACCGCGGTCTTGCTTCCCTAAGCCGAGCCGAGGATGGAGCTTTGCTATTGGATGAAGGATTGATCCCATCCAAACCCCGTTTTGTTAGGGTACGAGTGATACAGGATGGTCGACTTTCGGGAAGCTCTAAACCGACCCGTTCCACTTTCAACGGTGACGGATCGATTGAGGATCGTATTCTGCAAGCGCGTGATACTGTTTATGAAGAGGAGCTCTTCCATGAGCTAGTTCGAGAAGCTCGAGCGATTGCGAGCTTTGGCGTGACGACACGCCAGAATCTCATTCAAATTCCTGCTTCCGATGATCTTGAAATATTACTGGACTTGGTTGATACCGATGAAGATACCTCGGAACCCGAACATCATGTCTCACAGCAAGGAACCTCTCTTGCAGAGGGCTTGGCACATACAATCCGGATATTATTGGCGTACGCCCACCGTCAAAACTTGCGTCGTCGGACTCTACTTCCGCCGCCTTTGACCCCGAAAATGCGATCTGTTCCTGAGCACCACCTTATTCGGCCAGCTCTCGCTTACATCAAGCACATGTCTAATGTACGCTGGCTTCAGTCATTACTGAACGACCTTTTCGGTGTTTTGCAATCGGCAAATTTGAAACCTCCAGCGTACACCGCAAGGGTCTTTTCGACAGGGAGACGGAAACAAACCTCTACTGCTCCAGCAGTGGAGACTCTCGTTGGGGAATTTCTTACTCCCTTGCTGTCTACATTCAATGGGAAAATTTTGACACCTCTGGGTTCTTTCTCAATCGCTATTCACACCAACCTTTCCTCACCACCCTTCGGCACCACCTTTGATGTGTCATTCAATATGCCCAAGTACCAGGACCTTGAGTCTCCTGGTAAACTTTATCAAAGGGAAGAAGTGGAGGCCGCCATCACCCATCTCTTGTTGCTTGATGTTGTTTTCACAGTCTCATCCAACAGCGGTTCATCAAAGTCCGAGTCTGACAAGGACAACGCGAAACATACTTGGGAAGCGATTTACCCTCAACATGGTGAACTTCTAATCCCCTCCAAATCAGAAAAACGAAAGAAGATGAAGATTGCTCTGTCTCGTCATGAATTGTCTCTCGAGATCTACACCGTGCGCTGTATCGACGGAACCGGGCGCGGGAATTGGGAAAAGCCCTCTCACCATTCAATGCCGCATACTTGGACATCATCTCCTATCGCTGGGTCACCCCAGGAGCCTTCTTTGATGGATTATGTGTCCAAACAGGTGTCACAGTCGTGACCCACAGAGAGCGCAGATTGGTATCGGGCCGAACCACTCCACTCTGGCCCGCCTTGAACCGATAATCGATGCCCGATCTTCAATCACAGGGCTTGTGGTTTAGTGGTATAATACTCCCTTAGCATGGGAGTGGTCCGGGGTTCGATTCCCCGCGAGTCCATGTCTTTTTGTTTCTGAAAATTTTTGCGTGAAGCAAAAAGTCGTGATAGCTCGCGAGGTGAAGTGGGTCGAAGCAAATTTTTTTTTAAATCACCGTCTTCTTTCGAAAAATTCATAATAGACAGAAACTTGAATACCCTGTACAAATCATGACCCCAAAAGCTGAATTTAAATGCAATTCCGTTTTGAAAAATTTTCTTACAACTTCGAACTCAGTGCATTGACGGCCCCTGGGACTGTGAGAGTCTCTCGGAGTCTCTTTTCGCCCAGTCCATATGCAACTGGGAGCCAATCACTGACATCCTCACCCAAAATCATCAAAGCCAACGCCTCGCCACTCATCAGGCTGTTTGCCATACCATATCCATTGAATGCAGCGGCAATCCATTCGCCATCACCCTCCCGACCTGTCAGCGTCGGCGACAATCTTCCGACCATTGGCAGACCGTCAGAGGAATAACCCATAATTCCACTCCACGAACTGACCAGACGCCAATCGGATCTGTCGTCTTTGCCAAAGAATCGCGGGAGGACGCCTTCCAAATGTTTGACCGAATAGTCGGTCACAAAACTGTCATCTGCAGATACCGACTCCTCAAAACGCGCATGCTCGCCACCGAAGTAGAAATAACCGGTCTTTGCACTCTGTCCTAGGTAGTACAGTCCATATCCAAGGCGTTGGGTTTCAGGATCGTAGGTTGGAGGGTAGTGGAAACCCCATGACACAGCTGTGCCTTGATTTGACACAGCATTCTGTGGATCTTGAACTGTCATCGTGCCTTTGAAAGGATGGACAAGCCCTCGCAAGTGAGGAAGGAGATGTCCACTGTAGCCATTGGTGCAATGAACTACAGTCCGTGCTCGTAGTGGACCGCGAGAAGTGCGTAGTGTATACGGATAAGTACTCGTGACGGGTGAGGCAAGTGTTGAAACGTGCTCAACAGACTCAACCGGTGTATGTGTCTCAATTGTTAGGCGACCTGGGTATTTTTCCAATAGGGCCGCGAATACTTTGGTGACAAGACGGTATGGCCAGACTGTTCCAGCAGGAAGCAGCCCTCCTCCACATGCTCCATGAATTCCATACTCCTAAAAAAAGAGGTCAGAATGACACCCTATGACTATGTAGGCGATACGACTCACCTTGAGCACAGCATCCGCATCTAAAATGGTATACAAACCCTTCCTAGAAGGATGATCCGCTTCCAAACGCGCGATACTTTTCTTGAAGTCGTCAAACTTCCCTTGGGTCAAAAAGACTCGCAGCTTTTGCAGACGTTGCATCTCACTCAACTCCACGGCGTCATACTCTTCAATCAATTCTTGCATCTTCTCCAAATTGCGGAATGTGAAATCCACAATCTTGCCCGCCGTTTCGACCCCATGAGTCTCTGCAAGATTCATATACTGCTCTCCGGCATTCGCAGCCATCTGCCCACCATTACGCCCAGTCGCACCTGAGCAGAGGGCACGGGCTTCTAAAACGGTTACTGTAGCAGTGGGGTGGCGTTCCAAGAGGGATCTAGCTACCGATAGACCCGTGATACCTGATCCAATGATGGCGAAATCTCGGTCAGTTGGTAATTTTGAGGATTGGACATCGGCAAGAGCATGTGGAATGTGCTGCCAGTAGGAGGCGGTGGGATTAGACCGCGGCAGGCCTGGGTCAGCCGTAACGAGGCTAAAAACTAGATTTTGTTAACCTTCCATCTATACTGCGGTAGAGTCAAGCGTGATAGCACATTGGCTAACTTGAGGGATGGGGGTCGATTGAGGTTACCTGAATCATTAGGCGCCATCGCGAAGGATGTAAAAAGGCACGGAATTCAATAGTTCGGGTAATATCGAATCCAGTGCCTGCAGTTGATATTTTAATTAGGAATCAATGAGACTACTTCAGATATGAGAAGATAGGAGCCGGTACATTGCCTTATATAGATGTAGATATCGTGCGGGGTTTATCTTATCTCAAAGGGTCAACCTGCCTAAGTGGGAATGGAGTGAATCTTCTCTTCAGGGCTGTTATCCCGATGTCGGAATGATAGCTTCTGCACATAAAGATTACGTTTTACTGTGGATGTAGATTGCTTCTTTCAAACCAGTTCGATATTTCCCGGGCCTTAATACATACACATGTAGGGTCGGGGATTTTCCAATCCATTCTACTATGGGGGTGTGGCAGCAGTTAGATAGAGATATCTCCGAAGAGTCACTACGTAGTGCCATTGTCGAGGCACGTTCTTGTATTGCATTTTCGGCGTCAGGCATTACGATTTCAAGCTTTAGTATGTATTTTTTTATTTTCAATATGGTCCTTGCCCGTCAGCAGATCAAATTGCTTTGGAGGGGGAGACCTAAACGGTGCATTCTCAGAATTGGTACGTGAAGTCTCTATCTAGATATATTGATACCGCAATATGTAGCACTAGAAAGTCCGGGGTGATTCCATAGGATAAATCCAACAATCTTGGCGGGTCCTGATATGCAACTCCACGTTTGAGGCATGTAAATGGCGTAACTGCATTCCAGATAGCATTCCATACCAACTCAACTAGGACTTTGGAACTAAAAAATGTGAAAGGCTTGTTTTATGAGATCGTATATTCAATTTCGAGGGATGACATCGCTATAATAGTTCAATCATTTCCGCTTTACCTTGCTCTCTCATCCATTCGTTATATCTTGAATATTGCTTTCCTCACAATGAAGCTCTCTTCCATTATTCTTACAGTTTTTGCACTGGCCACAACTGGTCTCACAGCAAAGACATGCACTCCTAGCTTTGATTACTGCTCTGATGTCCTGATCAAAGACAAAGGTAACTTATTTCCCGTCTAAGCATCGTTGCATCAAACTAATTGAAGAAACAATAGGGTTCACCGAGGCCGATCTGAAGGATGCTTTGAAGGGATCGGATCTAGAGAACGAGGATCTTAAGAATGTGCTGTTCCATTGCAAGAACCCCGGAGATGTTGGACACCCCAAACTATGCACGAGCGGATGCCAAAACCCAGCGACAGAGGGTAGTCACTCGTGCTCAGTGTAAGTGATAGTCTTGCCGTCAAATTTTTTTTCCAAGCTGACAATGTAGCAGTTAAATCATGCTGGTCGCAAGAGGTCACTATCTTTACAATTATATTTGGTAGCAAAGCTTCAGCTATATGGGGATCAGGCCATCACAATCGGAAAGATTATTCAGTTTAGAAGACATCCACTCATCGCAATCCCCACATCGTAAAGCCAATTACTAGGAAGGGTCAATTCAAACATGGAGAGATGCTCCAGACTGTGGGGTGACAATGAAGCAAATAATATTGTTGATTGAATTGCCAAAGGGAATTCAAATACCTGTTGGTGTGTACGCAACACTCATCGCATTTAGTTGTCGACTAGTTCGGGAATATACGCCAAGGCCGATGTAGCTTGCTAACTGACACTAAATATCGACCCACCACTACGGTCGAACACCGGCATTAAAAGAACATTGGCAGGACATCGTCGGCAAGTGGGCAATACCGAACGCAAGGTGCCGAAGAAGCCGATCACCGAGATTTTGGAGGAGTAAATAGGCATGATATTCGCCCAAGTGTCAGCCCATCCCGCCATGACAGCATACACTGATATTTGATCCATGCCTGATCAAATCCAAGGATTTTTTTTTTCGTCCTCACGTCAGCTGTTGCCCATGTATCCGACGATAGTAGAATTTGTACTGTGACTGTTGTGCTTGGAGCTTCCACCGAAGTAAGTACCTCCTAGGTTGAATTAAAGGGGTCCGTGGAGCACTCCATACAAGGATTAAAGGAGGAGCTGCAGGCAAAACGTGGCCTCAGGCCATATGTTGTATGGACAATTGCAAGTGGCACTACAAAAGTCCTGGAACTGGTGTGACACTCTTCTACTGGCCAGATGCCTCCGAGCGAGGTAACTAAGTTCCACAAGAGCAATATTAGTATGGGAAACCGTGTGACAATATGCGTGGCATCGCTCCTTTGGAGCAATTCCTAGGGACCGAGCTTGTGTGAATGAACCGGTCAGACCATGTTTGCCAAGGGTGCACGGGTGGCTAGTTGTACACCGATGATAATTGGCTGCAGTATTGGGCCATAATGCAGAACAATAATGGATATGATGATGTTGATAACTATAATCGGGACAATAACAAGAACCAGCTTTTCAAAGGGAGAAGATGTCATCGGGCCAGACTAAAACCAAACAAATCAAACAGTACGAGTGACGTCAGGAATATCCTCACCGCCTGCACTAAACCCAAATTGACCGAGCGGTGACATACCTCTTGCAGCCAAATTGTAAGGGAACGCAGGTACCAAAAAGGTATTGGAAAAGGTCACACCACTTTAATTTGCGAAAGATTATATACACGTTCAGGAGAATCCAATTTAGTTCTATATATTTCTCAATTCCTTATGTGTTCTTAAATCCAACATATTACTTTAGCTTCAAGTTGTTTCGTCTGTGACGCAAAGCACCCACCTTCTGCCCGATTTCTCTCACCGGATTGGGTTTGACCCCTCCACACCCCACCCATTCATAACTGGAGCTTTACAACGCTTATCAGCCTCTCTTTTTTTTTGACTTGTTTTCCTCTCAATCACTTCTTGTTTCATTCCCTTGATTATCGACCTGTATTTCAGGTCGAAGCTTTCAATTCGACATGGAGCCCATCAAGATTGCCACCCAGCCGGCTAAGAGACGCCGCATCGGTGTTCTCACCTCTGGTGGAGATGCTCCCGGTATGAACGGTGCTGTACGGGCCGTTGTCCGTATGGCAATTCACTGCGACTGCGAAGCCTACGCTATTTTCGAAGGATACGAAGGACTGGTCAATGGCGGCAACATGATCCGCCAGCTACACTGGGAGGATGTCCGCGGCTGGTTGTCCCGTGGTGGTACCCTGATTGGCTCTGCCCGCAGCTTGGCATTCCGTGAGCGTGTTGGCCGTATGAAGGCGGCGAAGAACATGGTCCTGAAGGGTATCGACGCACTGGTCGTCTGCGGTGGTGACGGCAGTTTGACTGGTGCCGATGTCTTCCGCGCCGAGTGGCCCAGCTTGTTGGCAGACCTCATTGCCTCCGGGGAGTTGTCTCCTGAGCAGGTGGAGCCCTACAAGGTGTTGAACATTGTGGGCCTGGTAGGTTCGATTGACAATGACATGTCTGGAACAGATGCCACTATCGGTTGCTATTCGTCCTTGACCCGTATCTGTGATGCCGTCGATGATGTCTTCGACACTGCATTCTCCCATCAGCGTGGTTTCGTCATTGAGGTGATGGGCCGACACTGTGGATGGCTTGCCTTAATGTCTGCCATCAGTACTGGTGCAGACTGGATGTTCCTCCCTGAGATGCCTCCCAAGGATGGTTGGGAGGATGAGATGTGCTCCGTGATCACCAAGGTAGGAATTACTTTAGCGTTTTTCAATGTCCTCTTTTTGCTAACTGATGGGCTTTGATAGAACCGAACCGAACGCGGAAAGCGCCGTACGATCGTTATTGTCGCCGAGGGAGCCCAGGATCGTCAATTGAACAGGGTCTCGAGCTCGAAGATCAAGGATATTCTCACAGATCGCCTGGGATTGGATACTCGAGTCACCATTCTAGGCCATACACAGCGAGGTGGTGCGGCGTGCGCTTACGACCGCTGGCTATCCACCCTGCAGGGTGTGGAGGCCGTTCGCGCCGTGCTAGAAATGTCGCCCGATTCTCCTTCCCCAGTCATCACCATCCGCGAGAACAAGATTATGCGCACCCCTCTGATGGAAGCAGTTCAAGCAACGAAAGATGTGACAGCGAAGATCGACAAAAAGGAGTTCGAGGAGGCTATGAAGCTCCGTGATCCTGAATTCAAGGAGTACTACAACGCATATTTGACCACCGCGACCCAGGATGACCCGAAGATGATTCTTCCAGTGGGCAAGGTATGAGCCTAATTCCTCAGCCCATCCGAGCTACTTAGGCTTCCCAGATACTTACTATTTTATAGAGAATGCGAATCGCCATTATTCACGTCGGTGCCCCAGCTGGTGGTATGAACCAAGCAACCCGTGCCGCCGTTGCATACTGCCTGACCCGTGGCCACACCCCGCTGGCTATCCATAACGGTTTCCCCGGATTGTGCCGTCACCACGACGACCAGCCAGTCAGCTCAGTCCGCGAGGTCACTTGGCTGGAAGCAGATAGCTGGGTCAACGAGGGTGGCTCAGACATTGGAACTAACCGTAGCCTGCCATCTGCTGACATGGAGAACACTGCCAAGTGCTTTGAGTTGTACAAATTTGACGCCTTGTTTGTTGTTGGTGGTTTCGAGGCTTTCACAGCTGTCAGCGAGCTGCGCCAAGCTCGTGCGAAGTATGATGCGTTCAAGATCCCGCTCATCGTGCTCCCAGCTACCATTTCTAACAACGTCCCGGGAACCGAATACTCCTTGGGCAGTGATACCTGCCTGAACACTCTGATCGACTTCTGCGATGCGATTCGTCAATCTGCCTCCTCTTCTCGCCGCCGAGTGTTCGTGATTGAGACCCAAGGTGGAAAATCTGGATATATTGCGACCACAGCTGGCCTGGCTGTGGGTGCCGTGGCAGTGTACATTCCCGAGGAGGGTGTTGATATCAAGATGCTCTCACGCGACATCGACTTCCTGCGTGACAACTTTGTCCGCGACAAAGGCGCTAACCGTGCAGGTAAAATCATTCTGCGTAACGAATGTGCTTCCAGCACATACACTACCCAGTTCATCGCCGATATGATCAAGGAAGAGGCAAAGGGCCGCTTCGAGTCCCGTGCCGCTGTTCCCGGTCACTTCCAACAGGGTGGAAAGCCTTCGCCAATGGATCGTGTCCGTGCTTTGCGTATGGCCATTAGGTGTATGCAGCACATCGAAGGATATGCCAACAAGAGCGGCGATGAAATTGCCGCGGACCCTCTCTCCACTGCCGTGATCGGCGTCAAGGGCTCACGTGTGCTATTCTCCCCCATGGGTGGTGAAACTGGACTGGAAGCTACCGAGACTGATTGGGTGCGCCGTCGCCCCAAGTCTGAGTTCTGGCTTGAACTGCAGAACGTCGTCAATGTTCTGTCTGGACGCACCCACGCTAGCACCAACGAAACCTGGTCCTGCTATGAGAGTACGTAATCCGACCGCGACCCTACTGATTTGCTCGTTCACCCCTGTCCAATTCGTTTCGTCGCTGCTCGCTTTGCTCGTTTTTCTCCTTTGGCCTTTGAGGATTCGCTCCCCCGTACAGTGATCATTTCTGGAGCCCCCTTCAATACGAATGTTAACGATATCCCTGTTTCCTACTTTTCAGATCCTACGACAGTCCGATCCGTCCCCTCGGTGCCCAACTCCCCGTGAAAGGATTTCCACCCAAGGACTTCAACTTCTTTCCAACCAACCATGGAATCCACGCCAATGATGCCCCCGGGACCTGCTTGAATGTTTCTTCCAAATATTGGCCGGCGAGCCATCTGCTAACCTATGATGTTGAGGGCGATCGTACTGAACGTCCGTTACGCTTTGTACGATGCTATGCTATAAGTCCTCCACACCTAAGGATGGTTTACGTGACATTTATGCCTGGGAGTTTGGGGATTATGCTTTTTTGTTTGATGGTTTTCTATCTCCCTTGAAGACTTCTCCCTTGAAGACTCTTTCTTGGTCTACGACATAAAGTGCGTTGCAGATAGAACCATCAATTTGAACCTTGAACTTGTTTCAATTAAATAAGAATGCTACGGACGTTTGCTATCGTAAAGACGAAAGAGGTAGTCCAAAGACTGTACTATAGAATTGCTGGGGGTATGTCAGTAGTAATACTGACCCTGAAACCACGCAGCCTGAACCCCGGACAGATGAAATATTCCAGGGGTTAATGTGGAGGAGTGCAATGACTACGGGTGTACCGTCTTCTCCAGCTCATCGAGTAGCTCCACCGTCTCAGCGGGGCTTGCAATCCAGGCAGTTGTGGATGCAAGACGGGCCTAATCAGAAGAAAATATGTCAGTCTAACCAGTAGCCAAGGGGAGGTTTATAACTTTCTCACCTTAAAGTCATTGGCCCCAGCCGACAAGAACTGATCACCAACATGCAGTGTTTTGGCTGGATCGATGCCACCAAAGTAGCGCTGACAGACGCGCACACCCCATGATTTGTCGCCAATATCCACAAACACATCATTTCCACCATTGAAAGCACAGAATGGCAATCGTGCCCCAACAGCCGAACGCTGAACTGTGTTCTGCACGACCAAAACAGTCTCTTCCAACTGCTCACGACTGATTCGAACACCGTTTACCGGGTACACACCAACCGCACGATCCTTGCGCAGAATAGCAGCAGGCATATTGAGATTTGCGGCACAGGCACGTAGAGCTGACTCGGCAATATCAAGAAGCTCGGTAATGTCATCATCGCTCCAGGTCTGCATCTCATCTAGCAACCATTCGCTCCGCCGCACGTAGGTGAGTCGGGCGTCCGAGGTTGGGTCGAAGCGGAACAAAAAGTTACTCTCGCCGCCCATGACGACCAGTCCTTGTTTCTGCTCGGGGGTGAGTGTGGTTGAGTCGTGCATCGCATCGAGCAGACCCTGAAGGCGCTCGTGATACTTTGGCGCCTCGGTGTATCCGGCCGCTGTCACAATGCCGACCTTGCGGCCCTGTTCAAGGAGTCGAAGGATCCGGGGGATGACTGGGTTGTCGGATGTGAGACAGGCGCCGTCGTCATAGAGTGTCACATCTCCATCGAATGTGACTAGTTCCACATCGCTGGAGCGAACAAGACCTATCACCTGGGCGGAGTTCAAGATAAGTCTGATATCGTTGAATGAAGGGGCCACGAAGCGTCGTCGGCTGATGAATCGCTGCTGGTCTTGGTACTTGAATGCATCTTCCAGGTATAGTTTGGTGAAAAAAGTGCCGACGGATGGCACCAGAAGATTTAATTTGGATTTGCCGGGGGCATTGCGTTCGTGGTGTTGGACTTCAAAGAGCGATTAGGAATCAGAATCATCTCCTATTTGGATTTATATTAATCAACTTACTGTGGTCAAGCATCAAATTCTCTACATCACGCATAATCTCTGCATAGCGATGGTGGGTGTCGGCCGCGACTGTCTTCAGCACATCGCCGTTTTCCTTGTAGATGGCGGTGGGCTGGGAATGCAGGACAAAGGGGACGGCCAGCAGACCCTAGAGGGATTAGAATCGGCCAATATGACATGACTGAGCGACATACTTTGATCCATTCGATCTGTAGAGTGTTAGGGATATTCTTTTAGCCTTTAGACATGGAGTGATGGCTTACTAGTTGATCCCTGCGATGGGTCTAAACGGCTGTGGAGTCAGTGAGGGGTACGAATTCTTGCGGAGATATCCGTACCTTGAGGGCATCTAAGAGATATTAGCGGAGAAGTTGGGATGAATGAAATTAAAAAGGCGCGAATGACGTACATTCGACTCTGTATCGCGTTGTCATGATTCGATGAATGAGGTTAGGGAGAAAGATGGTGCCTGGATGATCGGGCGGTGTTTAGCTCGGGTGCACGTCCCTTTTTCGGTGACTCACACGGAGCTCGGAGTATTCACATACGAAGTACGAAGTGATAAACAACAATCTCGGAGCTCATTATTACTTGATTGGTCAATTGGCATGATTCATCATTGCTCAAAATCTAGTTGGGCCTTAATTCTCGTACTAAATGACTGGACCCTAGACCCCTGCTCGTAACGCCTTCAATCACTATTGGTCCCTCAAAACTGCCTCGAAGACAAAATCTTGTGGCCTATGTTGCATACAAGGCATCATTAATTTGAAAACCTTTTTGAGATAACTCCGAGTTCCGAAAAAATCTACTCAACACTGCCACGATGCTTGGCCAAGTCATATCTGGACAGCGACAAAGCTTGATTGGAAAATGATGGCCAAGAATGTGGACTCAGCAGAAGTATAAGTATTTGGGATGGCGACCTCCTTTATACATTAACAAATCACAAAACCATTGAATATCAAAAGATCATTTCAGAGGAAAACAGCAACAGCAAATCCAAAACCCCATCAAAGCAATGCTAGCTGTATCTACACAGTCCACTCCAGCAACCATGAACAAGCCTGAACATTACGATGCACCACCAATGTATTCCCCATCATCGGAATTCAATTCCTTCCTCGATGAAAAGGCCGACAATCCCATTATTCTACTACCGGAGCAAAACGAGCCTGGGTTTGCCGTTGCATCTGCTCTCAGCCGAGGCCTGCAAGTACCATCTAGATCCGGAGCCTGCACATCAGGATTCGAGTATCCAGATGAACTTTCTCATTACGGCATTTCTGAAACCCACTGGGCAGAATTCACACAAGTAGTCTGCGATGAGGCAAAGCTTTCACGGCAGCAGTGGACCACTGTTGTTGGCAAAGGCCTAGGCACAATGGCAGTAGGTGGGCTGATGGTCGGCATTCTGGGCGCTATCCCTGCAATCTTCGTTGCCCGTCTCACCAGAAACCGACAAGAACAACGGAATCTGATTTCGTCAATGGCTGGAGCTCGTGGTGAACATCTTGCTCGTCATATCTCGCAATGGAATGAGACAGTCTTTCGACCCAGGGGTGTTTTGATCCGGGTCGATTTGCCCGATGAATATTTGAATGATATGGAAGATATGGATATTCGCACAAGTGGTCGATCGGCTAGGTCTGCTAAGAAGTCTCGAGATAAGGCTGCACTCAAGGCGAGAATTGTGATTATTCCTTTGGATGGGTCGATGCCAACGGGGAATTCCTCAAATTGAAGGAATGGCGAAAAGAATTTGGGAACAAAAGGACATAGGACTATTTAAGTATTTCAGCGATCGGAGTAAAAGGTCAAGGATATTTTATTTTAATTCAAAAGAGTTTATTCATCATGATGGTATCATTACTCAAAAGGATAACCCTTCTCTAATGACCAGCAAATGGACACTAAAGATATCCAAATCATAAAAAAGGAATATAACAGCCCAAGGTCCATTTAAACCCGGCCCTCTCTATCCTGTCTCTCAACATGTTGAGTCGTTCCGTGCGTCTGCACCGCCATCTCCATCTTCTCATCTACAATCTGGTCACGCTCATCGGCATCTTGGTTACCATACCGGCCAATCTTGTACCACGGCAAAGCGAAGAGACGATCCATACTCTCCAGCGAGCGGCCAGCCGTCTCCGGAATACTGAACCAGACCCAGACACCACCGATGATGGTAATGGCAGCAAAGCACCAGAAGGTACCCTTGGGGTCAATTCCACCCTTTGCGACGGGAAGAAGCATATTGGGAACAGCACGAGCATTGCCATATTGGTTGGCAAAGTGAAGAGTCATAGCCATGGAAGTGCAAAGAGCACGGATGCGCAGTGGGAAGAGCTCTGCAGTCAGAAGATACTGCATGGAATTCCAGCCCAGAGCCCATCCAAATCCAGAGATGTAGATCATTGCAATGGCGCCCTCACTAGCGCCCTTCTTGTCGGCCGGTACTGTGTAGCTATCGTCGACACCCATTAGGGGGACGGAGGTCAAGAAGCCGGCGATGTAGATCATAGCAATTGCTTGTAGGGTGATACCAAGAAGGAGGGCACGCTTGCGTCCAATGACATCGACCAAGAAAAGAGCACAGAGAATTGCAGCAACCAGTTTGATGATTCCGAATACAGCAGTGACTAGGAGAGTCTCGTTGCTGCCTGTGACTCCTAGCAACTTGAACAAATCAGGGGCGTAGACAGTGATACTGCCGGCACCGGACCACTGGGAAAGGAGTTGAGCCATGAATGTGAGGTAGACTCGGTAGAGGTTCGATGGGACAAGGAAGGTTTCCTTGATCACGCCGATCGGGCCAGATCCCATTGTAGCTTCCATCTCAGCTGCATGTGTTGTTTGAATAGCGGAAATCTCGCGTACAACATATTCATGATCGGTTGGTAGGCCACGGATTTTTGAGAGATTGGAGATGGCCTTTTCGAGCTGGCCGCGCTTAACTAGGTATCTGGGTGATTCGTGCTGAAGGAAGGAGAGGAGGAAGATGAGACCGGCAAAGATGATGTGCAGACTTGTGGGAACGAGCTATGTTTGGGTCAGTATTGGTAATATAAGCAATTAGGGGATGGAGCACACATACCCATCGGTTGTGAGTATTGTCGCCGAGATTGACTTGACAGCCATAGTTGGCGAAATATGCGAGGACAATACCTAAGTAGACAAAGCCCGTGAAGACACAGGTACAAAGTCCACGGATAGAAGCAGGGGCCTTTTTTTGCTGTTAGTTCATATTGAAAACAGACTTGAATCACGAGAAACTCACAATTTCAGCAAGATATACAGGAGCAACGACGACTGTCTGGCCCACGCCGAGTCCAGCAATGAAGCGACCAGCATAGACAGCACCCAAGCTGCCGCCGTTACCCATGAAAATTGCGATTCCGACGATCCATATAACACACAGTTGGCGAGTTGCCCAGATACGACCGATGCGATCACAAACTAAGAAGGCACTGTGTATAAATAGACCGGGTTAGCGACATAAGATACGGTATGATAGAGAGCAAGGACAAACTTACAAAAGAGCACCTCCAACGGATCCAATCTGGACCATTGCAGTAACATTTGCTTTGATGTTGGTCTGTTCCACTTCGCCGTACGAGTCATAATTGATATAACGTTGAAAGTCTTTAGAGTTGAAGGCGCCTGAGATCAAACCCTCATCGACACCTCGGGCAGCGCCCATCAGGCCAAATGAGATGACGGCAAACCATAATCGCCAGTTGAAGACCTCCTTAGGCTCGCCCAGGTCTTTAAGGCGGAAGATATTGACTGGTTTCTTTGCTCCGCCGGCCATGGTGGGCAACACTCAAGTATGTAATTGAATGCGGGGGATAATATCAAAAGGCAACGCCGGGGTAGTAGACGAAGAGGAAACGAGGGCAAATATGAGCCAGGACAAACAGTCTTTTATAGCCATGGAATCCCAGTTTAGGACATGCGGGGAAATCTGGGGGGCATGGGGGAGGGACCGGAAACCCCAACCCGAACAAATCCTGTCGGGACCGATTCGTGAAATCCCTGTAGTCCAAATGAGTTATGGACCGGTGAGACACGATACACATTACACACATGATACACTGGGACAGGTTTAGGCTAAGGCCCCGGGAACAGTGCCAAGAGTGCTTGCGTCTCGAGCCCCCAAGCCCGCTTGGCTCTGATTTGACCAAGTTGCCGTCTTTGTCTTTAGGGCTTTTTCGAAGGAACATTGGACCGAGTACCGAATGACCACATGTTCGCAATTTGGAATCTAATATGCAGCCTTACCTGACCACTGCATGGTCGCTGCAGCTCACCTTTCTCGTGTCATGGTGTCTTCATTCTCAGATGTGACTTTCTACTCCGTACAGAGTACGAGTACGTGTACGTGCTAACGCCGTCATTTCCTCCATCAAACCTTAAGAGTGGCTTTCGGGCAACGTCCGAAGGAAAATGTGTGTGTGTGCCGCATGTGGCTTGCAGGGATTAATGAGGTCCACTGGGGAGGATGTTAGCCTCTTTCATCGCGGGGGCAAAAACTGGAGAAAGCCCCATAGAAAGCCCCATCAATGACTGATACGAAGCTGCTCATTGGTTCCCACACTATAACACAACTCTCCGTCCGAAAAGGGAAGACGCACTGTTTCTTGGCGTGGGGTGCGCTTGGACAAGCCGAGCACTTAGGCTATATTTCTCATGTGCTTGGATACAAATCGCCGTGCCGACCATGTCGGCAATTTTTTAAGTCTCGGTGAGGCAGATACACCCCCGGGTTCTGTAATTTCCAAGGTTTCTGGGCGACAAAGTTCATTATTAATCTCTGCCAACCCCCGATCTTAGGAAGTAAGACCCTGTAAGACTCATACAGCTCTAGAACGTTTGGTCCGTTCTTCGGCGTTTATTGTCGCAGTATCAGCTGATCCTTGCATCAAGGAATGCCCCCGGCCGAGGATAAGACCGGCCATTCAACGCAGCCTCGAAATGGCCCATCACTTGGAACCAGGAGCATATTTCTAAATCACTTCTTTTACGTGCAATGTAGTCTGACACTTGAGTCAAAGTAGGTTATATTGGGAGAATGACACCAAAAGAAGGAGTAGTAATATAATTCTATGCGTGTTAAACTCAATGGAGGCTACAAGATGACCCATGCCTTGCCCGAGAATCGGCGGTTTAAAAATGTAATGTGAATCAATGGGATCAATTCGACGTTTAAGGCCAAGGCTAGTGTATCGTGGCGCGGAGAAATCAGTTCATGACATCGGAAAATAAGATACAGGATAAAAGTGATTGGTCGAGCCACGCCGAGAGAGCATGGCTATGGTCGCCAGCGGAACCCAGGATTGCGCCAGTCCAGATCCTGAATCTGTTGCTGGGAAAGTCCCGCCAACGCGCTGTGGATATCGACTCGCGCACGGCGCCGATTGTCCCATATAATATAAGCCCATAGGCCGGCTCCAAGGAGGAGAGTGGTGCTCGAAGTTGCCAAGTTGAGCCCATTACCAATCGGATAGTTGGGCCCATCAAAAGGCAAGAATGACCAGGTGCTGATGAGTCCGCCGATATTTCCAAACATTACCGTCGTTCCAATAGCCGAAGATCTCGCGGTGTCGGAGATGACATTCGCCGATGCGTTTGCAGTACATAGGGCGCCAAAGGCAAAGGCCCCACAGGCGATAATAAAGGTGGCCCCATATCGTACCATACTGTCTTCACTAGCTAGGAACATGATATAACCTATATGAATCCCTATGATTAGCCTAAAGCAAAGTTTACCCTGCAATCCTTATGTCCTTGGAGGTTGACCACGGAGTTCAGACTTACCAGTCATCATTAGCGGTGGGCTGATAATGAAGAAGAACAAACGATTATCGAATCGCCAGCTGAGGTAGGGGAATAGCACCGTGAAAAATGCGCCGACAACATAAGGAGGCACAGTATGCAGCTGTTGAGACACCACACTGGCATTGGGATAGATGGTTTTGACAATGGTGGGCGCAAAGAATCCGAGACCCTGAACGGTAATGTTGTCCAACATAAAGATCAACCCGGTTACGATTGTCACTGGGCTGAAGATACCGCGCAGTGTCTTAGTTACATCAAGCCGATCAAGGACCTCTGTCGCGCCAACACGCTCCGATTTGACACGGGCAATGGCTAAATCCTTCTCTTCCTGGGAGAGCCATTTGGCTGTCTCGGGTCGGTCGGTCAATGTGACGAATGCGACGAGACTAATTCCAATCGTGACGATGCCTTCAATCGCGAAGATCATACGCCAGCTGCGGAGTGAACCGACGTGATCGATCATGAGAATTCCCGAGGCCAGAAGGCCACCAAACGCTCCAGCGAGAGGAGCCATAACAATATACAACGAGAGGCGGAAGGCAAGTTCACTTCGTCGATACCAACGTGAGAGGTAGTACGCAATTCCAGGCATGAGTCCGGCCTCGAACACACTGGAAGGGTATTGTCAGCATTGTCGAGTTTGCAGAATTTAGGAGACATACCCCAAAAGGAAGCGCACACCAGATGCGCTTGCCATATCAGTGACAAAAGCCGTGGCGACTGAACAGATACCGAATCCCAATGTGATCGCTGGAAGCCACCATCCAGGCCCGACCCATTTGCACATGAGATTGCTGGGGATCTCAAAAATAATATAAGAGATAAAGAAGATCGAGAGCACGGCGTTATAATCATAGCCCACGAGGCCAAGGTCCTTGTCGAAGCCGGCCAATTTAGCGTTACCTGTGCCAGAAAAGAAGCGAATTAGTGCTTGAACTGGAAATAGGAATTCGGAAATCATAGAAGGGGCTGGTCACACACCAACATTGGCTCGATCGATGAAACAAAAGAGATACATGATTGCAACTGTTGGGACAATATAAAGATCAATCTTGAGTCGCAATCGTGACTCGGCGGCCTTGTCAAATTCTACCAGGGGCTGGCCATGTTCATCTGTCGCGAGCTGGCCCCTTTCTGCTGCTTCATGGGTGACTTCCCCCATCATATGCTCTTTATGGTCTGAAATGACCTTTTCATCACCGATGGGCGTGGTGCCTCTCTCGGCGCCGGCCATGTTGAAGTCGCGGACAGTATATTGAGCTTAAAAGGGATAAGGGGGCGGTCTGAGCTATCAGATAACAGGGATCAAGGGATACCTCGGGAGCATAGACCAGGGGTGACCGGGTGTTTTATAGTTCAACCAGCAGCCCGATCGAAAGAGCCGAACGGTGAACCTGGGGTTGTGGGGTATCGTGAATCCAGTCTCGAAGAGATGTTCGGCTTTTTCAGCAGCTGGAATCTCAATCTGCCGTTGCCAAGGGAAGGACACCTAGGAACGCCTCAGCAGTCGGAACTGACAGTGGGAGAGGCAAATATCATCATGAAGGTCCAATCATAATAATTTATTCACAGGCCAAGGTGTCAGACCTCGGAAGTCTAGAGGCAGATTGGCGCTTGGGACTTCCCCATAAGGATTTAGAGATTTCCCCAGACTTGTGGATCCTCCCCGGACTGGCTCTTTGGTTGTGTGGGGATCTCCTGATGAAGTACGGAGTACAATATCCTCCGTACAGCCTAGGATCTCCGCAAAAAAAAATGCCGACTCCCTCATCCGACTGTTTCTGGGCGTCATGGCGACCAATCATAACACCAGGACCTGTCAGGTGTAAAACGCCAAGTCTTCCAAGAAATACGGGTTAGAGCATGGACGAGGTAAGTCAAATCAGCCGATCGGAAGTTGTCTTGAAGCTGCCCGGAAGCTGCCCTCATCGGATGCTTTGAGGTTATTGTCAAGATTGTGTACTTCGTAGTACCTCATGGATGACGTCTTGAAACAAGTTAGATTAAGAATTTGGTGCCTTGTTTATAAGGCGTAAATCATGTGATGTGGTAGTGGAAGTTCCAAATTATGGTCTTTGAGACGTCTCCAGAGCTTGTCTTAACTTATCAGCGCACAAGAACAGATTCGATCTCCTATGTGTCCAGTGGTGGAATATATAGAATGTGATGTGATGTCCGTGGGCTCTCAAGCCCTAGAGGCATCTGCGGTGATATGATGACACACCACCACGTGACTCGGATATAGACGGATTATTTTCTCGGATTAAACGGATGAACTACACTGACAGGAGTTGTGAGATTGCCCATGCGTATTTATCCATGTCTGAGGCGTCGGATAAAGCTCAACCGGGTTGGCGAATCCCTCGCGCATGCCAGGAATGCCGCAAACGTAAAATCAAATGCAATGGCGTGATCCCGTGAGATCCTTCAGTACACGTTCTGGTAGTGAATCCATTGAGCTAATATGACATCAGGTGCAAAACTTGTCAATTGCGCGATACTCCCTGTATATACAGAGATTATATTCGCCATCGCCGAAAGAAACATGAGTATAGGGAAGTGGGCGAGAGGAACTTACCTCGTCAGGGGTCCCCGAGTGGAGTTCCTCCATCGGGGCAGCGTACAGCCTCCGTGATGAATGACTTCCCAAATAGTGTATCTGCAACACATACGGCATCGCCGTCATGTCGGATGCAGCTATACTATGGGCCCACCTCTCATTTCTCGCTCATGCAGCATATCTACCAAGATCTCGTCTCAAATCCTACCTCTCGACCTGAACCCTCTGGTGGGGTTGAGGAAGCTGGAGCTGGCTTAGACTTGTTTAGCTTCCGTCGCATCTTTTTCGGAACCCCGGACTTTCATGAGATTAACAAGTCCCCAGGGAAAGGGGATTTGTCTATGATGTTCATGCCGTACGACCTGGCTAAAACTTTTCTGTCGCGATTTCTTTCCAGCCTCTATCATCTGATACCACTTCGCCCCAAGATATATTACGAGCAATGCCTAGACCGACTATATAACTCTTCGCCCGCAGACCATCTAGATGGTCCCACACAAGCGATCCTTCTCCTTGCCATGGCAAGCGCGGCACTTGGCACGGACCATTTTGCCTGGGGCGATGTGCTATTCGAGCGTGTCAAGGCTTCGTTGACTGCGTTTGATGACGTGGTGAACCTTCAGGCTATTCAAATCTCATTGCTTATGATAAGTCTTTATGGTCCCACTTTGCTGTATGCAGACTGACATGCTTAGGTTTTACGCCAATTACCAGAACGAACAAGGTCGGCCCAACTCGGTGTTCTTGCATTTAGGTTCTGCTTCTCGCAAAGCCTTATCGGCAGGTCTGCATAAGGATGTTCCCCATGATGTTGATCAGACTCCCGAGAATATTGAAGAACGACGGGTAACCTTCTGGTCTCTTTACATCTACGAAACGTACATTACCGCTTTCAGTCAGATCTTTGATAACCTCACTAACTTTATATATAGCTGGTTCTGCTTTCATGTGGGACGTCCTAGCTCCCTCAACCTGAAAGATGTCGCAATCGAGTATCCGCAGGATCAATTTATTCGATTGCTGGCGCAGCTTTGCAAAACTATCACTCGGTCTGTTAATGAGATATATGGTCAGCGGCATGAGTCTCTTCTGCACATGTGGAGAGTCGCCAGATCCATTGCGAATGATATCCGTGGTCATGAAGCGCATTTACAACAAGCTTTGGGTCTTGGGCTTGATGACAGCATCCAGGCGGGATCCCTTGGGGTTCGACAAATAATCTTCATTGCCCGTAAGTCAACAATTGAAAGATGGTCTTGTCCCACTCTGACCAGAGATAGTATACCATCATACGCTACTTCTTACATTTCGCCCGTTCTTGATATTTCGTGGTCATTGGCAACGCGAGAGGAATATCGCACTCAACCAGTCTAGCACCAATGTCACAAATCGCCCTAGAGAAACGCCTACTTGGCTCAACGAAGCCTGCAATCATGCCATCACTGCCGCACAAAAGACACTCCACCACTTATGTGAAGCTTCGAGAGTCAATAATCTTGTTTTAGTAAATAGACCACATGTTGTTATAAAACTACCCACTAACAATATAACAGGAATTACGATACCATGGCTACTTTTTCGGCAATTCTGTATTTACTCTCATCTACGAGTTCATTCACAACCCGAGTGTCGCGCCTGTCTATCTCCCATGGGTCTATGCTTCATTGCAAACATTGTCAACCATGCGAGCGGGGGACCCGATCGCAAGCACAATTGCAGCTATGCAGACTGTGCTTCGCAATATCAATCCATCATACGAATGGGCACCTCTATTAGCAACAACCGAAGATAACGTTGCGCCCCCAGGAGGGACAGCGATACAGCAAGGCCTCACCCCCAACCACAGGCATCGGGTACTGCTCAGCAACTCTGCAATCCTTCAGAACCCTTCATTAGGAATGCGGCCTGACACACTAACATCTCCTTGGAACCTTCCACAGCTGGAAAAACTGGAAAACCCGGAAACCGGAGGCTCTGTGGGCTCTGGGGATGACTTACTTGATTTCACTCAGTCCGACATGGGCTGGGATTTCGATTTCTCTACCATGGACCTGGACGCATTCTTTTCGATCTATCAGACAAATGATGCTCCGGTACTTTGATGGGAACCTTGCACCGACCAAATTCATAATCTAATAATCTAGAATACTTAACCTTCAAACTGTGTCAACTTTGTCTCCATAAAGGGGCCGTCTACCGGCTTAGTCCGTGGAAGTGAATCTATATCCGAGGGTGGATCTAATCGAAGCTCTAGAAGGCTCAGGAATAGACTCCCAGCGAATGAACAATCGCTTTTGACTGAGTGGGTCGCTAATATATCCGTGTGCATATTTCCGAGAAACTCTCTCTAGTGATATTCTCGCTAATGCGATATTATTTGCAGTTGTTTTACCTGTTTTGAAGGTGTATTCCATATCTGGATTCCACCACGGCGATGCATACGCGATGTGATCTATGAACCATGACCCACTCCCGGAAATATGGATTTAAAATGTAGATTCGATAACGAATCCGCAATATAAGAGCTCTTCTGCCCCTCGACCATGGTATTTGCTTCCAATCTCATTTGACCAGGTACCATCGCCAGCAGTCGCTCTTTTTCATTCCAGGAACATACGCCGCCATCATGGAAACTCCGTCGTCCGGCACAGTCACCCCGGTGGATCTGGAAAACGGTGACGACCAGATTCGCAAACGACTGACAGTCACCTTCCGTAATCTGAACGTCCGAGTCACGGCACCAGATGCTGCGTTGGGAAGCACTCTATGGTCAGAGGTGGACCCGCGACAAGTTGCGGCACTGTTGAAGCGCGGCGACCGCCCAAAGAGGGTGGGCATATTCAACCGTCAACATGCAGTTATCATATACTAATTTAGCTTCTAGACGATCCTCAAAGACGTTGCAGGTCAGGTCATGCCTGGGGAAATGGTATGCTCTCATAACTCCCGAACAGGAGTGTTGTAACTGACCAACATAGCTTCTTGTACTGGGACGCCCAGGCTCTGGATGCACTTCCCTCCTTCGAGTCCTGTCCAATGATCGAGATAGCTTCGATGAAGTCACAGGCGAAACCAACTACGGAAGCATGGATCATAAAGCTGCCAAAAGCTTCCGTCAGCAGATCATGTTCAACAACGAAGGCATGCAATCCTAACCTGGATTTTTTTTGAACTCAATGCTAACTGCATTGATATCAGACGATGTCCACTTCCCAACCCTTACTGTCAACCGTACAATGAAATTTGCCCTTCGAAACAAGGTTCCCAACGAGCGCCCAGAGCATCTGAGCAACCGCAAGGACTTCGTGCAGAACCATCGTGATCAGATCCTGGAGTCACTTGGAATCGGACACACGAAGAAGAACTTGGTAGGAAACGAGTATATCAGAGGCGTGTCAGGCGGCGAGCGTAAGCGTGTCTCTCTTGCTGAGGTTTTGGCTGGGCAAAGTCCAGTCCAAATGTGGGACAATCCCACTCGGGGCTTAGACTCGAAATCAGCGGTCGAATTCGCTCGAATGCTCAGACGCGAAGCGGATCGAAACGACAAGACAATCATCACAACTACGTACCAAGCCGGAAATGGTATTTATGACCAGTTCGACAAGGTCCTTGTCCTCGCTGAAGGTCGTGTCACTTACTACGGCCCTCGCCGTATTGCAAGGAAATACTTTGAAGACCTTGGATTCATCTGCCCCAAGGGTGCCAATGTCGCAGACTTCCTTACTTCAGTTACTGTCCTTACCGAACGCACAGTCCGACCCGGCTGGGAAGAGAAGGTGCCCAATACACCCGAGGAGTTTGAAGCCTGCTATCAAAATAGTTCCATCTGCAAAGACCAAATGAACTCTATCGTGGACCCTGAGAAGCTGAGCTACGAAGCCGAAGACCTTACGCTGGCAGTATCCAGTGAAAAGCGCAAACAGCATATTCCTCGGAACAGCAGTGTTTATACAGCGAATCTCTGGGATCAGATTGCCGCTTGTGCTCTCCGCCAGTTCCAGGTCATCTGGGGTGATAAGCTCTCCCTATTTGTGAAGGTTGGGTCGGCTCTAATCCAGGCTCTGGTCTGTGGAAGTTTGTTCTATAACTTGTCAGAGGTAATCAAAAGCCATCTAGCCAAGGTGATTCAAGAAAATGAAGCTGACGGTTTAAACTACTAGGATTCAAGCTCAATATTCCTACGCCCTGGTGTTTGCTTTTTCCCGGTGTTATACTTCCTCCTTGAAAGTCTGTCGGAGACAACTGCATCTTTCATGGGTCGGCCAATTCTTTCTCGTCAGAAGCGATTCGGATTTTACCGCCCCACTGCCTTCGCAATTGCCAACGCTATCACTGATATCCCAGTTGTGATGTTCCAGGTGACCTGCTTCTCGCTCATCCTTTACTTCATGGCTGCTCTTCAAATGAACGCTGGAAAGTTTTTCACCTTTTGGATCATCGTCATTGCGCAGACATTGTGTTTTGTGCAACTATTCCGAGCTGTTGGCGCTGTGTGCAAACAATTTGGAAATGCATCCAAAATCTCCGGTTTGCTGTCCACAGTCTTCTTTGTATATGGAGGTAGGTATTGGTCATAGCATCGAGATAAAGAATAGGAACTGACGAATTGCAGGATATCTGATTCCATTCCACAAGATGCATGTGTGGTTCCGTTGGATCTTCTATCTCAATCCGGGAGCATATGCCTTCGAAGCACTGATGGCCAATGAGTTTGTTGGACGAAAATTCACATGCATAGAACCAGACTATATCCCGTACGGCAGCGGATACTCCAACTCAGTATCTGCCCACCGAGGATGTTCAGTTCTTGGAAGCGACGATCAAGGCATTATTGATGGGGCAAAATACATTGAAGAGCAATTCAGTTATTCAGTTCATCACATCTGGAGAAGCTTTGGTATCCTCATTGGATTCTGGATTTTCTTCATTTGCCTGACTTCTTTCGGGCTTGAATTCCGGAACAGCCAAAGTGGATCATCTGTTCTACTTTACAAGCGTGGCAGCGAGAAGACCCGTGGAAAGGAAGGCGAGAAGTCACAGTCACCAAAGCAGGCAGACGCTAGCGCACTATTGGGCTCGGTCAAGCAATCAACTTTTACATGGAAAGACCTCGACTACCATGTGCCTTTCCACGGTGAGAAGAAACAGCTCCTGAATAAGGTATTTGGATTTGTCGAACCTGGAAACCTGGTTGCACTTATGGGAGCTTCTGGAGCCGGAAAAACAACATTGTTGGATGTGCTTGCTCAGCGCAAGGATAGCGGAGAGATCCATGGATCGGTTTTGATTGACGGCCGCCCAGTTGGAATCAGCTTCCAACGCACTACGGGTTACTGCGAACAGATGGATGTGCATCTCGAGACAGCCACTGTGAAGGAGGCATTGGACTTTTCGGCGGTTCTTCGCCAGCCATCGACGGTTCCTCACGAAGAAAAGCTTGCTTACGTCGAACATATCATTGACCTTTTGGAGCTGCGTGATATCAGCGAAGCACTCATTGGAGGTATGTTTGCTTTGTGTTTTAATGCTACTAGACAGCGATACTAATAACTCACAGTCCCTGGAGCGGGACTTAGCATCGAACAACGCAAACGCGTGACCCTGGGTGTTGAGCTTGTTGCTAAGCCCACATTGTTGTTCTTGGATGAACCCACCTCCGGTCTTGATGGGCAAAGTGCGTTCAACATTGTGCGCTTCCTTCGTAAACTGGTCGATGGCGGCCAAGCTGTGTTGGTAAGTTCTCAATGTGTTATAATATGTTTACACCGTATTAATGATGTGTTAGTGTACGATTCATCAACCCTCTGCGGTGCTTTTCGACGCATTTGACGGTCTTCTATTGCTAGCCAAGGGCGGAAAAATGACATATTTCGGAGAGAGTAAGCTTTTGCCCTTGAGGCGGTTATTCAAGATCAAGCAACTAATCACTTCTTCTATGATGATAGCTGGCAAGGACTCTGCCAAAATCTTGGACTACTTCACTCGAAATGGAGCACCCTGCCCTCCGGATGCTAATCCAGCAGAGCACATTATTGATGTTGTTCAAGGAGGTGGCACTGCAGACAAAAAGGATTGGGTCGAAATCTGGAACGAGTCAGAGGAGCGCAAGCAAGCACTCTCCCAACTTGATGCACTCAACATATCTAGCAAAAATGACTCCGACTATGTTGAAGATACTGCGGACTTTGCGACCTCGCATTGGTTCCAATTCAAGGCGGTTTCTAAACGCCTCAGTATTCATATCTGGCGCTCACCAGTACGTCGTTACAGAGATACACAAAATGATTTTGCAAAAGCTGACGGTAGCACAGGATTACATGTGGAACAAGATCATTCTCCATATTTTCGCCGCACTTTTCAGTGGATTCACCTTCTGGAAGATTGGAAACGGCACTTTCGACCTGCAGTTGAGACTCTTTGCGATTTTCAACTTCATCTTCGTTGCCCCTGGCTGTATCAACCAGATGCAGCCGTTCTTCTTGCATAGTCGTGATATCTTTGAGACACGAGAGAAAAAGGTGAGTACGCTAGTGGAATCCTATTGACATACAAGTATCGCTAAGACTGGTTTCCATATAGTCCAAAACCTATCACTGGAGCGCCTTCATTGGAGCGCAGACTTTGACGGAGATTCCATACCTTATCATTTGCGCTACACTCTACTTTGCATGCTGGTACTTCACAGCAGGACTTCCGGTGGAGGCTAGCGTTTCCGGGCATGTCTATCTTCAGATGATTTGTAAGTGACACCAAGTCTTCGAAGATCGATTAAAGTATCTAACATCAAGGCAGTCTATGAACTCCTATATACGTCCATCGGCCAGGCAATTGCGGCATATGCACCGAACGAGTATTTTGCGGCTGTGATGAACCCCGTCTTGATTGGTGCCGGCCTGATCAGTTTCTGTGGCGTGGTGGTTCCTTACTCCCTCATGCAGCCATTCTGGCGATACTGGATTTACTACTTGGACCCTTTCAACTACTTGGTTGGTGGGCTGTTTGGCGAGGTGATCTGGGATGTCAAGGTCAAGTGTGCACCATCGGAATTTGTGCAGTTCACCGCGCCGTCTGGTCAGACCTGCGGTCAATACATGGCCGATTTCCTCGCCACGCAGACTGGCTACCTAGCCGATGGAAACTCGACTGGAACATGTTCATTCTGTCCGTATTCCGAGGGTTCGGATTACGCGAAAACGTTCAATCTCCGGGAAAAATACTATTCGTGGAGAGATGTGAGTATATCCTGGTCGATTTGGCCTAGGTTGCGATGCTAATTGTTCATTGTTAGACCGGTATCACCGCCCTATTCTGCTTCTCGTCGTACGCCTTGGTATTCTTCATGATGAAGCTCAGGAGCAAGAAGACGAAGAGTGCCCGTTCCGAATGAGCGATCGCGACCAAGTAGACGATAGGGCCTTGGTGAAACTATCATCAGCATCATTCATAAATCTAGATTGCTTTCAACTTTTGCGGGGTATAATTATAACAATATGCCCCAGTGCGTTCTTTGCTTCTTTAGATCATCTCTTTCGGCATTTGCTCCTTTTGTTACCAGCCATAGGTCACTGTGTTTAACCAGAACCCCATTAGATAGATCTCTTTTATTGTTACTTTCTTTATTCTATAGACTCCTATGCAGATTATTAATTATATTATGTTTTTGTTTTCTTTTATCTCGGTACTTTTGCTAGTCCTAGATGATCTACCAATTGAGTTTCTGTCCGCTTTTGGATTTGGGCCGAGCCGTTGAGATTGCGGCGAACCCCGAGACCCCCGAGGCTCACAGCCCTTAGTCACAAGGATATCGACACCCACATGTACAACATAGAAAGACTAGTACCGTCCGAAAATATAAAAAGGTCCAAAGAACCCCTGATTCTGCATTGTATCAACACCCCTCTAATCCTTAAAGATGCGGTTCGACGTTCTTGCGATCTTCCCTCTGGCTGCCAGTGCGGTCAACATCATCTCATCTAATGATGATGGCTGGGCGGAAACAAACATCCGCGCTCTGTTCGAGTCTCTAGGAGCGGCAGATCATTCAGTTGTGATATCTGCGCCCGCCGAGAACCAGAGTGGAAAGGGTATTCTATGCCTTCTTTCTTCCCAATCCCGCTCTTTTATTGACATGCGTCACTACAGGGTCAAAGGAAAAAACGCCGACTGTCTTGACTGAGGCTTGCGAGTTCAATAGCTGCCCGTCTGGTAGCCCTGCTGTGGGATTTAATGCCTCCGAGGTTAGTACCGTGCCCGGTGTTACTAGAACGGCAGACTGATCGTAGCAAAAATAGCCCCGACTTGGTTATGTCAACAGCTACCCAGTTACCTCAATTCAATACGGCATCGATACGCACGGCCCGGAATTCTTCGACGGTCCTCCTGACTTGGCCGTCACAGGTCCTAATGTCGGGAGTAACATTGGTCTCGAAGTTTTCATCTCTGGAACAGTGGGCGCTGCCACCTACGCTGCGAAGAATGCGATCCCTGCTATCGCCTTCTCCGGCGCTAGTGGCTCTCAGACTTCATGGGATAGCGAGCGGCCCCACTACAGTGATGTCTATGCCGATTTGGCAACCAACTTGACAAACCACTTGGTTGCTGCTGGCAAGCCATACCTCCCGAATGGTATCTGGCTGAATGTCAATTTCGGAAAGGTCTCCGATGAATGCGCAAGTCCGGCCGATTTCGCTTTCGTTCTCTCTCGCATCCATATCCCAGTTCCACTTGTTTCTAGCGATGACGTGACCACGTGTGGCCGTTCGAGATTACCAAACGAATTGGAAATATCGCTAGCGTCTGGGTGCTATGCAAGTGTCTCAGTTGGGATTGCAGACTCGAAGAGAGATGCCCACGCTGACATCCAGGGGGTTGTTCTGAAGAAGTTAGGCAATTTACTTACTTGTCTACCGTGATTGGTTGTAAAAAAGACACCGGTGCCAAGAACGTGCAGATCATGTTCCTGGTTATCACCACGTGTTGTTTTCGATCATGCTATGTTGCATGAGAGAATATTATTAGCTTCCTACTAGGGTTACATGTGAGACAACTATTGTATATTAAAATCCACATTAGCTTGTTTTTAGTGCAGATAAGAGCATGACAAAGAAAATGCCTCAGTCTGTGAGGTTCCTCATTTAGCATTCGGAGAAACACAGCGAAACGAATCACCGGGCCTGTCGATCGCACGCGTAAAAAGCAATCTAATCTTGAATCAGAGTTTTACCTCGAACTTTACTAGCCTCCACTATCCTTCATCGGGGCTGAAGACCGTTTTTTTCCGGACTTTAACCCCTCGAAGGATGCGGGTCTAGCGACAAGGTACCATATCGTTCGATCAGGATTGAATAATGGTCTAAAGTACGGAGTACATGTACAATATAAATATTCCGAACAAATCCCCGTTTATTCATTGCAAGATACATTCTTAACGCCAGCTATCGATCTCAATATGCTTCCTCAACTAATTACTGCGCTGACTGCTCTCGCTGTGCTGCCTGTGACAGCTAGCCCGCTTGAGTTGTCGCGCCGCGGAACAGTTGCTTCCAGCGCTCTCGTCGGACTTCCTCAAGCAGTTCCTGCCGGTGCCACTGGCGACCGCTATTTGGCATACCAGCCAAAGCTCAAGGTTGTCAATGGCTGCGTACCTTTCCCAGCCGTAGATGCAAACGGAAACACGAAGTGAGTGAGAAAATTGCCTCTACACGGTCTGATCTAATACCTATGATTTAGTGCCGGTCTCAAGCCATCAGGAAGTTCCAACGGCGGATGCAGTTCGAGCACTGGGCAAGTCTACGGTGAGTTTCTTCGGAAGTATCCCATTAAATAGCCCGGGACATATTGACTAACGGGCTTCCTTTGCAATCCACAGTGCGAAGCGGTACTTCGGGCGGCAAGAATGCCCTGATGTATTCCTGGTATTTCCCCAAGGATGAGCCTTCAACTGGTATCGGCCATCGCCACGATTGGGAGGGTGTTATCATCTGGCTATCCGACGCCACAAGTACCGCTGCCTCAAGCATCGTGGCCGTTTGTCCTTCGGCACATGGTGGCTGGGATTGCACTACAGACAAATTTACACTTGATGGAACCTCATCTCTGATCAAGTATGAGTCTGTTTGGCCCTTGGATCATTCTTGCGGCCTGACTACTGCCGTGGGCGGCACACAGCCGTTGGTTGCCTGGGAGTCAATGACAAGTAAGTTGCCCAACATACCCCCCAAGGCCTGGAAGCTAGTAAGCTAACCTGGAACTTTCAGCTGTCGAGCAAACTGCTTTGGATACAACCGACTTTGGAGCTGGAAATGTTCCTTTCAACGAGAACAACTTTGCTAACAACCTAGCAAAGGCAACCTACTGAGCTCAAGAACAGGAAGGTCACCCACCAGAGGAATGGGGTCAAGAGAAAATCGTTGTGGATGGCTTGCTTTCGTCTCCTTAGCATATACTAATTTTGGTAGCTAATACGAATAGGCTACTACAATAAGCTTACGGGTGTTTAAAGTCAGTAGATCAACCTTCATATAATGCTCTCCCTACTGAAGTCCTTGCTCCATCCGGCCTGGCCTGTGGTGCGTCGTCGTAACTCGACAACGTGGTAATGTTGCTGCCTGCCAGGCAACCTTCTTATGACCCTTTTTATAGCAATGATGAGAGCGACTAGACTAGCTCGAAATGTCCGTCCAAATGATAGCATGACAAATTGTAAAGGGGCAGCAAAGAGGAGAACAAATGCTACTGCCAATGCTGCGACCTGGTCCAAGTCACTCTTGTGAGATGACGTGTTCACGCATAAAGATGGTCCGTGATGAGGCTGAGTTATCGCGATCTCAAAATTGGGATTGTGATCTGTTGAACCTCAAGGCAAAATGCCAGATGAAAGGGGAAGATAGTTGTATTTCAGAAGGAGGCGAGCTCCTAGAACTATCTGCTAGTTAACTATCTGATATCCTGGGCTGTGGCCTAGTCTGCAAGGCAACCACAAGCATACTAATATCCGACAGACATCCATTTCAACATGACCTATGTAGTTATCGAGAATCTTTAAGAAAGTCACGTAAAAATTTCAGCCAAAATTTCAGCCCAAAGTGACTAGTTAATTTTCAGATGGTCAAATCAATCCCCCGCTGTAGGTGGAGGGATCGCATCTATGACTAGAACAAGCGACCAACTAATATATATAACCTGCTCCTCCGCTCCAAACCCTATATACATTTATGACTCAAATCAAGCCTTGGTGCGATGAAAAGGAATTTAAGATACCTCAAACTGCCCACATCGCTATCAATCACCACACCTGATTAGCAGGACTCATTCCTGCGCATACTTCAAACCCATCGTCCAGCGACGGTTTATCATGAGTCTTAAGCCAAATCAGTTCAAACAGCAGTTGAAACACACTGAGAATACCACGGGTTTGATGAAGAACAGGCTGCTGGCGATGCACATGCGGTTGCTCCCGTCCAACCGGTTCCTCCGCACTGTCCATAGAGAGTCTGGGTTGCTCCACTCCCGCCAGCAGCAGCAGAAGTGGTAGTAGTGGTCGTACTGGCGATAGCGATCTTCTTGCTGGTAGTGGTAGTGCTGGTAGGCCTTGTGGTGGTCACCAGTGTCGTAGTGGTGGCCTTCGAGGCTGAGCCTGTAGTGCTGCCAGCGGTAGCACTGCCTGTACCTGCACCCGGTGTGCTAGAAGCGGTGATTGCCGAGGTGGTTTGTGTAATTGAGACAGCACCACTGTAAAGTGTTGGTCCCGGGACAACCTGATAAATTGAAATTAGCAAGGGACCGGAACCAAGTGAGATGTCCGCGAGCCTTAACGCCGACTATTAACTTACATAGGTCGATAGAGATGTGTAAATGTTCACGATAATGCCAGGGTCCGTTGGACGGTACAGGTTTGTACCCAAGACACCTGCTGGTTGGTCTGACCCTGATCCGGTGACTTGTAAATTGAAGCATTGAGGATAATTCTGGGCGCCGTCCTCAGTGCCTGCGCTATGGAGTGCGATCCTTCATAGCAGTGTTAGCGCAAATTTTCTAGAAGAATCAGGGGAGTCGACGTACAACTCATGTCTCAGGACATAATGCCCAGGTGCTATCGTGTGGGGAATCTCAACCATCCACCCCGACTTCTGGGCTATGAGCTGATCATCACCCCAAGTGCCGGGGACAGTTGTGTCATCAACTAGTCCGACACCGTCAATCTTGAAGAATTTTAGAGTAGTTTTGTCCACCGTTTCACAGCCACTCGAGCCACAACTAGCGAGATAATCAATGACCGGTCCATGATGCGATTCTGGCCAGTCGGTCCACTGAAGGAAGACTCGGTCACCGGCAGCTACTACCGCATGGCCTTTAGCATTAGTAGCATTGAGATGGCAGATGATATCCGAGGTTTGGTAAGCATCTAGTTTCACAAAGTTAGAAAGGGGATCGGCAACAATGGCATAACAAATAGCGTAACATACCCGGAGCAATGAAGCCATTGCCAGTGTTTGGGGTGCCCCAAGCCACCACAGTTGGAGGTGATGACTCATAAGGATAACTGTTTATGTCCCATCCATTGAAGGAGACACCGTTAATAACGATGTTGGTGACGTGACCATGGGCCGCAACGAGCGACGAGAACAGAACGGGGCCGAGAAGGCTATACATTGTGGTGGTATTGGAAAAAAACAGGTTGAATAAGTTCAAATCTCAAGGAAACAGATATGTTGGGTGAACAGTGAGTAGCGAAAGTCCTTTGCATGCGCTTGTTCTCTGTGATGGAACTGCGCAACGACGATACTTATAGTGATCGAGAGGAGCGTAACTTGGTTTCATGCGTTGTGCTTTCCGGATCAATATCCCGAAAAGGCCTCGGATTGAGAATTATAATTAAAGGGGATGAAACAACTCGCATACATTATGTGCGAAATTAGCAGAACTGAAATAATCTTTCTGCATGGAGAACGACAAGGAAGGGTTAGTTCTGCAGGAAGTCACCACGCCACCAGCGAACGTAGCGCTAACTCCCTGTCGAGACAGCCTAGGATTTAAATCCATCAAGAAGAAGATAATCAAGGAGATTAATGAGGGGTTAGGCGTATGGAGTTGTGATGCAAACCTGACACACTGGTGCATCTGGAGTGGTGTCAGTAGGCGCCCTCGGCACTATTTTCGGAAATGCGCCGTTGAAACAAGATAGAGTATTTGTATTCAAGACTTGTCATTTAGTTATCCATGGACGTATTTAAGATGTTTATTAATGACCTAATATTTTGCGGTCGGAATTAGCGACTGAGGTGACTATGTGAAAAAAAAGGGAAAGAGGATATAATTGAAGACAGCTAAGCTTAACAAATACAGCCATCAAAGACATTGCATACCAATGCGACTATCTTGGATATCTAGTAGACATAGCGGAAGTTTAAGTTTTCCCGATCGGTCTTATCCTCGAATGCATGAATGAGGGTTGGATCTGCGGCACTGAGACCTGCCTCTGCCAATATCTTATCCTTTTTGGCGTTCTCACGCTTGAGATGGAAGCGGAGGTAGACAACGGCGGCAACCATACAGGCATAACAAGCCAGATGAACACTCCAGGCAATGTGGTACCGTGGTTTATCTGTGTCAAGGAACACCTGGGGACCTTTTATTTGTTAGCTAGGAACTCAAATTCTCCACAAGGAACCCGAGATACTTACCAATTGCGTTACCAGCAGCCCATGACACGAATGTTGCAGCTACCACAGTGGACTTCTTGGTTTGGCCAGCAATATTTCGTGATACCATCGACAACGTGAGAGTTTGGGCCGACCAGAATGACAGAGTAATGTAGTAACTGATGAGAAGGCCAATTTTGGTGGGCAAAGTAGTGTTTTCGACAGTTATAAGAACAATGGTTCCGATGAAAGACCTGCGAACTGTCAGTCTGCCCTCACGAAAAACAAGAAAGAAGAAATACATACGGAATGATGAAGCACAACATCACGATCGTGTTCTGCTTGAACTTGTTCACCAGCCATGCGGACGACAACAGCACAATGATAATGTAAGCGCCCAGCACCATAGCAAGCAGCTGGGTTTGCAACACAGTAAAGTCGAAGCTGGAGACAATAATACCAAAGAATGCGCCTAGACCGCTTGTAGGAAGAGTGGTGAACATTTGAACAGCACAATAACACCACATCTGTGGATCGCGGAACGCCTCCCACATTTGGTATGCATGGAACTTTCTGTTCTGAATACCTGTCTGATTAGAACGCAGACGTTCTACCATAAGACGTTTGTCTTCCTCGCTGAAACACTTCGCACGCATGGGGGAGTCAGGCATATACCAAATGACGAAGATTCCCCAAAGAACGGAGATACATCCGTATGTCAGGAAGAGTGCTTGCCAAGACTTGAGCACCTTGTCTGCTCCAATAAGGGTGAAACAGTATGCCAATAGACCACCGACAATCTGCTGTGCACCGTTCATCATGTACCTATTTCCCCATTAGATCAACGTAAACTCGCTAGTAGACGAGTATCCACATACCAGTATGTCACCGTGGCCGCTTGTTCCTCTCGCTTGTACCACATCGAAGAAAGAGTCACAAAAATGGGCTGGCAGCAAGCCTCAAAGATACCCAGGAGGGTACGAACAATGACTAACCCAGTGAAGTTCTTACAGGCCGAATGGAGTGCCAGAATCATACCCCATAGACAGATGTTGATACCCAGGTATTTGCCGAGTGGGACTCTTTGGATGATCCAGTTGGTGGGATATTCGACGATGAGAACAGCAATGTAAATACAGGTAGTCAACCAGGAGTACTATCGATAGGAGTAATGAGCATGCTGATAGAGATGAAAGCTCAAGAAGGATTGCATACCTTTTGCCCATCATTCAGATTCGCGTCATCCTTAATCCCCATAATAGCAGAGAACGACATAGTCCCCTTGTCCAAAGCCTGTAGGAAATATGTGCAAATCATGACAACAAGGACACGGCGATCAATCAGGCGTTTGAGGCGCTTGTTGGTGGCATCGTCAATTTCCACCTGACTGTGGGCGGCATATGCTTGGATTTCCTTATCCACACGGGTGATGTCCATGTTATCCTTCGCGAGATCATCGGATGCCGAGAGAACCTTTTCGACATGTGAGATATCTTGCTTGCTCTCGTACTCTCCCATGTCAACTTTTGGTTGCTGTTTGTGCGCTACCTCGATTCCCTCGACAGGGGCTGTCTCAATGCCCTGATGAGGTGTTACCTCAATCCCCTGCTGGGGGTCGTCTTTGCCTTCGGCCATGGTAAAATGATAACAGTATGAGCAAAAATGCAGTTTACCAGGGGACACAGATGAAAGAAAAGCGAGATATTCCTTTGGACTTATAATACCCCACAGCTTTGCTGTCAGGGCCGTGCATGATCCCAAATCGAAGCCGCCCTAACCACATGTAAGGGTATTAGCCGACTAAAAGAGTCATGTGGGGTTTCCAATGAGTAGGTCTATCGTATTAACCGGAAGTCAAATCAAGTCAAATCGAGTTAAACCAAGCCAAGCGGTCACCTCCGTCTCCTTTTCAAGATTGTTTCCCCGGCTTTCTTGGCAAAGGAGCAGATAGTACGCTAGTCCTTTCCCCACGCTGGGGAATCCGGGGATTTACTCTCCCGATGGCCGAAAGGTACCTTTCTCATTGCGGTGGGTCTGGATAAATACACTTTCCAGGTATCTTGGTGATTTGCAACTCGGTCTTCTCTCACCCGAATCACGCTTGGCCCCCGCGGGGATGCTTCGTGGCGTTTGACTCAAAAGCTCATTAGTGGAAGAACTTCCACCAAGACTTCTGAGCTGTAGACCTTTCGGGACAACATATTATTTCGTTTCCCAGACAAAAAGTCGTGGAAAATCTTATTCGTCGAAAACACAATATCCAGTATCCCAGCATCACAAAATGTCGTCCCCTAAGCCCACGGGCCCCGAAATTCACAACGCCGTCAACCTGTTAATTGACAATTTGGTCAACATCAAAGACGAGACAGGAAGATTTTTACTGCCACTTCCTGACGGGCGCATTATTGATACCAAGTCTTGGCAGGGTTGGGAATGGACACACGGCATTGGACTGTACGGTGTGTGGAAGTACTACGAGCTTACGGGTGATGAGAGATTGTTGAAGATCATCGAGGACTGGTTCGCGGCACGATTTGCTGAAGGTGGCACCACCAAGAATATCAACACAATGGCTGTCTTTTTGACTCTCGCCTACGTTTATGAGAAGACCGGCAATGTCATCTACCTGCCGTGGCTCGATGCATGGGCTGAGTGGGCAATGCACGAGCTCCCCCGCACACGCTGTGGTGGAATGCAACATATGACTTATATCACAGAGAATTACCAGCAGCTCTGGGATGACACTTTGATGATGACTGTCATGCCCCTCGCGAAGATCGGAAAGCTTTTGAACCGACCCCAATATATCGAAGAGGCAAAAAAACAATTCCTTACACACATCAAATATCTTTTCGACACAAAGACTGGTCTCTGGTTCCACGGCTGGACGTTTGAGGATGGCGGACACAATTTTGCGGATGCGCGCTGGGCTCGTGGCAACAGCTGGGTCACAATCGTTATTCCCGAGATCATCGAGTTGCTCGACCTACACCCAAATGATCCTATTCGTCTGCACCTGATAGATACTCTTGAGGCACAGTGCGAGGCCCTCCAGCGCCTTCAATCGTCATCCGGCGCGTGGCACACTCTCCTTGACCACCCCGACTCGTACTTGGAAGCATCTGCGACCGCTGGATTTGCTTACGGTATCCTCAAGGCCGTTCGGAAACGTTACATCGGTGCCCAGTACCGTCCAGTTGCTGAAAAGGCCATTTCTGCGGTGATTGGATACGTGGATGATAAAGGAGAATTGCAGAATACCAGCTTTGGCACAGGGATGGGTGACTGTCTTGACTTTTACAAGAAGATTCCATTGACCTCGATGCCTTATGGCCAGGCTATGGCTATCATGGCGTTGGGCGAAGCGTTGCGTGATCTGCTGTAAGGAATGAACGTCTTAATGACTGAAATGGCAATGGAATGTGGGCATGACCTGAATCATAGAGCTGTACATAGGCATCTTGCCTGCACGAACGGACTTGCTAGAGATAGAATGAAATGAACAACATCATGAAATGTGAATCTTATATCACTCCACTGGCCAGTGGCCCTGAACCTTGTCACCCAGGCCAGCTCTCTCCACGACCTCTTTGCTTCTTCTTTGTGCTTCCTGCACAATTTCCTCCTCATCCATCGTCATGAGCTTTCCATCCTTGACCAAAACCTTCCCATTAACCACAACAACGTCAACATCTCGTCCAGTCGCAGTATAAACAACTGCGCTGACTGGGTTAAACCAAGGCTGGGTGTGGATTCCTCGAACATCGATAGCCACAAAGTCAGCCTTCTTACCAATTTCCAGACTGCCAATCTGTTTATCCAAGCCGAGCGCTTTGGCGCCATTGATTGTGGCCATCTCCAGCACATTTTCGGCTGGAACGACCGTGGGATCTTGCGAGATGCCCTTGTGAATAATGGCGGCGAGTTTCATCTCCTGCAAGAGATCACATGTATTGTTACACGGCGCGCCATCGGTACCCAGGCCAATGTTGACTCCGGCATTTTGTAGATCTGGTACTCTGCAGATTCCAGATGCAAGCTAGACGTCGTCAGACCGTAAAGTCAAGCGTGTGTATAAATTAACCTGGCAATGAAACTTACCTTTGCATTAGATGTCGGGCAGTGTGCGACATGCGTTCCGGAAGAAGAAAGCAGCCTTCATGATATCATCAGCCTCCGTTGCCTCAATTTACATATATTCGATCCTCACTCAATGTCCGAGTCATCTAGATGAACCATATGAGCAAGTACAGTGGTGTCACTTAGCAAGCCAACTGATTTGCAATATGACATCGGGGTGTGAGAGATCGAAGCGAAAAAGTCACGATCGGCCTTGACCTCAGCGCAATGCATGGTGATAGGTATACCCTTATCTTTGGAAATGGCAGTCATTTCCTTATAAAGCGAGTCCGATACTCTGATTTATTGTTAGCAAGGGACACCCAATGGCAGTCCCGTCTCATACCCTCCAGGAGTTCTGGCACCAAACCAGACTCTGATTCTATCATCGGCTGCACCATTCCACTTCTCCCACATCTCCAAAGTTCCAAGCAATGAGGTTTCACGGTTCTCAACAAGGCCAGGATACATGGCCCAGGCGTCATCTTTGGCATATTTCGCGATGTCCATGACAATTTTACCTAGACAGCCACGGATGCCACTCTCCTCAACCGCGCGACATAATCCGTCAAAACCATATCGATCTGCAAACTTCACTCAGATCAGTCTCTGCTTAGTCAATGACATCAATGGGTTATAGTACCATGCTCTCCAAAAAGCAGGTTGTCCCCGATTTAAGCATCTCTCCGATGCTCAATCGTGCTGCAGCGTACCCGTCCTCCGCCGTAAAGTTGCCCTGGAGAACCCAGATTCTCTCGCATAACCACGAAACCAGTTCGAGGTCGTCGGCTGTACCTCGTAGCAAGGTCTGTGCAGTGTGCATGTGGGTCGAGATCAACCCCGGAATGATGATCCGACCGGAGAGATCGCACTCTTCATCGGCTGCATACTTTCCCTTGAGGATATCTGTTTTGCCAATATCCACAATGACATCGCCGACTACATAAATTGCTCCGTCGGTAATTATACGTCGAGAAGTATCCACAGTAACAACAGTTGCATGAGTGTAAAGCATGGCGAATCGCTAGACAGGTGTGAAAACAAGCGCTAGCGGCTGTGAAAGAGATACCTGGTCAATGTTCTAAATAATGGAACTTACCCCAGAAGAACCATCAGGGAACTTATATCGTCAAATTCGAGGCCCCACGCGAGACCAAACATCGGAGTCGAAGCATCGGAGTCTGCCGACGTACGAAAAGATCCGCGTTGAGGGGCGTGATAAGATAACAAATGAATCTCAGAATTGACACATTTCCCATGAGATGGGGAGAGCTCTGATTTAGTGGAGTATAGTGGAGAAATATGGCACATGTTACAATGTAAATCGTTGAAGGGGATTCTTCCAAGTTTGCCTGTGTCGACATTCACGCAGTGTATAAAAATCCAGACACTAAGCTATAATCTAGAAACTCTTCTTCAGCCACTGGGTCTGCGAATTGCAGTACGCAAGCAGGCCATCAAGGCCCCATTCCACACCCATGCCACTCTGCTTGTGTCCACCAAAGGGTGCATTCGGTGCAACATCAAAGTGGCTGTTTACCCACACACAGCCCGACTGGAGTTGATCTGCAATCCGAGTTGCACGTTCGAAATCTTTACTCCAGACAGAAGAGCCCAATCCTGTCTCCAAAGCATTCGCACGTTCAAGGACATCGTCCTCGTCAGACCATTTCATGATGGGAAGAATGGGAGCAAATGGCTCCTCCTGTACCACGCGCGATGTCTCCGGAGGATTATCGATAATGGTCGGATGGATGAAGTACCCGGAAGAAGCCTCGATCGAGCCTCCAAGCGCAGCTTTCAGGTTTTCAGTACTAATACTGCTGAACAGGTCCTTGGCTTTCTCATATTGCATCTGATTTTGAACAGGGCCGAAGAAAGTATCTGCCTCGGTACCTTCGCCGACTTTCAGGGTCTTGACAAACGTGATTACTTTGCTCAAGAACTCATCGTAGATCTTCTCGTGCACATAAAGTCGTTTGATCATCATGCAGATCTGCGAGCTGCAGAGATAAGAAAGAACTCCAATCTTGGGGATAATAGCATCGATATCAACATCGTCGCAGATAATTGCCGGGTCATTGCCACCCAGTTCGAGTGTGACTCGCTTGAGAGTCGGAGCACATGCAGCCATAACCCGCTTTCCAGTGGCAATCGACCCAGTAAAGCTGATCTTCTGAATTCCAGGGTGAGCAGTGAACAACGGGCCGAGAGATTCCTCACCACTCAGGCATTGGATCACGCCAGGAGGGAAGAAGTTGGTCGCAAGCTCGACCAGCTTCAAGTCACAATAAGGTGTGAAGGGGGACGGCTTCACAATAATGGTGTTTCCGGTGTACACAGCAGATGTTATTTTTCCGACGGCCAGAAGGACAGGGAAGTTCCAGGGGACAATGGCACCCACCACGCCGATGGGTGTGTGGCGTTGAACGATCTTCCTATCTTCGGTTTCCTCGATGATGTTGTCTTTAATCTCAATGGCAGTGAGACCACGAATCCATAGACTTGCCATACCCACCTCTGCAGATGATTGACTCAATGGCTTTCCTTGTTCCATTGTAAGGGTTTTCGCAAATCCGTCGGCATTGGCGTCAATGGCATCGGCCCAGGCATGCAGGGCTTTACGTCGCTCTTCAAAGGAAGTCTTGGCCCAGCTCTTGAAAGCATCTTGAGCTGCCTTTACGGCTTTGTCAAGATCATCCTGGGACGAAACTGGTACAGGTGGGTTAGGCTGAGTGTTGGCAGGGTTGATCCCCTGTCGGGTTTCCGATGTTGTAGTCAATTGGTTATTGATCACATTGTGGAATGTCTATTTCAAAGAAGATAAGTCGTGGGATCGAGATAATAGAGCCTTCAGAGACTCACGGAAAAATCCAATGTTTTGGCGTCTGCTGTCATTTTGAGCTTCAACTTTCAATACAAAGGGATTATGTTGAGAGGGATGCAAAAACAACCTCGCACAATCAGGGCTGGAGCGATTGAAACCACGTATTTATAAGGTATGCTAGAAACCTAGGCACATCCAAAAGCCGCAATTAGTCGCCCAAAATGCCCCTGTAATAGCCTCTCAAGGTCAACCCTATACTTCCATATGTAGACCTGACTGCATTTCATTACCCTGTTGTTCTCTCTAAATAGCATTTCTTTGGACGATCCCTGCAGTTCATTTCCCTTTTTGGTCGTGAGATGGGGATCTTGTCTTAATCCTTGCGTCTTGGCAATGTGCGGGGTACCAGGATCCCCCTCGGCTCTCGGTTTCCTCAGGATAACCTCAGGGAGCTATTCGCGTGAGCTTTGGGCATCCCACGAGCTACGGGATGCGAGCACGGTACTTGACCCCTTCACGACTTGGGCGTTCAGGAGACAAGCCAGCGCTCGGTAAGATAAGCCGGCTAAACGCATCTCGCTATCCATGGATATGCTGCATGCAGGTGGTATTCAAGTATATCCGACATTGATACAGTAATGATGAAAAGTCACCGTGTGCTTGTTCACCGACAGAGAGCTGAGCCTTGGGATGCATACAACTCGCCAGATTGGGGCCACCTGGTATAATTGGAAGCGCACATATATATGCCAGCTTTGAATTTCGGATAGTCCACCACGGCAATATCGCTAATAATATTGATTGTAACAACTTCCACAGCCTAATTTCAGGTTGATAGTGAAGATATTCGTGGTGGAATATGATGCACCTCATACTTTATTTATATTCAGTCTTCCATATGGGCCTTTCCTATTTTAGCCGCCGGTTTCCAATATACGGCCGCTCAACCGGGCTCATTGCCTCAGACTAAATTATTTAAATTATTCAAGGATGTATTTAAGACATCTCTGAGCTTATCTATTCGGCCACATGGATCTCGGCGCCAATGATGTTCTACTTGATGTTGAACAGACTCCCTAGAAGTTGATCAGATCCGCTGCAGGAGTATAGATAAGATCATACCCAACAATCATAGTATTTTTTCTTGTGACACTGACTTCCTATTTATATTTTGTACATAAACATATGCATAGGTTGTACAACATACATTATAGCACATGGACCCTTCACATATTTATCGGTGGTGGGTACATCCTCGTCACACGGCTCCATCAATGACGATATTCTCCATATATAATTTCTTCTACATGTAAATTTCTGAAATAGGGCCGATGCCCTAGCCCTGCTCCAGCGACAATTATTTAAGATCACTCAGGGGAATTCTGATTTAATCTCAAAATACCTTGGAAGTCAAAGGAATTCACCACAATGTTTTCTCAATATTTTGGGCCAATTCTCACCCATTTCGTGGATGAAGCCATTCATTCCTTTCGCCGTTGCATCTTGTGACTAATATACAGCGACTGCTTCCACTTAAATGAGCCAAAAAAATGCCATTTTGTGCAGAAACTAACTTGTTACAACCGAAGCAACAATATCTCCAGGCACGAGTCGCTAATGCAACCACATGGTAGTTCCCGCCCCCAATCGCCCCCCGCTGGGAATGATCCGACTGGTCCAGGTAACTATCAACCCCTGAATTGTGCCCCTGCCCTTGCTACCCGCCCCCTCTCCAGCCACAATATAGTCTCTATGATGATTGACCTCTTCCCTTTCTGCAAAGAATTTGTTGAATCTGTGTCTATCTACATTGTTTCATATTGGTCTCTGAGTTACTGAATTGTGATCTCAATCTTTTTTGATTTGTCATACTGTTGCATGATTTAAGGCTAATTGATTTATGTTGATTAGACACCACAGGTGCGGCTTATATCCTATCCACAGATGGGTAAAACTGGGATACATAAGGATCATCATTGATATATTAGTTTAGGTTGTCGCGATCAATTAGAATCATCACATTTCGAGAATTCTTGCATTCCGTTTACCATTGAAAATCCAGAGGTTTACTTGGTTTTCTTTCCACACCTTAAAACGAAGGAGCTACTTCAATGTTGATGTCTTAAAAAAGCTCATCCTGATATCGTTTCTCGATGCCTCAAAAAAAGTACTTAACCCGCGATAAGCCCTGTTAGGTAACTATCGGTACGGCTAAGAGACATGTGGAAGTTGGAGGTGCAGCAAAAGCTCGGATATCTTCCAACATGGATAATTATGACTGATTAACAACACATAACAACGATTAAAAATTCGGGTTCAACGTATTGGAAGCCCAAGAAACCCAGGTACTACCGATACTGGTGAATGAGCTACAATTTGTTAAGATAAATGAAATGAGATTGTATATTGTGCGCTTGAGACGCAACATACTATTGAAACGTATAGTGGCCACCTTTGATTAAATATCTGTTTCTGAATCATAGCTGGGTGATGGTCTATATAAACCCAGGACTGTAATATTATAACAGACTTCTACCTAGTTGAGGTTCAATGTTGTCAGTAATTCATGGGATCTATGTCTTGGCGCACGGACCAGCATTTTGTGACATCACCCCGAGTCTAATCACCGGACGGTCTACACCTTGCGTCTCATCTTGAAATCTTGTTTATCCTGCCATCATTGCGACGTAGTCCCAATATATATCCCTTGCTAACTTTATGATCTTCAACGACGATCTACCAATAACTTGTATTGTTATTTTAGGTAGGATTTTGTCTTCTGGCCTGTGCGAGCTGACTGGAGACCCCTAGAGAAGATCGTCCTTCGAATGACGCGCCGGCTGAGCGCCTCTTCGTCAACCTCTCTTAAGTGTTATACTTGAAGGCGATATGGTGCTTGGCGTACGTTTTTTTCGACGTCAAAGTGAATTTAGGCATCATCCTGCAGGGCTATCTCTGCAGCTTATTTAAAGACCCTGATCTCCGCCTAGTTGTGCAGATACAAATCAACTCACTACATCTTGAACACAATATCTATTCTATCTCAAATTCCATACAAATTCCATCAATCTATCACAATGTTTCACCGACGTCGCCCGGCTACCACAACCACTCGCACCACCAAGCCTACGCTGATGACCAAACTCAAGGGGCGAAATGCGAAATCGCGCACCGTCAAAACCACAACGACAACACACCAGAATCCCGTCCACGGCCATCATCATACTGGTCACACTGGTGGTACTGTGCACACTGGTCGTACCGGTCCCACTGGGGGCCGCTTTGGTCATAGGAACGCCTATGGAACACCTACTCATACCCGCCATCAGCGCAAAACCACCCTTGGCGACAAGGTTTCCGGCGCTATGTTGAAGCTGAAAGGAAGTTTGACGCATCGACCTGCAGTCAAGGTAAGGACCGAATATCTCTGGCTCAACTTGGACTCGAGCTAATATTTTAAACCTAGGCTGCTGGAACCCGCCGCATGCATGGTACTGATGGACGTGGAAGCCACGCACACCGTGTCTACTGATTGATACCCTGTATACTATCACGAGTTACGAATGGTGGTTTAAGCTTTTTGATTTTTTTCCCGTCAATTCTTTGAGATACTGTGATTTACCTGTACCATAAGAGCCAGATCAATTCTACTGTTTAATGTCTCCAAAACGACCTTAGGTTCGTAATCTCAAATGTAGAAGTAGATTTCGCTTTATTCCCATGGCACAATTATCCTACTGAGCCATTCTTCGGGTCCTTAAGTGCAGTCTAGTGAGTAATAAAAACAGAAATCGAAATGATAGGCGCCGTTTCTCCAACCTTGAAATACCGGGCCGGTGCGATAACGTGGGTGCCCAGATGCCCCACCAAATTTTTACATAAGTGCGGGACTCCCCAATTACTCACTTGGACAGAACAACACCCGTGGATCCTTTCAGCTATATATCTATACAATGCCGTCCATTCAAGAGAGCAAATTGGCCTTCATTGGCGGCGGCAACATGGCCTCCGCCATCATTGGTGGCCTGTTGAGCAAGGGCGTCAACAAGCAGAATATCTGCGTCTCCGAGCCGTGGGAGGTCAACCGCGAGAAGATGGCCGCTCTCGGAGTGCGGACCACCACTTCCAATGTCGAGGCTGGAGGTGATGCCGATTTGGTTATCATTGCAGTCAAGCCCCAAGTTACCAAGGCTGTGTGTCAGGAGCTCGGTGGTGCCTGGTCGCCGCGCGCGACTTTGCCCGTCGTCGCCAGCATTGCTGCGGGTATTACTCTTGACAGCTTGAAGGAATGGTTGACAACAAGCGATAGCCGTACGGCCCACACTGTTCGCGTGATGCCCAACACCCCCGCCCTAGTTGGTGAGGGTGCTTCAGGTGCTTTTGCTAGTACGGACGTCACCCCGGATGAGAAAGAGCTTGTCAATGCTTTGCTCGGAAGTGTTAGCAAGGCTACCGAGTGGGTGGACCGCGAAGAACTCCTCGATGTCGTCACTGGATTATCCGGTAAGTCTCCTGCGTCAAAAGCCATGCGGCATGTCATCAACCCGTATCATTCTGACCCCATTAGGATCTGGACCTGCCTACTTCTTTGCCATGGTTGAGCACCTGGTTGCAAGTGCAACTGCTCTCGGCCTCCCTGAAGAACAAGCCACTCGCTTGGCTACACAGACATGTCTCGGTGCCGGCAAGATGTTGGTCGAGAGCTCTGACAGCCCTTCTCAGCTGCGTAAGAACGTGACTAGTCCCAATGGCACCACCCACGCTGCTCTCCAGACATTTGAGTCTCTCAACTTTAAAGAGATCGTCGACAAGTCTGTCCAGGCTGCCACTGCTCGCTCTGCTGAGCTCGGTGCCAAGCCTTAGAAAGGGAAACTCGACAAAAATGAATAGCTGGAATCTATATAATGATATCCGAGATACTCATGCGAAATGAAACAAATAAATAAAATCCAATGACCCCCTATTTAGGTGAACTAAGTAGAGTCCCAAATGTCGGAGCCACGACTCCGACCTGACGTGGTCCGTGCGTATCGGCTTTCTAAACTTGGAACAGCTCGACAGGCGAGCTTCTCCTTCTCAGTTCATAGGCATACTATGTATGAACAATGATGGTTTCTTTTTGGCCCTGGAAGGTGAGATATATGACATATTATTATTTTGCTTTACTTGCCGCTAACACTACCAAGGGCGATGACAACTCTGCAGCTTCTTTTGAGAAGACCCTATCCACGCTGTCGACGAAGATCGCCCAGGCCACCACGCGCCTCGACCAGCAACGTCAGTCTTCCCGGCGCATCAAGGCTCTCTGGACGCTCTACTCTACATTTGCCTATCTGTTTTACTCCATAATCCTCGCCCTGGTACTGGGATGGGAGAGCTGGGGAATCAAGGAATATGCAGCTATCGCAGGCGGGCCGGTCCTGTACGTCTGTCCTTAATCTGCACGTTCCCATGTCGCTGACATTTAGTTTTTTGTTCCACCAGAATCTACGGTGTGCGCACTCTCAGCTCCAGGATCTTCGACTACCGAATTGCCCGCATCCAACGCCGCCTTGATGACTTCCACAAACAGCGCGAGGAGACCATCGAAAAGCTCAAGGTCGCAACCAAGTACAACTCCACCCAGCAACTACTAGAGAAGTACGGCGGCGAGTCCCCCAAGCCCTCTCCGGGTCCAAAGGGACAAGCCGAGAAAGGAAAGCCTGCACAGCAGCCACAGAATGTGGCCCGCACTGGTCTCCCGCCGCCGCCCACTGCCAATATTCGCTCTCCTCCCTCCGCACCGCAAACCCCGAACGACCCGCCATCCCCTAATTATCCCCCTCCCCTTTTCGAGCCAACCCTGGGCGGCCCGCAAACCCCACAGCAGCCCCCTTTCCCACCTGCTTTCTCTCCTCAAACACCCATCGATCAATCTGGCTTTGCACCGAACGCATTCCCCCAGACCGGTGAATCTACCGAACCACCACACTGGTACGACCGTCTCTTGGATGTTCTGCTTGGAGAAGATGAAACCCAACCCCGCAACCGGATGGTCATGATGTGCAGCACGTGCCGGCTCGTGAACGGCCAGGCTCCCCCTGGGATCAAAACACCGGAAGAGCTGGGCCGCTGGCGGTGTGGCAGCTGTGGAGCTTGGAATGGCGTGGAAAGCGAGGCAACAAAGATTCTCAACAATTTGCGTCAAGATGCTGTGCCAGCCGAGGGGACATGGGAGCCCGTGTCGAAGGCTGACGCGGATACCCAGTCCTCCGAGGGCACAGAAGAGGGCGTGATGGTGGCTTCGAGTGAGGAGGAACAAGTGGACTCCATTGGCTCTGATGCGGAAGACCAGAAGGAAGAGGAGCCTAAGCCCGCCCCTGTGCGGCGCTCCAAGCGCGGTACAAAGGGAGACAAGGCATAGGAGTAGACCATCTTCCATTACTTTATTTATTTCGGAATGGCGTTAGCTCCATTGCTTCCGATGTGTTACCAAAGGCAATCCAACTTCAAGATTTCTCACATGGTATCTAGCTAAGCAAAATCGAAAAATCTCAAGCCAAAATCATACAGCTCATTTATAGCACGTCAATTTCCCAAATCATTGACTTCGAGCTCATGTAGAGACTATCGGGTGCAAGGTCAAGTGCTCAATAGCGACATTTGCAACCTTAACCTCGGCCTCTTCGGCGGAAGCACAACCCTCCACCAGCGCGATCTCAGTCTGATTGACCACCGCCGAGCATCGATACGTAGCCACACCTCCAGACTCGACCCTCTTTCTCTTGAAGACCAAGGTACCTGCTCCCTTCACCATGTTCTGCGCGATATTCCGCGGATGGACGACATTAACCCCGTCGGCAATGACACGCTGGATGTACCAGACTAGGCCGATACGTTCGACGAATGCGTGACACACATCTAGATTGCCCCCAGAGTCGATGAAGATCGCCCCAAGAACACTCTCGATGATATCCGACAAAAATTTATCCGCACGTAGACGAGCGAACAACTCCCACGGGTACTGGCTTCCATGTTCCAAGGCATCGCGAATCTCAGCACTGAGAACTTGGTGCCGCTCGAGACAGGCTTCCCGGGCAGATTTGATGTTAGGACCATGGGAGCGGAGGAAGCGCCATAAGTGGATCTGGGCATAGTGTGGGACAAAGTTGACTTCGCCATTGACGAATTGGGTGACGTGGGAAGGTTCGTCGGGGGCGCATAGCTCCATACAGAAGAATGCGAGGAGGTTAGCGTTGACGACGGAATGCTTGAGCAATGTCATTGGCCCCTGATCCATTTCTACGGGATGGGCTGCGATCACTGCCATGACGACCATGTCGAGGACGGCATCGCCGAGGAACTCGAGGCGTTGGTAGGATTGCGTTGATGTATCGTACTCGCAGGATGCATGAGTGAGCGCCTCTGTTAGAAGGGCAGGGTCTTTGAAAGTATATCCAATCAGACCAGCTAGTCGATGGTGGTTGATTAAACTACTCACGCCTTTACCTGGTGGCAGGATGAGAGGTGAGATGTCGTTTGTGAAGAGATCGATCTCTGGCAAGAAGCGATGCAGACAGGCCTGCGCTTTGCGTATTCCACCGTCTATATAGGCTGCGCCAATGAGGGATTCCACAACATCTGCCAGGACCTTCGTTGATATATTCCTCTTGGCAGTCGATGGTTCCAACTTGTTTTTGATCAACGGTGCAGCCCATTTCCGCGGGGTGAAACGGCTTGTCAGGATAAAGCAGTCAATGCCAGTGTCTAGAGCTGCACGAGCAAGGCGAGTGTTCTGAATAAGCTTGTCACGGCTCTCCGAGAGGTACCCCTCGTGCCAGTTGGTGTTCCGGAAGAATAGCTGGCAACTAACAGTGAATTTAAGGACAGAGTCACCAAAAAACTCGTATCTCTGATAGTTAGTACTGGCCTGTGCAATGGGCGCGCTGATAGCCGTGATGACATGGTCGATGTTTTGAATTTCGACTCCTTTCAAAATGGTATCGTTCAATCGATGTGCCACCAAATATGCCTCTAGTCGGTCCAAAATGGCAGATATGAATAGTCCAAATAGACCTTGTTTCGCTGGAAGCTTGTCGATGACACAAGCTACAGCAGGTAAAACGTACGACTTCTTTGGTGCCTCTGCCTCTCCATCTTCGGCGATATTCATGGCTCGCACCTGGAGGAGATTTCGGCGACGGGGAAGCGATGAACATTCCATTTCAATAGGCGACGCCTTTGTCACCTGGACAGGAACAATCCATCTGTTGAATGTCCGTGGCTCGCTGAATTTGGACTGGTCACGGACGATACCTATAGGCGGGGTAGTTGGATTCCTAGAGTAGGCATCCAGTGCAGGCTCTTTTCCTTCGTACGCCGTAAGCCATTCTCCCAGGTGCTCGTGCAAAATATCGGGGATGAAGAGGGCTACGAAGTCGCGGTCGTCTGCCCGCTGGCGCGAACTGGGAGCTTGTAGATAGAGAGCCGTGGCCCTTCTCATTTGATCCAGTGTCTCGGTTGTAGCCTCAAACGTCGACATTTGCGGATCAAAGTGGAGTTCTAAGGAGGTTTCGGGGTCCCAATAGAGAGGAATTGGGTGTGGCATCGGAGTAAACCTTGGCAAAATTAAGCAGATGGCCATATCTTCGTCTACAGACCCATTTCTGTATATATTCAAGCGTGTCCGGCACAGTTGCCCCGAGGCCCAGCCCTGTGCAAGGTCTATATAAGGGTCATGCTGCTCCGCAGCTTGCACAATGGATGGGAGCGTTATCTGGTCTGAGAATCTCAACTCTGGTTTTCGTGTCAGTGGCAAGAGGTTGTCGTTGACCAAACCGTATGAATGTAAAGCTTTGTAGGCCTGGAATGCAGTCTCCTTTCTGGCTGCTCGCTCTGTCTGCCACCAGGACTTTCCGTTTGTTCGCCTAACCGTCGGGTGCACCGAATTTGGTAATGTGACCGTACCCAAGAGCAATCCCACACTATTTTCTTGGAAGGAAAATATTGGTCGGTTGTCGGAAAACTCATCAACAGGTAAGACCGCGCAAAAGTGATGCAAATGCTGCACTGCGTCGTCCGCCGTCAACAGAGCACTGGGCAGAGGATGTTAGTAAATACTAAGGGAAATTTTGGATGTTATTACCTCGTCTTTTCCACCCAAAGTCTTTCTTTCACTTGCTCCTCAGTAGCTTCGATTTCATAGGCTTCCCGACGCTGTCTCTCATCATCCTGATATGCTTTAATCATAGCTTGCTCTAATTGCTGCCATTTGTGAAGACTCAACAACTCATCCTCACTTGAGATCATGATAGCATATGTGGATTCTCTATGACGAGCACGCCCACGCCGCTGCACAAATGACTTGAGGTTTGCAGGCTTGTCGTAACAAATAACTAAATTGCATGCGCTTATGTCAATGCCTTCTTCGAGAACATCAGTGGCGACAATGAGGTTTTTGCGACCAGCTTTGAATTCATCAAGAGTATCTCGCTGCATATCCCGATGAAGTAGATCACCGAGGCAGCCCTTGCGGTTTCTATCACTCGACCAACCAACATAAGCGGCACACTGGAAGCGATCTCTGGTTTTGGGGTGAATTGATAAAATGCGGGCTAACACACTGACGGTTGCTCTCTGCTTGGCGAAGAGTAGCCCGGAAAAGCCAGGCCTATCCATTCTTTCGAGGAAGTTGAGAAGCATTTCAAGCTTGATGGATAGATGAGTACTCTCCTCGGCTGAAACTGGCGCAGGCATTGCAAGTAGCAGTTCTAACAGGTAAATCCTCTCCCTTTGGTCCAAATGCGACATCTCACTAGCATCTTGAATTGAGCGCTGTAGTTCGTCAATTGAAGCGCTGATGAAGAAGTCGGCGGCCCAGCCTCCCAGCTCTTCATAAATGTGACGACTGCGCGCCTGGAAGTTCCGGAGTTGCTCGCTACAGAAGGTTTTGCCTGTAGTGAGAGCCTTCGCCAGCTCCACAGTGTGATCCTTTGACCGTAATGATTCGATCCACGGATCGTCTTCTATGTTATATGCCCTGCAACATTCTACCAGAGGCGAAAGTAGTCGGCTTCCAAAGCCATAGTGTGCTTCTTCGAAGGGTATGTAGTTGAGACGCTCTAGATGAGGGCGATGGGTATTTTCGAAGAGCTCAGTGCGATGGACACGTGGAGTCTTGCATACTGCGTTCAAATTGGCTTCGATTGTTCTGGGGGAAGATTGTCAGTTGCTGCAGCAATACATTGATATGTAGTAGATGGACTGACTGAAGCTCGTTCTGACTTGAACGGACCACCGGGCTAGCAGTGAGTCCCAAAATCCGGGGTACAGCGTTTGGCCCTGACCTCAGCAAGGTGGGATGGTAGTGATTTTGCATAATCTTGTTCGCCGGATGGCGTCTAGTGCAGTGGTGAGCTGTATTAAAAATTAGATTGATTTGATTTCTGGAATGCCTTCAGATGGATCATGTACCTTCATCAAAGATAAGAAGCGCAAGCCGCGACATCCGAACAAAACCATGACTCAAAGCATCAGCAAGCACAGCATATGTTGAGACAACAACGCGAATATCCTTGAGGACCTTGTCCCAGACAGCCTGTTCAGTCCATCGATCAACATTGTCCAGACTGGTTAAAACCTTAGTTTTCACAGAGAGGATCTGGCTAGTGATAACTTCGTGTTGTTGAAGGCTCAATGCCACAGTCGGTGCAAGAAACCAGATAAGCTGAGACAGATGTGAGCCGGAAATAAGAATTAAATGAGAGTTTGGGAGTCAATTCACTTTGTCTGGATAATCACAGTTCTCGAGTTCATGTATAATTCGAAGAATAGCACTAAATGGAAAAAGTCAGGGAAATGTGCCGAGAACCACGAAATGTCACCTCCAAACATGCATATGAGTCTTTCCACTTCCCGTGTCCATCTATCAATAGTCAGTATCTTCTGAAGCCTCATTGAGAAGAAAAAAAAAACAAACCGCAACAATGATATTCTCCTTGCGGCTAGCCTCTAGCATTTCGAGCTGGTACCCACGAGACCGGTAGGCGGCACCATCACTACTTAGACCCGTGGAATGCATGATAAGCAACAAAGTCTCAAATGAGACCGTAAATAACAGGACGCTCAGTGTATTGTAGAAAAGAGAAACAAAAGTGAGATGAGAGGAATCAAGAGATGCCCAGAAAGCTGTTTGTTGGTGGTGGGGGAGGTACGGCATCCCGCAGCGGCCATCGCGCAGCTTTGGTCCAATGACCGTCAAGGGCCGGCCAAGTCCCTTTTGGGTGTTGTATACTTCGTTGATCATGAGAGATTGAGAGTCTTAACGTCCACACTTCCAACATCACATTAGCTCTGTCTATCTACTCTCTATTTGTGTCCCCATCTCTACTTGATCCTCAACCTCTCAACAACCTTGATTCATCAACCTCCCACCTTCCCTTGTCAATCAACCAACCTTGTTTCATCTGTTTTTTTTCCCTTCCAATTTTAAGCAGCCCTTTACCTGTGGTAATCTCTCTTTCTCGGAAGCTACAAAGTCCGGGAATACCTTCAAATCCCACACACCTGTTAACCAACATCCGTACCAGTGCCATCTATCTATCTCCATCCAGGTTTGTGAGATGGCGTGCCCTTCCACAAGAAATTTTGATGACTGGCTGAGGGACTTGTCGCAATGGCGTGGGATGTGCCAGAGTTGGATTGGACAGGAGTGGGAGAATAAGTGTAACGACCCAGTCGAGTGGAAAGAGGGCGATATCCCTGGGTTCAACCCAGGCATCGTGTCAAGTCAGAAACAACTAGCCTCCCTCCGTGGCTGGAAAATTATGAACCCCCCTGAACACACTACTATTGAAGGACAAGTGGCTGTGAACATCAACCACCGCAACTGGAACCCCAAGAACGTCCGCCTATCAGATGCAGGTGTCATCTATGCCCTCTTGACTTTGCCCGCAGATTATCGCATCCGATACCTGACCTACGACTTTGATAACCGAGGCGATGTAAGAAAAGAACGAGTTCCCAGAGCACCCACTGTCGCCTTCTACCAGAACAATCAGCGGACTCTTGTCACATGGAAAGGTGTCTATATCTTCACAGGTGGGTACAATGATGCCGGGTGGTTGCTGGCCAACAATTACCCAGATGGACCACCATTTTTCCAGGCTGGTCTGGTAGTTGCATCGTCTCATGTAAAGACTTTTGATGCTCTAAATGTGCAGATGACCGAGTACGAGCCAAAAAAGGTCTTCATCCGTGATTCTAATTCCATGGAGAATCTATGGAAACGTGCCTATCGGCGGTACGGGATTCTACTCAGGGGTTGCAAGGATGTTTCGGGATACTGCCTTGTACTTGCAGGGCAGAACATATCTGGATACCAGAAGATGAGCCTTCTTTTTGGCTTCAATATCCTGATTGGTCCTGGCGCCGACGCCACCGACACCAATGAAGCAATCCAGCAGGACCAACGTCCTTCGACGGCTTGGAAGAACAAGCTGTTCCCAGATACAGAACTCAAAAGACAACCCAATGATTTCATCAATTTCATTGGAATCAGGTGGGGACATTTGCCGATTCGCACCCGCACAATTGAAACCAACACGACAGAAGCCATCACAGCCCCCCACAAGCGCAAAAGGCCAAACAGCGTTAATCAAACTCAAAGTTTCCTCCCATTCTCATCGCATTCATCGTCGGCCGGGAGTGAAGCCACAAATGAGAGAAGCCCGGACCGACCAGTTGACAATTTCGACAAGGTTTCTTTCAAGAGTCTTTGGGCTGAGCTAGCAGCTATTGAATCCCCTCCCAGGCACTGGGAGCTATTTACCGCAGTCGGTAAAATGGAGACCATGCATCAGAGGTGGCGTCGCAACTGTATGGCTGTTAAAATCATCCAACACAATGTCTCACCATCTGAAGCCACTGTTATCCGCGAGCTTATGCAAACTCTGAGTCCAAGGCTTGGTGTTTTGATTCTAGGCGTTGAGGTCGAGGAAGATCGCATTGCTCTTGAAAATGCCTTCAGTTACAACTCAGCCATGACCTCGTTTGAGCAGCAGGTTAACGCCCTTGGGGAGGGCCTCGTTAAACAGGCCTATATGAACTTTTACACCTACTTTCAGACTGTCGGTTTCCGCAGATACAAGATCCCACAGCCGCCCATCAAGTTAGAACAGCAAGAGGAAATCGACAGCGGGCTCCGCAGCCAAGACCCTCAACAGTACAACGAGGTCCAAAGGATGATCTTCTGGCGGTCATAGGCAAATTTCCCACACATCATCCAGCGTGTTCCAATTGTGAGTGGATGTCAGAACGAGGTGAACATCGAGGAGGAATCCTTTCCAACGCACGAAAAGTGAAAAAACCCTTTTTTTAGGACCAAGTGCTTTACAAGCCCTTAGTGGCTTGCCGTGTGTGATAATTTGGTACATATGTTAGTAGTGTGTTGTTTTGTAGAATATCATTGAATTCAACCCCTTCCACTAGTCCCGATAGCTATAAATGAATCGTAGTTTCTAGTCAAATACTTTCAGTATTGCACACATCGATATACTTTGTCACAATTAGACATCATAGAATAGTCGCATAGTATGAGAGCCGAGACCATGCTCGCGGAAGTTTTGAAACGAAAATATGAAATGCTTCTATTTTGTACACTTCTATAATCCCGAGATCAAGTGACAGTACCTTGTTATCTCTAATTGAGGACAAACAACAAAAGAAAAAGAGAAAAAGAAAGTAAATAGGAAGGTGATCCACTACGGTACTTTTCCTCATTGGAAGACGCGTTGTTGGGGTAATCTTGGCGTGCGTTTCTCCCCTTTTCGGAACGAACGCCTTCTACGACTTTTGCTTCGCATGGAGGGCGAAAACAGAATGGAAGGCAATCCATAGCTCACGGATATCTGTGTGGTCATGCATTCAATATTACCTTCCAAATGAAGTCCTCTCTGCGGCTTTCAAGTGTAGGTCCTCATTCATGATCGAATATATATATTCCGGCCGGTGTAGTACAGCTTTCTTCTTTTAAGATATTCTTCACTCAGAACTCGCAAGTCGGGCAAATCCTCTAGCAGACGATAATCCAAATCACATTTCTCGAAGTTGCATCCTAAATCATGTCCCAGGCTCTTGATCTATCCCTGTTGAAGGGGTCTCCCGAGGAAAGAGATACAGTTTCGGCAGCTCTACTAGCAACACTCAAAACACGTGGAGTGGCCAAGCTAAAGAATCATGGCCTTCCAGAAGATCTGATTGCCAAAATGTTTGAATATGTAAGTGGTTGGCTCAAACTAGAGGCTGTACCGCCACTGACTGTCTTTACAAGACCCGTCAATTCTTCTCTCTTTCACTAGAGGATAAGATGACCGCCAAACATCCACCTGAGGCAAACCCCAACCGTGGATACAGTTATGTCGGCCAGGAATCAATATCTTCCATCAGTGGCTACGATAAAGGGCTCCCTCAAGGGAAGTCTGTCCGGGACATCAAGGTGGGTGCTCTCTGCATGATCCGCCGTGAATATCCATTCTAACGAAGACAGGAAACCCTCGATATGGGATCCCCAAACGACGGCCTTGTCGACAACATTTGGATTGCCGACGAGAAACTCCCTGGCTTCCGCAAATTCATGGAGGATTTCTATGAAAGCTGCTTCAAGGTCGAGCTGGAGATCCTCGACGCATTGGCCACGGCCCTTGAGATTTCGGCATCAGATCTCAGACTACTGCACAACAAGGCTGAAAATGAATTTCGCCTGCTTCACTATCCAGCTGTGCCAGCATCTGCCCTTGAAGATGGAACCGCCACGCGCATTGCAGAGCATACCGATTTTGGCACGATCACCATGCTGTTTCAAGATTCCACTGGTGGTTTGCAGGTCGAAGACCAGCAAAATCTGGGAACCTTCCATGATGTAGTGTCAGGGGGAAAGTCGGAGATTATTCTGAACATCGGTGACTCGCTTCAGCGCCTGACCAACGATACATTCATGGCTGCTTGTCACCGGGTGACCTATCCACCCACTGTCAAAGTGAGTTCTGACGCGATGATCCCCGAGCGCTATTCTGTCGCCTATTTTGCGAAGCCGAACCGTATCGCTTCTTTGCTTCCCTTACAGAAGTTCACCACGCCTGCTACTCCGTGCAAATATGAGGATATTACGGCCTGGGACTACAATAACCTGCGAATCGCCAAGTTGTTTTCCTAAAAAGTTATTGGGTTAAGATACGAGGTCTAGTCATACATGTATTCATGTGCTCAAGTTTCTTCGAATGGAATACTGTCATCAAACCTCAACCATGGTAGTCAAATGCAATTTTGCAGAACAATTCATGTCTTTTTGAGCGAACCTGCGAGTGCGCATTGTAGGTGTAGCTGCAGAAATTGAGGGTTTCCTTGTTTTACGCCGAATCTGCTTATCTGGGGTTCAAAACAACGTTGGAAGATCACTATCAAGACTCAACGTTGATCCCCGAGAAGAGGGGGCAATACTCCAATAGGGCAAGAAGTTCCGAGCCCTTGATATTCAGTCTCTCAGCTCTAAATATTGATTCTTGCGACCCAGAAGGTTGTTAAATATAAATACAGACCATCATTTAATGATGGTTTAGAAAATGTACAAGCTATGCCATATAAAAATTAACACCTTGTCATTCCGTCGACCCAAGTAGTTGATGTCTGCAATATTGATATCGGAATCACATTCCCTTTTGGAATATGTCCTTAACGGAGACTCGGAGTTCTTTATCAGAACTACAACTTCACCAAAGCACAGTATTCATCAAGATGCAAGGAACCGTGCAGTTAACGTTTATTCATAGCAAAGAAGATATTCGATGGTTGAATGCGGGAAACGCGGCCAGGCACCGCCACTCGATCTTCACAGGTCCGCCTTTGGTTGCAACTCCTATCGGCTTATGCTAATAATGTTTGGCAGATGTCGAACGTCAAGACATGGCCCTCGAGATTGTCTCTTCTGTGCCCGATCGGAATCCCGACCAGGCACTTGCTGACCTAGAAAGGTTGGACTCAGACATCGGTTGCACGAAACCATTCTCGCTTGTTAGGGGACCTTTTGGTGCTTTCAGATTGCCAAAACCACTGCAGCTTGAACCATCACCTTCCGATAAGGACGAGCTGCCGCTGTCCCTCAGTGACTGTTTCGAGCAGCTTGAGGAACTGCCAACAGAGGAAGACTTTAACCGGACTGCGTTCAGTCTAGACGCCTTAGATGCTCTGAATGCAGAGTACAATGACGATTTGACGCTAGAAGGGCCGAGTCTAGAGCTGCTTCAGAGCATTATAACGAACTTCCACCAGCCGAGCCTACAAGCAGAGGTCAATCCCTATCTATCCGTGGGCAATGTCGAGGGGTGGAGTCTCCTATCTCATTATAAAGACCGAATCGTCCCGTTGATATCCCCCTTACGCCGCGGAAAAGAGACGCCCTGGATGAGCCTGGTAATACCATGTGCAATGTCAACTTTGGCAGACTTGATGCTGAATGGGTCTTCAAACCATGCACGGCTTGCCCTATTAAACGCCGTATGGAGCACAAGTGCCTTTCACTTAGGAAATAACTCAGTGGGTTTCCTTGAGCAATGGACAGTCTCAGGAGGGATCTACTTGGCACGGGCTCAATACCATTTCCAACGATGCATGGAAGAAAGCTGTATTTCGGCGACGAAGGCGAGCAAATACAAGGAGATTCTCATGGCAATGCTGAGTCTTTCAAATATTTTTGTATGACACCAATATGTATCCACTGTACACAGCTAATATCCTCCCCGATATAGATGATAAAAGGAGACCCGGAGATGCGCCGCGCCTATCTCATCCAAACAGAGAAACTCATTTGTGTCAAGGGACTCAGCCAACCGGCGCTGTCAGCCAGCAAAAGAGCATTGCACCACTGTTATGCTTATATGCGCATTATGGCTGAGACAACATGCATTGCTGATAGATTGAGCATCAATCTGACGGGCACGAGCGGTACCTTGAACAACAACACAACATATGGAGGAGACTTCCGTGTCTACCCCAATCTAATATTTTCGACAACCACAATGAGCATGGAAAAGGATCCAGGGATGGCCCAGCGTGACCTACATCTTGCGATACCCGGTCGATGGAGCTCAACGTTATTTCCCACGCTGTACGGAATCGATGAAATATTTCTCACGATACTGTCTCAAGTGATCCGCCTTGCCAACGAGCGAGATTTGTCAATGATGTCTGATGCAGCAGACAGTCGGCTCAGCCTGAAGGAATTTTGGATTCGAGCGAAGGGCCTGGAAAGGGCCATCGATCATCTGCTCTCGACTTCAAATACAAGCTGTGCTCAACCATATGATGGAGGCCTCCCAGTAGTCATGACTGTGACAGCTCAAGCGATGTACACGGCATTATCAATTTTCTTCCATCGCCGAATATACGAAATTGATCCTATAATGCTCCAGGGTAATGTCGCTGCAATTAGGGGCTACCTCATCCAGATTCAACAAGAGGAAGGTGGCCAGAAGGATAGTAACAATGCTGCGCTGATATGGCCTGCTTTTATCACTGCATGTGAGGCTGTTAGTCCAGAGTTACAAGTGTTCTTCTCGTCATGGTTTGATAATTGCGCTCGGACGACTGCCTTGGTTCATGCATCGGTGGCTAAAGGGATATTTGAGACAATATGGAACAAAAGGCGCGATGTGAGCTCATGTGGAGAAACGTATAGCTGGCCAGATATTTTGCGGGATGGGGATATCAAGTTTATGTGCATATGACAATTTACGAATAGTAAATGAGAAGTGAGAGAGAAACAAATTTGAATTGATAGAGTATAAGGCGGGGGTAGTGCTGGTCACCCCGAGGTCGAATTGCAAGCAACGATGACAAAGAGAGAGGTCATTCATAAATGAATGAGACAAAAGTGAAGGATCGTTGCTTGACTAATGAGGGGGTTCTCGCACTTTGACAGCGTGACCGGCCGCAACGACGCGGATAAAGTGATGGTAAAAGTTCCAGTACACTGATTGCAACTGGCCAGGCTTGGTCGCTTGAATTGCAGCGGAGAAACTGGTAAGACCTTCGAAGAAGCTGATCGCATTGTACACCGCAAACCAATCCTGATATGAGGTGACCGCCCAAGCAATCCGGAGCTGGCCAGAGAGACCTTTGTATTCCTTGTTCACGCTAGCATATTCTTTGAGCGGAACCTTGCCGCTGATGTCAGAGGGCAAACTTGGCAGATTGTGGGAGAGAATGTCGAACTCGTCATTTGACAGGGAGATTTCTTGCTTCAACTTTGGTTGCAGACTGAGAAGCTGGCGGCGGAGAGCGGCCTCATCATCGGGCGACAGGGAGAAGATCTCATTGAATTCGTTCGGAAGGGCTGGCAACATAAGAATGGAATTGGTGGGTTTGCTGAGCAGATCAGGCATGACAGCTGCAAGTTCCCCAGGCAGCTGGGGAAGCACAGCACGAAGAGCAGGAATGTGCTTGTCCTGGATGAATGTACTGACAAGGCAGGATGCGGCTCGATTGTTGGCAAAGGTGGAGTGTAGCTTGGCCAAAGTGATAATAGCCATGACCAGCCCAAGGTGCTCAGTGGGTGGGCGGTGCTCAGTAAGCTGCTTCCACAGGTCCGAATAACGTTGAGAGGCTTCAGGTATCATCCGGAGGCCCATGTTGAGAACGGAAATCTCCTGGCGGAGAGGGAGCTGGGTGAGGAGGCCTTTCTGGCCGGTGAGGCTGGCAGCCATGATGGTAGGTGATACAAGATGAACGAAGTCGTTTGATGTGGTGAATAGAGATGATATGGTACAGAGGATAGAATGAAAAGGAAGAACAAGATCAGAAGGCTGAGCTCAATAAATAGGTTGTCAGAACACATCAGATCAATCGCATCGTCACGGCGATGGCATTGTATACATACCTAGGTAGGTACCTTCCTGACGGCGAACAATCTGATCCCGAGGCCTCATTGGCCGGTGGCTTTGATCAATTGCCAGACGCGCGTAATGAATCGATCCTCATGGCTCATTGGCCGGCGAGTCTGATCTGGAAACGCAGGCCGCAAGATAGCTTGATGCATGCCATTCCATTCCAACGACTGATTGGCCAGTTGGACTCATTAAGCGCTCGCTGCGGTATGCATTGATATTATCCTATAGTAGACAGCGCCTGAAGTGCCAGTCCGACCTGGTAGACCGCGATCTCTGTGAGCTCTTCTATACAGTGCTGGAGTGCGGTCCGAAATTGGGCTGCAACCCGAGGAAGGATATTCATGCTGTGCTTCTATGAGTTCTTCCATATGGTGGTAGAGTACAATCTGAAATTGTGCCTCAGTCAGAGGAAGAATCGAAATTGTGTTCTTCCATTCTATCTGGCGCAGGATAGTGTGGTCCTAGAAGAAGACCCAGGCCCTGTTTCATGACTCAATGACAAGCCGCTCATTGATAGAGAAATATGACGGAAGCGATGCAGATATCTACCACAGATCGCAAAAACCAAGGTATCTGTTTATCCATGGCCGCCTAGGGAGACTATATTCTTGTCTAACATCAAGTTAGTAAAAGCACACCAGATAATGGATGATGAATTTATTGATCTCAGTTTATCAAAGATGGTTTGAGCCTCGTGATACTCACATGTATGGATGTAAATATGTTGGCCAAGTTGTGAGCCCTAAATGACTGTCGACTGGTGAAGATGGATGTAGAGGAGAAATAGAAGTTCCAAGGTTCGGACGAAAGCCAGGAGGCGCTAGTCCATATTGGGCTAGCGTTCCCGAAGCTACACACGTTTTCAAGCTGTTTTGACCGCCTGCCAAAAAGACTGGCAAAAAGACGAAGGCCGCAAACGCGACAGAATATTCTTCTTTAGAAATAATCTCATGTAGATATGTAGATATGTATATTTCTTGACTAGCTCCCCAATATTCCCGGGATGACCTCAGACCCATACTCTTACAATCTCCGCACGTATGTATCATGGCCTCTCTCATTAGGAATGTAGGGCGCCCGGAGTGAGCTCATTTATACTCAGTGAGCAAAAAGCTGCAGAAGAAATCGCGTAAACAACCCTGAAGGTATGTCCTACCCAGCCACTGATCGAATTTAAAATGTAAGTGGACCGAAAGGAGGGGGTGATGACCTTTCCAAACGGAAACATACATACATCAAGTGCCCGTATGGAGTATGTCGTACTACAATTCCGTTTACTTAGCCCCCTTGCCAACAGGTGGATATAGCTATCTAGAGAGTTAAGGTGGAGTATATACTTTGACTCTTGAATCCTTTATCTTTTTATATAGATATGCCTTACAAAGAATCCCTGATTTCAAGTTTTATAGTTTCACAATTACAAACCTGGGAACTCCACCAAGGCCCGGGCCCAGGCGAATTAAAATTAGTCAGATCATAGGGCCAGGCCCCTGGAGCTAGGTAGAAATTGTACTGTACACTAATTCAACATTTCTCATTTCTCATATACCCCGAATAACTTTATACGACATCTAGAAATGGCTGTTTTGTCAGCGCATCATAAATCGAGGGTCGAAGACCGGAACCCAGCGCGACTCGGCGGAATCCGCCAATGAATCATGGATACCTTCGTGAGGGACGTTATGGCTTTCCCCGCACGCCCCAGATTTTCCTCTGTATAGCCAATGATAAAGCGATGAAATACAAGTTCGCGTCATATTTTATGTTTTCCCATTAAACTAGCATAGCATAGAAGCCTGGCCGTAATCTACAAGCTGCTTAATACACACCCCGTCATTGGGTCCACAGCGTGTACCATTTAAACTGCGGGGGTCTCCCCTTTTCCAACGCTTTTCTTTCTCTTCATATTTCCCGGTTGATTCACCATAACAACTTTCATCATGAGTGAATGTCCTGTTGCGCACAAGAAAAGCAATGTTGCTGGAGGTGGCACTCGGTATGGTCCCTAGCTTTCCTGCGCTTCTACCTCGGCACATTCCATACACCCCCCTTGGCATCGCTATGATTCAAAATACTAATTTTATGCTCTAGCAACACTGACTGGTGGCCTAATGCCCTGAAGCTGGGTGTTCTCCGCCAGCATACTGATGCCACCAACCCTCACAGCAAGGACTTTGATTATGCCTCTGCTTTTAAGACCCTCGATTACTGGGGCCTCAAGAAAGACCTCCACGCCCTTATGACCGACTCTCAAGAGTTCTGGCCCGCTGACTTTGGTCATTATGGTGGCCTTTTTATTCGTATGGCCTGGCATAGCTCTGGAACATACAGAGTTTTCGATGGACGCGGTGGTGGTGGCCAAGGCCAGCAGCGTTTTGCACCTTTGAACTCTTGGCCCGATAACGTCTCCCTTGGTAAGTTTCGATTGGTAATTGAGGTGGTATTTATTTGTATCAAACTAACATATATCTTCTTTTTTCTTTTCAGATAAGGCTCGCCGACTACTTTGGCCCATCAAGCAGAAGGTGAGTACCGTACACTTATGTACTTCTAGTTTCCCCCGTACTAATTTTGGTACCTAGTACGGCACCAAAATCTCTTGGGCAGATCTTCTGCTTCTAACTGGCAACGTTGCCTTGGAATCTATGGGCTTCAAGACATTCGGATTTGCTGGAGGTCGTCCTGACGTCTGGGAAGCCGATGAGTCGGTGTACTGGGGAAGTGAGAACGTCTGGTTCACTAACGAGGCTCGTTACGAGGCCGAGACCGCCGAGGAGAAGGCCAAGCAGAGCGACATTAAGACTCGAGACCTCGAGGACCCGCTGGCCGCGGTCGTCATGGGTTTGATTTATGTCAACCCCGAAGGTCCTGATGGCAACCCCGACCCTGTCGCTGCTGCCAGAGATATCCGTATTACATTCGCTCGCATGGCTATGAATGACGAGGAGACCGTCGCCTTGATTGCTGGTGGTCACACTTTCGGAAAGACACACGGTGCTGCCCCTGCCGATAATGTCGGAGAGGAGCCCGAAGCTGCTGGCATTGAGTCACAGGGCCTAGGGTGGCACAGCAAGTACGGTTCCGGAGTAGGCCCCCACGCTATCACCAGTGGGCTGGAGGTGACCTGGACAAGTACTCCTACCAAGTGGAGTAACAACTTCTTGGAATATCTTTTCAAGTTCGACTGGGAGTTGACCAAGAGTCCCGCTGGTGCTAACCAGTGGGTCGCCAAGAATGCGGACGATATCGTCCCCGATGCCTTTGACTCAGGCAAGAAGCACAAGCCTAAGATGCTGACCACCGATCTCTCTCTGCGTTTCGATCCCGCTTACGAGAAGATCTCCCGTCGTTTCCTTGAGCACCCTGATGAGCTTGCCGATGCATTCTCCCGTGCGTGGTTCAAGCTGCTGCACCGTGACATGGGTCCTCGCGCTCGCTGGTTGGGTCCTGAGATCCCTAAGGAGGTCTCTCTCTGGGAGGATCCTATTCCTGCTCCCACATACGCTCAGATTGACAACGGCGACATCGTTGCCTTGAAGAACGAGATTCTCTCAACCGGTATCGAACCCACCAAGTTGATTGCCACTGCCTGGGCATCGGCTTCTACCTTCCGCGGTGGTGACAAGCGTGGAGGTGCCAACGGCGCCCACATCCGTCTCGCTCCCCAAAAGGACTGGGATGTCAACAACCCAGCCCAGTTGCAAGAGGTTCTCAGTCTGTTGGAGAACATTCAAAGCCGCTTCAACAGTGCCCAGAATGGCGAAAAGCGCGTCTCTGTCGCTGATCTGATCGTGCTTGCTGGATCTGCTGCTGTTGAAAGAGCCGCGGGTATCCCCGTTCCCTTCACCCCTGGCCGCAACGATGCCACTCAGGAACAAACAGATGTCGAGTCATTCGGCTGGCTCCGGCCCTTCGCCGATGGCTTCCGCAATTACGGCCACTCGACCCGCCGTGTCCGCACCGAGCAGCTCCTCGTCGACAAGGCACAGCAGCTCACCCTCTCCGCCCCTGAATTGACCGTTCTGGTTGGTGGTCTGCGTTCTCTGAACGCTAACTGGGATGGATCAAACCACGGTGTCTTCACCTCCCGCCCTGGCCAGCTGAGCAACGACTTCTTCGTCAACTTGCTCGACATGGGCATTGTGTGGAAGCCAACCGGTGATGACAGTGAGCAGTTCGAAGGTTTCGACCGCAAGACTGGCGCCAAGAAGTGGTCCGCTACCCGTGTTGACCTGATCTTCGGTCACCACGCTGAGCTCCGCGCTCTTTCTGAGCTGTACGGTAGCTCTGATGCCCTGGATAAGTTTAAGAAGGACTTTGTTTCTGCCTGGGCCAAGGTTATGAATTTGGACCGTTATGATATCCCCTATTTCCCGACCGGCCGTCCTCGCCTGTGAATAATTTGTCGATTACTATATGATATGTGATATTCTCGAGTGTTATTTAGCTGAATTATGAATCAACTCTGTATTTTCATTATGAGCATCATTCAAATATTGAATGATATTGGTCAAAGTCACGTTCCTCAAATTTCCCTTGGTCTCTAGCTACAAGTACGGGTACCAAGTGTGTCACACGCAGGACTTTGGTCGTATTTATCAATACTCTGCATGTCTGCATGTACAATCTATTTCTTTCTTCTTTCTTCTTTCTTTTTTTGAAGATATTATCTAATCGTACGGAGTAGATGATGTATATATAATCCATCTGTTAATCATGAAGATTTCCCATACAGATCAAGCAAAACAACAAGACTTCTACAAGGCCAATAAGTAGGGCCTAACGTAGGTTGCAGCAGCCCCCCGCTCAAATTCACACCCGGGGTCCTGGCCCCCCGGCACCCAAGTCCTTATGAAAGAGGGATGATAATTCCTACGTACCTAGGTAAAATTTCAATGGCAATAATAGCCAATAGGACTATAAAGTCCCCGGCACACTTTATCACCCATGGGCCGAGAGCGTGACTCCGAAGTTACTTAACTCACAAGATATATCAGATCCAAAAGGGGCAACCTGCATGCACAAACCTGCATATTCCATGAAAACCTGCAAATGTCCGCTATTTCCGGATTGTGCGAGTGCGAAAGTGACCGTGCCAGCTTGTTACACTTACTTTTCAAGTCCAGACTGCTGATGGTTCGATAGAGAATTTGTTTCTCGTTCCCACTCTTTCCTTAATCTTCTCTATATAATGGCTCTGAAAGTTCTCATTTGCGGCGGAGGTGTCGCAGGCCCGGCCCTCGCCTACTGGCTTGCCCGAATTGGTCACGAAGTCGTTGTCGTCGAACGTTTCCCGGCTCTGAGAGCTACAGGTGCCCAGATCGACCTCCGTGGTCAAGGGATTGAGGCTGTCAAACGCATGGGTCTCATCGACGCGGTTCGCGGAAAGCTCGTTGACGAGGCAGGCGTCTCCTTCATTGACGCCAAGGGCAATGTCAAGGCGACGATCCTCGCCAATAAGTCGGGCAAGGGTGCACAGTCTCTGACATCCGAGTATGAGATCATGCGTGGTGATCTTGTGCGCATATTCTACGAAGCAACAAAAGACAATGTCAAATATATCTTCGGCAGAACGGTGGATGGCTTCATGGAAAATGATCAAGGGGTAGTTGCCTACTTTTCCGACGGCTCTTCTGACACGTTTGACCTACTTGTTGGAGCTGACGGGCAGGGCTCACACATTCGAAGGAACATCCTACCCCCTGGCGCTCCAGATGCATATCACCAGCTCGGAATACACATGGCCTACTGGTTTGTACCATCTGTTGAAAGCGACAACAATATGTGCAAGTCGTATATATGTCCCGGTGGTCGATTGATTATGACCAGAAGCCATAACAAAACCGAAACCCAGGTCTACTTCATGCTTACATCTGATTCCGAGGAACTACGGAATATCCCGAAAGGTTCGGTCGGGCAGCAAAAGCATTTTTGGGCCGAAAAGTTTCGCGATGCAGGGTGGCAGGCCGATCGTTTTATCAAAGGGATGGACACTACAGAGAACTGGTTCTGTCAGAATGCCGTCCAAATCAAGACAGATACCTGGCACTCCGGTCGGGTCGTCCTTCTCGGTGATGCGGCACACTGTCCTTCTCCCTTGACTGGCATGGGGACAAGTACCAGTCTAGCTGGGGCATATGTCCTGGCCGGAGAGCTTGCTCGCAGTGAAGATCTATCCCATGCGTTCCAAAAGTACTCACAGATCATGCGACCATTCATCGACGAGGTTCAGCAGTTCAACATTGGGTGGATCCGATTGGCAGTCCCGAAATCGCAGTGGGCGATTTCTCTTGTTCATCTGATCATAGGAGTGGCTTGCTTTCTTCGCATACCGCAGCTCATATCACGATTTTCAGGTGAAGGGGATGGAGACTGGAAACTCCCTGATTATCCGGAATTAAACGTTGAACACATTGATCTTTGATCGGCAAGAAATTCAATAAGAATTAGGAGAATCAGGAGATGAGATTTGATGCAACACAAAATTTTAAATTACATGTCCAAGAAGGGGTACATGGCTTAGCGGATTTCAATTTATTAATATATGCTTCTCATACCATCGCATGGTAGCATTCAGCGTTTGAGCTTTTCGATAAGCTCGATGTACATGTCACCCTTCGTCAACCTGGATATGTACAACATATATCGAAGCGGTGAATCTATACTTTTTCTTATAATTCAGTACGGAATACTCCGTAGCTCTGGAGTAGACACAGGGTGCGCTTTGACCCATGTCCAACGGATGCCAAGCCTCAACATCAACGTTATTTCCTTCCCTTTCTCCTCTTTCTTTCAACTCCGTACTCCATATATCTTCAGCTCAATCATGATTCATTATTACCAATGCCCGAATTCATCTATGCGAGGTCTAGACTCCTATCACGGAGCGCCACTAGCGAAAAAATGTGATCAGTGCACAAATTCTGCCTGGGTTTCTTTGTTTGAGATCCCGAGGATCCCTGTTTGGCGCACCGATAGCCTCTCGACATTCGACCTTTCGTTTGCTGTGTCCAATAAGCTCCTCAACCAATATGATTAAGGGGGAGGGGAAACCGGGATTCTCATATTCCGATATATTATTGCCACCAATAGTCAATTTGGAATTCCTACGGAGTACTAATGAACCGGAACAACTGCCCCAGATCCCCGTGTGCTAGCATCATAGACCGCAATTGCTGCATCTTCTCTCATTTATGCGACAGGGCATGAATTGTCTGTGGCATGATCCACCCTCGAAACCCACAGTCAACCTTATCCCGTCCCACCCTGTGCCCTAAGATGAGGCGCTCAAAGCAAGTCTCCAGTATCATACGGAGTAGTATCAGTCAGCTAGGTTGGACTAGCGTCCGAGGTGTGATCAATATATCCTTGCCTTTTCCTACCGCCTGATTTATCCCCATGGTCCAACCCATTCACACGCTATGGATACCCCGATAAGCCACCTCCCTCCGGAGGTGAGCGCCATTTTCAATGCCAACTTGATGATCGTCGAGGTCGTGGCTATGTTCGGCATCGCCGTGTGGAATGCACTGGAAGTATTGATTGCTATATTCGAGAAGTTCCAAAAGTATCGTGGGCTATACTTCTGGAGCATGCAAATTGCTGCCTGTGGGATCTTGATACATGGTATACCGGCGTCAGTTCGCTATACCAACCGAATCTCTTCCTATTCCGTGGCAATCCCGTTCGTCGTGGGCTGGATCTGTATGGTAACTGGGCAAGCGGTAGTGCTGTATTCAAGACTGCACCTCGTTATGACCGACATCCGCCATGTAAGATGGGTACGATGGATGATCATAGCCAATATTTTCATTCTCCACATTCCCATGGCAGCCCTGTTCTTTATCAACTTTCGTGGGATACCGCTCGGCCACGCTCCCAAAATATATGACCGTTTTCAGGCAACCGGATTCGCCATCCAAGACACCTTATTGTGTGCCATCTACGTCTGCGAGGCACTCCGAGCGCTCAAACCTGTCTTCGAATCCAAAGGGGCCCAAGGGCGAAGAATTATCTACCGAATCCTCTTCGTTAATGTCATCGGCATCTCGCTCAACATATTCATCATTATCGCCGAGTACAGATTGCACTACTTAGTTGTCAGCTTCAGGACACTCGTCTACAGTATCAAGCTGAAACTCGAATTTCACGCCCTTACACAGCTCCGCGAGCTCACAAGCACCTACTCATGCTCTTTTTGCCAAGGGGCTAATGGCAACACTTGTGGTTCAAACGACATCAATATCTTCGACATGCTCGCAAATCATCCCTCGTCGCAGGATATTGAGGCGCAAACTGGTACCGGTCGTGCAAGGCCCGTGAGCCCGGCACCACATTCAGCGCGCAGCGGTACATACGATTTTCACGAGGCTCTGCGCGAGACAATGTCGACTGTGAACTCTGTTGAGTCACAGGAAAGTAGTCGGCATCGGATGTACTCGTCGGACGCGCAGCCGACAGTTGAAATGACGTTTATCGAGCGCTCCAATTAAGAGCAGGTGTTGGTAGCTTATGAGGGACATTATTTTGCATGCATGATTGTACATACTACTACAAGATGAATTTCGACTGGGAATAGTCGAATCATCACTGGGCGGCCACCTTTTTTTGCTTTATACCCTTGTCGCTATAGACATGTTTGTTGTTACGTTGATCTGTATTAATTTCTGTGCTTTGAAAAGTTTGCATGCATTCATATATTACATCGATTGAATTGCTACCTAACGTCCATCTTCTTCTCTTGAAATAACTTTAAATTGTAGAACAGAGAACTACATGGTTACATGGCAACAAAAGAATAGCGTGAAGGTGAATAGGATATTTGTACGGAGTATATTTTCCCAAATGAAGTCACAAAACACTAAAGACCTATAGTTAGGGGTAACACGTGTGCTGGCCCCTGCGCATGCACAAGGAAAAAATATTATCTACATGTACTCCGTGCTCCGTGCTCCGTGCTCCGTGCTCCGTGCTCCGTACAAATATAACAAAGAGACTCGTCACATTCATCAAAGCTATGACCGCTTCATGAATGCCCGACAGGGGATTGTTCAAAAGAGGGGGGCAATGATTTCAGCGCTTACTCAACTTCAGAAATTTGGTCTAAGATGAGAACAAAAACAAATGAATGAACTGCGAGATTAAATGACCGGTGTTGACGACTCAATGGCCAAACGCACACGGATGGCTGGTTCCCTTTGTCTTTGGGCTACCAAACCGTTTAGCGGGAGGCAAACCATCCGCCAATATCCTATTCGCCAAATTTGTACCCCGTAGGCAGTTTCAACTTAAGCCACTGGGTTTGTTAGTCTAGACAGCAGGGCATTTAACATCACGAATATAGTAGGCTTTACTACTGAGCTATTCAAGCCTGTGTCGATGTAGTTTTCTTGTTCCTCATCCCTCGCCTGCAACTTGTAAAGACACAGACGGTAAAGATAGTTGCACGGTAATTGTGGATTGCTTTGTTCAACTTCGCCACTTTCTAGGTCTTGGATATATCCAAACCACAGAACCACCAGTGGGATCGACCGAGACGATTGATAAAATAGGGAAGACCCAGTCGGCTGCATGAAGCCCCGTGGTAGATCATCGTGTATAAGCGGGTGGGGGCCGTGAACACCATTTCGCTAACTCCGATGACCTCAGTCGAGTGGAAATTGCAATACTCTGCTCATATGTCCGCTGAAGAACCAGGTGATTATTGTAGGTATGTAGGTATGCTAGATATGAATCATGATAGTGACAGGAGGGATAACTACTCTATTCCCTGGGTATGACTTGGAAATGGCTATATTTTGCTTCTGAAACTCGCTAGCTGAACAACATTATATTGACATGACCTCACTTCCCCATCTAAAGAAGATACCGGAAACTGTCAATCTCACGATCGGTCTTGTTAGATAGCTCATCCTGTAACTCAGCCCCCACGGTAATCTGCTCAGACGAACCATACAACCTGTCGCGTCGACGGTTTTCCCACGTGTAGTAAGAGTATAAGCACAGAAGGAAGAAAAGGCTCAAAATCAAACCTGACATAGAAGCCTTAATGCCAGTCTATAGTAAATGATCACGGCGTTAGTTTCGTATTTTGCGATAGAGATAGAGATCCCAGCAGGTATAAATGGCTACTTACTGGGTACGATGGCTCCTCCGAGGCCAAGAAAAATTGAGGGCCAACAATATTTCCAACGCAGTATGCGATGAAAAGCAACGAACTCACGACGCTCTTCTTCGAGAATCCGGCCACATTAGATGTAACAATACTCAAGGAGATAGGGAGGTTGATCGCGTAGACGACAGCTAACGTCAACCCAGTCATTTTCCCAGCTTGATCGTCGGGGTTAAGCTTCCAGATGAGGATGAGTCCCACAATAGAAGTGATCGTGTTGAAACACATTCCTAATATACGGGAGGATGGAATAAAGGTCGCGGCGATGGAGGTAATCAGCAAAAACACGATCTGGGCAGCGCCCTGAGGCATTTGCATAATAAGGGCCTTAAGATCAGTGAACCCGAACCCAGCGGTGATAATTGACGTAAACTAAAACAAATTAGCTTTGAGCGCTCGGGACAAGAAAGTAGAAACTCACGCTAGTAAGACCACCGTTGGCCAGGTTCGAGGCGAAAGAGTTGAGAACCAAAAGCCACGTCTGGGGATCTTTGATGGCTTGAAGTGCCTGTGACCACTTGAACACGCCGGTGTCCATGACTCCAGTTTTGTTCTTTAGCGTGCGCTGAATAGCAATAGCACGCTCATTGGGCTTCAAAAATATCGCCTTAGCAGGCGAGTCCGGCAGCAAGGCAAATAACACAAGCCCATAAGTTGAAGTGATGGTGCCGAGAATAAGGAACAAGAGTTTCCAGTGGGCAATGACCGTCGTGTTAATAGTTCCAATACCGTAGGCAATCACTCCACCAAGGAGGACAGCAATGCAGTTTCCAAAGAACCAGGCAGATTGTCTGGAGCTTGTTAGTGAGTGCTAGGTCCACCCCGATTTGGATGACTTACCGTAGAGGCTGCTCCTCACGTTTATAAAACATTCCCGTGAGCAAGGTGAATCCTGGGGCAATTGCCGCCTCGCCTACGCCTAAGAAGAAACGCACGGCCATAAGTCCACTCCAACTGGAGCACGCAGCATGACACATTAGGACCCCACCCCAAAGGAAACTTGTAAAGTCAGTCTCATCGTTGGTGCCAATGATCCTCCAATGGGGAAAACCTACACTGAAACCGAGATATATTTCCCAATGGGAAGTCGGACCATAATATATGAACTAGGCCTATTGTCGGATCAGTATTCGTGGTGAGATATAGGGGTATAGAGTAGTTGAATACATACCAACTCCAGGCAAAGTAACCAAAATAGAAGACCGCAGATGCCCATGAATATTCTGCTCCTTTCAAGTTCTATAACTTTCTGTCAGCATATCTGCATCTACTAACATCTATATGGGAATAAATACCAAATCTTGTCGTAAACCAAACAGTGTCGACTGACTCAGAGCGAGCTTGTCGAGGAATTGGAGGAAATATGCGACTCCCATCAACGGGACCAGACTTTCTTTGATCAGATACATACGCACACATAGGTATAATCCGCCAGAAAACTCACATAAGATCGAGTTTCCATAACACCTTCCGCTCCTCCTGAGTCGTTGGTTGGATAGCGAGCACTTGGCCAAGATCGAGGTCCCGGCCAAATGACTCACCCCCTTCCTTCATATCCTTCTCATCTAGGTTGGTCTCGTGAGATTGCATCGCGAAGATTAAACAAAGGCAATTCCACTAAATGAGACACATTCAGTGCCTTCTTATTCAAAACCCCACGGTAGCCGGTATCGCTCTCGACTTCTTCGCCACAAAGTCTGCTGAACAAAGTTCGCTTGCACTTACTAGTCCTATGCCCGGTGGTTTTCCGTGGTGGGCCCTAGACCATGATTCAAGGGGAATCTCGAATGGCTCAACCAATTAAAATGTATGTTTTAGTTTTAAGATTATCAATAGAATTTCCCCGCGATGCTAATGCCGGAGAACAGGCGAGCTGCTAATCGCTCGGCACCCCACTTCCCATGATTCGGGTGTCAGTCAATTAAAATCCGGGGATTGCATGTCAGCACGAAGCCTATCTCGGGGGCCCATCCACTTCCCCCTCAGCGGATGCTAACCACGGCAATTGAGTCCATTGTCGATGATCGGCATCTGGTATTGGGGCCCAAGTGATGTGGTTATCTATGATCATGGGGCGTTCGAGATACGCTACAAATGCCGCTCTATTACGCGACAATTGTTAATCCTCTTCGTACTGATAGGGAAAGTTCTAAGGCTGTTAATGACGACGTGTCATACACTTGCACAATTTCGAAAGGAGAGTACGCTTTAATTCAGTCTAGTATTCACAATTCTAAGCCATTCTCAAAGTCCGACTTGATGGCAGTGGCGAAACTTTCATCGACTAATGCGCGGCACGCCACCACAGCCATTCCCGCTGCACAGTGCAAACTACGCTTGAACCCATCCTCAGATCCAGCTCCGGCAGTAAATTGTGGCGTGTGGTTGACACCATCAGCGTGAATATAGAATCCACCGTGGAAGCCGGGTACTTCATATGAGACGTTGCCTATATCGGAGTGAACAGTCAGTCTTTGGCTGCACCGTAATGAACTTCAACACTCACCCATATCAGTTGATCCTCCGCTAAGACCTCCTACCTGCCCTGCGGCATCAAAGATAGTGCTGTGACCCATGGCATTCATGGCAGAGACGTAGCTGTCACAGATAGGCTTGTTGATCTTCATATCCTTATATGACGCCTCCCTAGAAAATGCGTCAGTCAAGTGTATCGAAATAAAACATCGCCAATTATCCTACCATTCGTATTCCACCGTGCAGCCAGTAGCAGTCGCGGCAGCCTCAAAGCATTTGAGCACTTTCTCAGTCAATGGCTTGAGTGTCTTTGCAGTCTCCGATCGCATATAGTATTCAACCGTTGTAGAGGCAGGAATAACATTCGGTCTCTCTCCACCTCGTGAAATAACCCCGTGAATCTTTTGCGTCGGCAAGATCTGCTGTCGCAGCATTGAAATGTTCACATACGCAGATACCACAGCATCTAGAGCATTGATACCCTCCCACGGAGCAGCAGAAGCATGTGCCGGTTTGCCAGTGAACGTCACCTGAACCTTGTCATTTGCGAGATACATGCCGGCGCAGGAACTCGAGCTAATAAGATCGGGCACGCCGGACAGCACCGGGAATGGATGAACCATGAAGCATGCGTCCACATCTTTGTATGCGCCCGCGTCGATGAGCAGGAGCTTTCCACCACCACCCTCCTCGGCAGGAGTCCCCAGCAGCCGAACTGAATACCCAACCCCATCCGAGTACAGAACATCCATTGCTTCGCAGGTGGCTAGAAAGGCCGCGATCGAACTTGTAGCAATCAAATTGTGTCCACATGCATGTCCCATGCCTGGAAGGGCATCGTACTCTGCGTTGAAAGCCATAGTACGACCGCCCTCACCGCGCTTATAGATCACCTCAAGCGCCGTCTCAATGCCATAAGCCTTTCTATTAACCTGGTATCCAGCCCCAAGCGACTCAAAAAACTGGCAGATATTATCGTGGGCGTTGTACTCCTTGAATGCCAACTCGGGATTGGACCAGATCTAGCAAACGTTAATAAAGTCACAATGTAATTGCCAAATATGATACACACCTTCTGGTTGATCTCACTGAGCTTGGACTCATACTTATCCAAAGCCCCTGAGACATTGTGGATGATCTCTGCTTGTCCCTGTACTGGTAACATCGTGTCGAACCGTCGCCAAAAAAAATCCGAATTGTTCACAAGTGCTGAGACTGGGCAATGCAACCTTAAAAGGCAAAGAAGCAAAAAGAAAACGGCCAAGAAATGAACCGATTGCCGAATATCACCTCCGCACGAAGATAAGACATCAAGAGACATCCCAAGTGGGGGCGCGCGGGGGTTGCTAAGAGGATTCCGCAGTGGAGAAGCGAAGCACGTCCATTCATCAGTCTCATTCTATTATGCAATCTACACTCCAGTGCTCACTAAGATCCGGAATACCCAGACCCGGTAAACAGACTTGCCGAATGGGCCTGGATAGGTCTCTGATCCAAAAAGATGCGCATTTCAACGATCTGCAGATCCGACTCATCGCGGCCTTCCAGGTCGAGGACGTTGAACTCACGGACTCGGACTGCGAACTGGTCAGGGTCCTCTTTGAATGTTGTTTCGGATGTTGCTTCAAACATGACCGTGCGCTTCATTTGTATGTTCCCTGCTAGCGGGGCATAGAGCTGGCCCCTTTGTGCGGTTTCTTCATTTGGAGCAGTCCTATTGTACGATGTCTGGACGGGGCCTATGTCCCTCCCGAGATCTATATCCCAGGCGAGATGAACTTGATGGTGGAATTTGCAGATGTGACGGCTGCGCACTTCGAGGAGAGGAACTGCTTGGCTTGCGGCTGTTGGTGGATCGCTACCGATGAGGATCGGAGCGCTGGGTGTGAAGAAAGGGCTGATGGGATTTTCAGCAGGTGTGAGGGAGTCTAGTGCTGGTAGGAATCGTTGGAGAAATTTAAGACCTGGTGATGCTGTGGTAGGGATGGCCTCGTAGGGACCATGGTGGATCGAGACGGCGCTTTCCATGCTGCATTGACTACGGGAGAAACACACTTTTGGATTGAAATTATTTCCAATTGATTTTGATGTCTGATGGTATGTCATGGCGACGTAATATTGTCATTCAAGTAGTTACATCATGAGGCTGAAATCAACAAATCGTGGGCGTCGATAGACGGAATTAAATTATTATGGCCAATGTAAATCTGGCCCATATGAACAACGCAGTCCTATGGTGGACCTGGCGGTATTTTACATAGTGGTTTGATTGACCACAATGGTATTTTGTACAGTCAGCAGGAATTGACAGCAAGGCTGTTCGAATCTCGCGCTGGGATGTAGGGTGTCGTTGTTGACGCACCGAAGGAGCTGCGCAAACTTTTCCTCGCGCGAGCGAAATGAAACCAGGGATTTGGATTTCAATGAGCGGGAATTTGGGTGTTTTGAAGACTTGTTGAGGTGATCTTCTTGTGAAGAGTAGACGAAGCAGAATGTAAAACGCAATCCACTAGTCCTGAAACTCTTTGCCATTTTGAAGCTCCGGACGAGATCGAGAGTTGGCTGGTTGTCGAAGGATTATTGAGACCTTGGTCTAAGTTGATAGAAACATTCATGATCACCAGTCCGACCTCAAGATGGATGCACGCTGTCGTCAGTTGACCGGGTAGATGGACGAATTCTGCGCTCAGAACTCGGCAAACTCTCCATGGACAATGTATTCCACCCTCTCCGTCCCCCTGGTCGTAATTCCCGTGGGGCTGCATGAGTGATATCCGATGTAATCTGGGAAGGGTCCACGAAGACAGGGTATTCTTCGTGTTCTAAGGAAGTGGGTTGCGATCGATGACTTTGCACAAGATCGACTAGTTTGCCGAGCACACCGAACTCGAGCTTCAACTTGATACTGTAGACCATGGCCTTCAATGTGGTCTGCAGCGAGTAAAGCCCAATGTATTCCACAAGGAGTAAACACACATCAAGCAATATGATGACGAAATTGATGGCCAGCAACTCGTACATGATTCTAGACCGCCGTTGGTCCTTGTCTGGCATCATTCTCAGTAGCTTCACGGTCTCGACAATGTAAATTCCTGAAATGACCATCTCTTGAGTACAGAACCAGGCCAGTTGCATCCGCTCCATAACATTGTATCCGCGAATCATTGACGGCATTGCAACGTATGCGGCACAGAAGGTCAGAACGGTAGTTGGCACCAAAAGAATGATCGCGTCGATGATAATCAGCCAAAGAACAAATCGAAGCACTTTGTTGTTATTGACCACCAAATGAAGGCGAGAGTATAGGACCAGCGATTGGCCCGGGACCATGACGTAGAAGCCAATAGTGGATAGAGTCAAAGAGAACCATAATGGCGCTAGAGTAAAAAACCCCAGCAGGTAGCCAATAGCGTGAGGGACCACCCCGGCGATGACCGAGAGCAGAAGCGTCCAAAAGTAGAGTCCACGATAATGAGTAAAAGTCAAAAATAACAATATTAACAATTCGATGGCGTTGTATAATGCGATGGATGTGAAGACAATCATCAAGGTACGCACTGCCACATTGTTGTCATGGTACCCATGCATCCCGTCGGGAGCTTGGGATAGGTTTGTCATGGTGGCCGACTCAACTAGCCTGGCTAGAAGGATGTATATTCAATGTTGGTATTGGAAAGACCGTAGGGAGGATGATTCATGCCCCGCTTAGTGAGAACCCCGGTACACTTTGCTTCAATTGTACCAGCTCCGTAGCCATGATAGTTGTGCTAGTCCCAGTAAATCATTTGCGCCAATGGTGTTTGTGCCGATTCGAAGGTATCGAGGTTTTGGTTTTCGCTAATCGGACAAAATTGGGAGGGGTTTCGGGAGTGGATTGAGATCGGTGGGAGGATCTGATCGCAAGTTCGTTTGCCGAAGAATGCGGATGCAACTTTCGGAGTTCTGAGGATGAAGTCAAGAACTCGAGGCAGATCAGGAACTCAAGGCAGGGATCGAAGTTAAGTGAACGTCTAACAATGGAGTATAGTGAAAAATAGTTGAGTCAAGGAGAAAAGAAAACTCCAGGGCTATCCCCGGCTTATTTGCCCCCATGCCAAGCTAATCCGAGAAAGGGAACCCTTGGAACCGCCACACGTGAACTTTTGCTCTATTTTTTTCTTTTTTTTTTCCAATTTTAGAAGGGGGAATTGTAAGGGATCTACATAATTTCATCGATCTTTCCTGATTTCTCATTTCAACTTTGGTCTATACTCGTAAAGCACGATTTTAACTCAATTGTAGAATTTTCAAGGTGGCTATAGAGTGGCAGTGGCCAGAGTGGCTAAAGTGGCTGAAGTGGTAACGGCAGATGCAACCGGGTATATTCCGTATATTTTTCTCCTTCCACATTGAAGAGGAAAAAGAAAAAAATAGAAACAATACTAGGATGTCTCAGCCGAGGTGAATCTTCAGGTTTTTACGCTAACCTCCGCCCTGAGTGGGGAATGGCCCTCGGTAGTTCCTACTTACAATTGGCCTGTCCACCTGTCCACTTGCGGAGAATCCAGACCCAAAGCAACTTTGCGAACCGTGCGCGTCTACGGTCTCGTGACTATGCTTCCTCTCTCTCTCTCTACTCCGTACTTTAATCCGCATGAAATAAATCCATGCATCCCATATTCGTACCCCATACGGAGTACGGAGTACCGAGTATGTACATGCGTCTTCGGCCCGTGCCCAAGATCTCCCCGTTGCAGATCTAGCCGCACAGGCCATGGAGCATTCTCTGGACTCACGCTATGGGTTTCTTCGGCTTTCTTCGGCCAAACAAGGGACTGGTCAATCTGGGATATATCATGATAGTTGCGGTGAAGCATAAGGGAACGGAGACGGTGAGTGTGGCAGCTGAATAATAGCATCGTTACGAACTTGAAATGTATTTTTGACCTATCCAATTTCCGCTCTCCACTCTGCTCTGGAGGGAAACCTCCTAGCTTTAGAAAAGCTATGTTGTATATCCTGCACTTGTCTTCCCTAGCGGCAGCGTAAATCCATATTTTCGGGTTTCTCACGACATTGTCCACTAAATTTTGAGGCTTGAAATCAGGCTGCTACAGGCACTTCGCGAAAATGTATGTGTTAAAGGTATTGGACACTCTGAAAATCAACACCATGAATTTGATTCCAGTGATTACCATTCGAGTCATGGTGTGTGACGAAGATTGACTTTGAAGCCCCCTTGATTATGGATCCCAAGTGACAGCCTTGCCCTGGCGTCCCACTAATGAATCAGGCTCAATTTTTACGGATCCTTCATAGGATCTGTATACACAATACCTCCAATTTTGACCTGATTAACAAATCTCCCTGGCTCTAAAGGTCCATTGAGCCATGTCACAAATAAAAAGATACAAGTCCGGTGAATATTGCGATCAATGCTATCCCTCTTTCACGCGTCGATGATCAATCGGTGTACATTCTCTGATGACCCCACCTATTATTGAGCACCTGCAGGTGTACAAGCCGCCATTTAAAGTATATGGGCTTACCGCTAATCCACTAGGCAAAGAGGGGTATTCAGCTGGCTCGGGACATACCACCAAGAAAATATGACATATGCTTGACGCCTTGCCCCTGGCCTCAACCAGTTTCTTCACACATTGCTCTTCACGCTAAAAGGTTGCCATCAACATGGAATCCACAAAAAATACTTATGACTTTGTCATCGTAGGAGGTAATCATGCACCAGATATACATGCAGTGTCCCACGCTCATCACTTAAACAGGTGGTCCAGCTGGTTGCGCTCTGGCTGTGGAACTCGCCAAAACAGCCCAAAGACCTCAAGTTCTACTTCTTGAGGCAGGTGGGCGCAATGATGACAGAGCTTTGCGAGTGGACGGAAAGCGCTGGACGACGTTCATGGAAGGAGACATGAATTGGGGGTACAAGACCACGCCTCAGGAACATTGCAATGGGCGTGAACTAGACTATTCCCGTGGAAAGGGTCTGGGGGGTGGCTCGGCAATCAACTTCGGGGTCTATACTGTAGGCGCGCGGGACGACTACAACGAGTGGGCATCTATTGTGGACGATGATACATTCGGATGGAAGGAGATGCAGACCCGCTTCAAGAATTTGGAGACCTTCAATGGCAGTGTCACGCTTTCAGAGAATCAGAAATATGCTAATTCGGTTGCTTCCGATCATGGCAATTCGGGTGTCCTGCACCTTAGCTATGCGGAGGATTGGGAAAAGGACTTGTCGCTCTCGCTAGATGCATTTAAAGCGGCTGGACACAAGCTCAACTTGGATCACAACTCCGGCAACCCCCTCGGCATGGCTGCCACTATCAACTCCGCTTATAAGGGAAAGCGAACCACGGCTGCTGACTTGCTTTCAAGTGCTCCTGAGAATCTTGTGGTCGTCACAGATAGCCCAGTACAACGTATCTTGATGCAGGGCAAAAAGGCTGTGGGAATAGAGACCCAGAGCAATCAGTGTATGTCTCATTCTGAACTTTTACTGTTCACTACATCTGACGTGGTTTCCAGACTTCGCTTCTCGGGATGTGATTCTCTCTGCAGGCTCACTCGATACCCCCAAGATCCTAATGCATTCTGGAATCGGACCAGCTGCAGACCTTGAGAAGTTCAACATCCCAGTAGTCAACGACCTCCCCGCTGTTGGTCAGGGTCTCCGAGACCACTACTTTGTCCCTCTGATTCTTGCCCGTAACCCTGATACCAATGATCGGAATTCGTTCTTCCAGGATCCCGCCGCCATGGAGGCTGCGATGAAACAGTGGGAAGATGATAACACTGGTCCGTGGACCCGATACAGCTGCCAGATCGGCTGTGGCTGGTTTAAATCAGACCGCATCACCTCCACGCCCGAATTCAAAGCACTTCCAGCATCCGTACAAGAATTCATGAACCGTGAAACAATCCCCCACTACGAGATAATCACCCACATGCCCATCCACTTCATGATGCCCGATATGTTCAAAGATTACAGCTATATTGGCCTTGCGGCATTTATGATGAACGAACAATCTCGCGGCGAAGTGCGCCTGCAGTCCTCCGACCCAGATGTCCCGCTGCTGTTCAACCCACGGTTCCTCGAGGATCCCTTCGATCGTCGCGCCTGTATCGAGATCTACCGACACCTATTGGAAGTCAGTAGACAAGAGTCCTTCGCGAAGGACACTATCTCCACGCTCATCGGGCCCGCGTCTGATTCCGATGAGGACATTCTCCAGTTCTGGAAGAACTTCCTCTCTTCTAGCTGGCACATGACTGGCACCATGAAGATGGGAAAGGCCGATGCTAGTGATGCTGCTGTTGACACGCATTTCCGCGTGCGGGGCATCGAGAACCTCCGCGTTGCTGATATGAGTGTCGTTCCTGTTCTCACTAACAACCACACACAGGCTACTGCTTATGTGACCGGTGTTACTTGTGCTGACGTTCTTATTAAGGAATATGGTCTTGATGAAAAGTAAATGATAAATAATATCTCATGGTATTGGCATGTCAAGGTTGTTCAATAAAAGGATACAGGGACTACATATTGCCTGCAACCAATAATATTGTATTTTCGCTGTGTCACATCAGAGTTCTGTTTCTCAACATATGCTTTAAAAATGCATGGACATCCTGTTTGTCTGTTTCATTATATAGATCTTCGGGATCTTGTATAAATGAGCAACTTCACTCAAACTGACCCGACTTTGCCTTTGCGTGCGAGAAAGGACATGTAGCCACACCTCGCGCTTTGATTACCTCGATATCGGATCTCATCTCCTCCGCTCCATGTTCCTTCTGTGGATCCGGCCCGATCGTCATCAAGTCGTATCCTCCGGGTTGATATCGGTCTCCTCGCGACCCGGGCACCTTTCCTCCCAATGCTCTGACCAACAACGCGCCGAGTCCCCATTTTGACCAGAAAGTCGGCTGGACATACCATGGCTGCAGGGTCTTTCTTTCAAAATTATACAGACGTGTTACTTGGTTCGGCATGTCGCGCACTAAGTTAACAGCATTGGACGAAGACCGTGGAAATGCAAGATATCGGAGGAATAATTTTCGTGCCTCTCGGATGAACGCCAGTAGAAACCAGAGGACTGGACCGGGAGATTCAAGACTGTAGACGTTAGTAAAGAAACTGACTTAATTCCATAGTTGAATGAAAGGCAAAAATTACCAAAGGCTCGTTCTCATGACATCGTCCAAGTCATTACCTAGCATCTTTCGCACAGTTGTTCTTATGAACCCAGGAAGGAATGCCAATGCCGAATCAACGTATATTCGAACGTATTGATCATTTGTCGCCGTGGGCTTTGCCACTTCTTCTTCGTACTGGATTGTCCAGTCTCTCAATTCCATCGCGAAGTGCAGGCCATTTTTCCATCCGTCTCCTTTTGACGGAAGCGGGTCAAAGGGGATTCCCATGTCTTCTCCCAAGTTTTTATGAAAGATACCGAGAGCACATATTTCAACGTCACTAAGCTTGCGCCATTCCTCTCTTTCAACGACATTCAAGATCTCGGCAAGACCGTCACCCAGAGTATGGAGGAGATCGTTGTCCGTTATCTTGTTGGCACGACGGTAACGGGCATGGCTAACGATTGCCTTGGTCAACGAACAGAACAAAAACTTTATTTTGCCTCTAAATAAAGGCAATATGAGTCCATGGATGCATTCAACATACAGATAATTCATTCTGGCCACAGCTGACGCGTATCGATCGGAATCTCTAGGCTTGGACTGCACCTCTCGCAAGAGGATTTCCGTGTCAACAGCGCGCTTCCCCGAATTGCGCTTATTGTTTTGACCTGTGACCGCGAAGAGTTTAGACATAGTCGGGATACCTCCAGCCTAAAACAATACTTGAACTTAGCGGTATTCTCCACAGTGCTTATAAAACCGGCCACAGGTTTCTGTCGTACCTTCAACAGGGCAATTTTGCGAGCTTTAGCAAAAGCATGTGGAAACTCGAGCTCCTGTAACTGGTTCAGGATAGCATGTGCTTCCTTTACCGTCATTTCTGACAAGTCCTTCTTGCCTGGTGCGTATGGGGCCCCAATCCTTAACATGCGGCGGTATCGAAGAAACCCAATTAATGCTATGTAGCTGGCGAAGGCAATGGCAATGGCAATGGCCAACCAATATTTGCTCCATGGTATATAGAGCAAGCCAGTGGCGTCCACCCTTCCGTCAATGAGCACTTGAAGCATTCATTCTATGTCACACCATAGTGAGCATTCAGCGCAAAAATAGGGTTTCCCATTTGCCAACTTACCGTCTGAAGCTTGTATTTGGGGGTGGGGCGAGGTTTATAGGTTCCTTTGCTTTTGGGATTCTAGACAAAGAAATATATTGAGACGGTAGAGGATATTCAATTTATCTTATGTGTGGCAAGGACGAATAGTTCTGGGTGCCGAGGCTGCTAGTTACAATGGATCACCAACCCAACAAAAGCTCATGGTGAAATTCGGGAATGTGAGATATCAACGGGTCCCGTATTGTTGGGCGAACAATTCTCAACCCAATTATGCTAAGACCGTTGGAAATTCCTGATGGGACCTCGGAGGTTGATCACGATGATAATGTAATCAATCAGGGCTACCCACCTACCATCTGGGCAGATATGAGCAGACAAAAGTGAGCTAGTTACATAGTCAAAATACATGAACTAAATATCTTCATTTGATACTTTGAACATCTTTTCGTCGGTTTCTAAATGTATCGCTGATCTCCGGCTCATTTATTCTTGTTTGTCATCTGACATTTGAGTGAGGTATATTGAATCTGACTTTAAGATAAGTTCTGTATCAAGGCCAATCGAAAGGCAGTTTCAACATCAGATCGCCGGAAACCGGGTGCTCGTCCTAAGATAGCCACCCCGCGAAGAAGTCCTGTCATTCTTTGTTAGGAACATACTTGAACATGATGTCAGTGCAAGAGGTTACCTGTCAAAAAGGACTCAATATCAAGTACGCAACGTGATGGTTGTTGAGGTAATGCCGAAACCATCAAATCTGTGAACCGTAAGTTCGAACTCTTTTTGTAAATAAGATCGACATACCAGTTTGGGTTACGGGAAATGATATGCGTCGAGTGTCCAGTGAACTAAATTCAAGCTCGGCTTGACCGGGGCTGGGTGCTAAATTGTGCACGGTGGGAAACGAACTTGGTCTGTCCAAGTCCACACCTTTCTCTCTAAGATATCCTTCCACGTCGCGACAATCAAACCACTGGCCGCCGAACCCACAAAGTTCAAGATGACTCTGGGCCTGATGCACAGAATCCGGGTCACTGGGAATCCCGAGCATGGGCAGAGTACCGAGTATTCTTCGAGGCAGCCTCATTTTCGGGGGGTATATAGGGTTCCCTTTCTCATCTTTCATCGCATAATGCGTTCCAGCTCCCCCAATACAGTAAAATGGCAGTGCAGGAATCTCCAGTGAGCTGCCTCGTTCAGAAGTGACCAGGTCCCTGAAGTAAGGGTACATCTTTGCCCTATCCCTGAAACAAGGCACGAGTCTAAACACTCGGAAGACTTCAAGCGGATCAGAGCGTGTGTCACTAAATATTCGGAAGGCATGCTCCAGACTAGATCGTTTGAGTCTTCGAGTGAATGAACTTTCCAGGAATGAATAGGATTCTGGAACATTAGCTCCACCAAATCGATCAATGGTTTGCACGATGGGTTGGTCATGATATAATCCCCGCTGTTGCTGTATGACAGGTGTGGATCGACAAAGGGCCATTTCTCCGGTTTCTTGATACGGGGTGACCTCGGTTTCTGGGGATGTATCTATGCGTGTGGAGCTTGGCTCGATGATAGGTTGGTGACAAGATATAGTATAATTAGCGAGGTGGTCATCGCACTGGACACTCTTGGGTTGTTTCGGAGTAGACTTCTTGAAAGGTTCTCTCAATAAAAGGTCGTCCACACTGGTTCCCTGAACAAAGTCCTCGGATGCACAAGGCAGAAGACTCAGGATGCTGTCAAAATCCCTAAGAAGTTCGAAGTGGGTGTCCTTCAGGGTAGACTGAAGAGTGACTCTGTAGTCTGTAAGCGAATTCTTGATTTCTTTCATCTTATCTTCGAGGAAGTCCACTCGTTTCTGGGATTGTTGAAGACTTGCTTCTTTCTTCAATCTATATGTTTTCTGAGCACGGCGGATTTGGCTTCGCCGATCCTGAGCCCGGAATTAGAATGTGTCTTCTCTACTGTTTCTTTTTAATTTCATGGAGACTAGTTACCTCAGATAGTATAGCTTCCCCGGGTGCATCGAGCCTGCGTCTACCCGCACTCCTTGGCGGACGTTTTTGAGGCTTAGTTACCGGGTCTGACATCTTGATTCATCTGATATAGGCGCGTGCTAGACCAAGCCAAAGATCATATTATCCATGGTCCCGAAAATTCTTTGAATGGGCAGGTGTTGAGTAATGAAGTGGGCATATTCTCGGTCCCTATGCGTGAAGAGCCCTGGAGGCGAAATGCTGATAATGTAATCCGCCTCGGTCCCCACAATATACTGTGGATAGTTGATTCGTTGAGATAGATACAGCAATTGGATCGGAATGTTGGGGCCGGATCAATGAAATGGCCAATGTCTCTCCCTGATTGTTGAATTTTCAAAAATGAAGAAAGCAAAAAAGATGTCACGGTCACAACGGACAGCGCCGTCTCCCCCTCCCCCCTCGATATTTCCGACGCGACCTGAAATTTTGAATATAAAGGAACAAGAATAGTCGGCCGCGTTTGCGGCCTTGTGATATCTTTTCAGCTAATCTTTTTGGTTGTCTTTTTGAACGTCTTTTTAAATGTTTTTGTTTTGTATATATTTTGCTGCTCATCTCAGTTGTATAGATAGACGGTAGAAAAAGGCGGAGAAAGGCTTAATTTGTGAAATGGACTTTTCTATGTATAACTTTGGATTACTAAATCTCTGGTCTATCGCCGTAGAATTTACTCACATTATCCCAGATATACTTAGGTGCGCAAACTGCGGCACTTCGGTAATACCAAGGCCCCTCTTATTTGAGTAGGTCGACCCCGTAGTATCACACCGCTAATATTAGAGGCTCTCTGTGATCATCTCCTAAAAAAGCCTGGTTTCTACCTCGATAAAATAGCGCTTTTTCTGTGGGATGAGTTTGGTACATATCTAATATCATCTAGTATCAGGAGAGTGCTGATCTCCAAGAAATGGTCAAAGAAGATATCTCGATAGGAAAGCAAGGGAACGGAATGCTGTCTTCGATACAGTTCACAGATATTTTACGTAAGTTGCAGAGAATGGTTTGCACAACGGATAGGGCCGGTCGACAAGACATGAGCTTGGAAACCCTAGCAACAGGTGCTAGTAGTTTAGTATTCCTGTGGGGATTCCATAGGAACTTCTCACACGCTATGCGGGAACAGGGGTTCGTGCGACTACGGAATATGTACATACCTACGCAGCTCCGCTTTATGCAACGCCGAGACACTTGCTGGAAAAAGGCCCGCACGTCCCTCGACAACACGACTCTTTCGGTTAGCTTTGTGCCTTTCTCCACTTTTTGTGTTGAATTGCTGACAAGAAAGCCGCCACGTTAGTTATTCTAAAGATAGAATGAGCAGCTGACAATTTTGGCGCCTGGGTCACCTAAGAGTGGGACTAACGATGGCCTTTATATGAGGGTTGAGAACTTTGATCTACCCAAAAAACCAAGCATTCTATACATAGTGTGTTGACTATGACTTCAATATCGTTTGGAAACACAAATTCTGGCTTCCAAGTTGGTCTTGTGAATGGCACGGTTAATGCGCAGGTCTATCTGCACCTAGGTATTATTCACAAGGCCCTAGAAAAGCGACTAGGTTAACTAACTAATCGCCGCTTCTTGGCCTAGAGCGACCGGAAACCCCACCGACTCCTCTATCGACCGTCCCGTTCCGTCGCGATCCAGACTTTGTCAGTCGCGACACACTGCTCGATTAGATATATGAAAAGAGCTCAGCCCCAGGGTCCAGAATAGCTCTTGTGGGCGTCGGTGGTGTCGGGTCAGTGCAAAGACGTTGGTAGGTAGATCAGTGCTGACAATCGGTAGGAAATCGCAACTTGCTATCGAATACTGTCGTTAACTTCGAGATCGATCCCCTGAGATATGGGTTTTCTGGGTCCATGCAAGTAACGCGGCCCGGTTTGAGCAAAGTTTCCGGGATATCGCCGACCAGGCCAAAATTCCTGGGCGTCAGGATCCTACAGCTAATATATTCTAACTCGTCGAAAGCTGGCTCCGGGATAGGGAGAGAGTAAAGTGGCTACTGGTCCTTGATAATGTTGATGATGATGGGTTTCTTCGCCAGCCATCAACAACAGGTCAGCAGATCGGCTATCCCAACGCCGCAACAAAGCCATTATTGGATTTTCTCCCCCGAAGCCCGAACGGATCAATAATTATAATAAGTCGGAACCAAGAGGTTGCGTTAAAAATGGTCTACCATCAGGACGTTATCAAAATAAATCCAATAGATCGGTCTGAGGCGCTAAAACTTCTCCAATAAAAGCTTGGACGACTAGCGGAAACTCCTGATACTCTAACGTTAGTGGAAGAACTTGAGTTTATGCTACTAGCGATTGTACAGGCAGCCGGCTATATCGTGCATCGAGCACCCCTCTGTTCAGTATCGCAGTACCTCGAGAAGTTTCGAAAGAGTGATACCGAAGCGACCAGGCTTCTTCATTATGAGGCGGGTCATCTCTATCGAGATTGGGAGGCAAAGAATTCGATTCTAGTCACATGGCAAATATCCTTCGGCTATATACGACAAATACGACCGTCCGCTGCTGATTTGCTCTCCCTCATGAGTTTTTTCGACCGACAGGGAGTTTCAGAGGACCTTCTCCGAGTTCAACGCGAGATACCTAACGAGGATTCGAGCTCGGAGGAGATTACGTTTGACCGCTGCGACGAGGATACGGATAGTACATCAGAATCTAACACGGATGATGAGTTTAATGATGATCTTACAATATTGAGAGACTTTTCATTTATTTTTGTTAGCGAGAACATATCAGTGTTCACGATGCACCGGCTAGTGCAACTTACTGTGCGTGTGTGGCTGAAAACCAATGGAGAAATCGAGCGATGGAAGGAGGAATTTATCACGAGACTATACCAAAGGTTTCCGACCGGTAAATATGAAAACTGGGCACAATGCCGGTCCCTGTTTCCACATATGAAATCAGCGGAGTCACAACGACCAGGATCACAAGACTGTCTACATAAATGGGCCACGCTACTTTATAAGGGGGCATGGTATGCTCGGGAAAGCGGCAACATTACAGAATCAAGGGATATGGCATCTAAATCAAGGAAGGAGCGAGTGCTAATGTTTGGCTTAGAGGGCGAACATACCCTCAATAGCACTGCGATGTTAGCGAGCGTATACCGGCTCGAGGGCCGATGGGAGGAGGCGGAGCAGCTCGACGTACAGGTCATGGAGACTCGCAAGATAAAGCTCGGCGTGGACCATCCTGACACGCTGACGAGCATGGCCAATCTAGCATTGACGTTCTGGAACCAGGGCCGATGGGAGGAGGCGGGGCAGCTTAACGTACAGGTCATGGAGACAAGCAAGACGAAGCTCGGCGTGGACCATCCTCACACGCTGACGAGCATGAACAACATGGCTTATACCCTTAGGTCATCGGGACAATACACAGCCGCATTGCAGTTGATGGCCGAATGTGTTCAGCTTCGCGACCGAAAACTAGGCCCTAACCATCCGGATACTTTATCTTCCAAGTCTGCTTTAATCGAGTGGCGCGGCAAGGTTGACTCACCGTCTTCCCAGCTCACTAAACCATCGACGGACACCAAAGAGGCCTCAATCCTCGACAGTTCCTCAGAAACTCCCAAGCGAGTTTCTAGACCTGAAAGACATCATAGGCGGACAATATTCTTACGCCTCTTTGGCAGAAAGTAGGACTCTCCCCTTTTCAATTTTTCTGAAGTGGGGTTTTGCTTTGTGACAGTTAGAAAAAAATCATCAAACTAACGAATTCTGTGCTCTCGAAGATGAATGGCTCATATCCCATTAAACGTCAAATTGGAATGTCAATAGCAAGAACCTCGGAACTTTCAAGAATCTGATTCGACTGTATCCATGCTTAACTTACGGGGCCGTATTACGTCTCATGTTTTATACCATACGCCAAGACCATTGAAAACAAGGATGATGAGGTCTGTAGCCTAGCTTACATATGTACTTTGTCCTAGGCAGTTTCACCATCGTCTTGACAGTGTGGCTGGAGACATGTAAAAAATGGAAGCCAATTTCGAATATTGCTGTACATGTAGATAGGTCCAAGACCTTCGCTTCAAAGGACTGTCTCAAATACCTTCAGTTCAATGGGTCCATTTGGACAAGACCTGAGAAGCCCGAAGATTACGAGTATACTACGAAGTACAAACCACCCAAACCCGCTAGCATGGAGCAGGTCAAAAGTCTCGAATCAGACTAAGTTTTACTTGGTGAGTTTGACTCTAGGCGACATGATGAGGTCCTCATAAAGGCGGTGGCATAGGAACCCACGCCAGGCAGCGAAAGTCCAGCGGGTAGTGTATATCCGCAGCTTATGATCGATCCAATTAAACAAGTAAACAGATAGATTGAATTGAAGTATGAAACAAATGTGGGAATAATAAGAAACTCCCCCATCAATCTACCACAATGCAAGAACCTCAAAACACCACCGAATCGCAAAGCCGAAATCAAGAGGATGGAATCAGTCACTGCGCCGCACACCATTACGCAAAGGGGGCACATGACATAATAGTAAAGGGAAAGGGCACAGGATATCCAGCAGAACAGGCGAGATAGAAATATGGCAAGTGTCGTCAAGCATAACGTAACACCGAAGCCGAATAAGGCACGAGCAAATAAAGGACACAGACGCGGGTATCGAAAGGTGATCGCAGAACGTAGGCAATCAAAACGGTGATAAAAACGGCACGGCGATTAGTTAACCATGGGAAGACCATGGGAAACCTCCTGCTTGTTCACGCCATCATTTCCGTCCTGGTTATCATCCGTGCGAACCCGCTTATTTTGCTGGAAGCTGTTGTTGTTAAGGAAGGTCGTGTCGTCGGGGTGCTTACGCATGCCGAGTGTTGCAGCAGCGATGCGGTTCAGAGAGTTCATGTCATCAGAGACAGAACTAGGGTGCTGGCCCTGGGGACCCGGGGCGGGCACCGAGCCCGAAGGGCTGGAGTTCTGAACGCCGGCAGAGGCAAGGGCCATCTCAGTGGTCCGGGGCTGGCTCAAGTCGATGTTGGCGGGGAGCTCGGGGACTTCACCCTGCGCTTCGAGAAGACGCGATTGCAAGTTGATGATGTATTCGCGCAGCTGGTAGTTCTCGCCGACCAGGGACTTGACCTGCTCCTTGAGGGGGTCGATGTTCTTGACCTCTTCCTCGAGCTTGCGGATGTAAGTTTCCTTGCGCTGGCGGAATGCGCGCTGTTATGAGGATTAGCCAAGTGCTTTGTGCACGATATCAAAAAGACGTACCTGAGCAGCACGGTTCTGGGCAGCACGCTTGGAGGTGGACAGTTCACGCTTGCCATAGTTCTTGGAGCCACCATCGGATGGGGGAGAACCCTGAGGCTGGGTGGGGGTCTGAGGAGCGCCGAGCATGGCACCCGAGATAGCAGGGTCAATGTTTGGCTGGTCTCGTGGACTAGCATTATTGGGCTGCAAGTGCTGTTGCTGGCCTGGGGCACCCTGGGGGCGACCGCCCAGATGGTGCTGAGCAGCTAGAAGCTGGTCATGAAGGACTATAGAATCATGTTAGCAATGGAGAATAATCATGTGCGATGCGCACCCTAATTTGCCTAGGTGAAATGAGATAGGTGGTCGGGTACGGTGGGTTTCAGCCCTGAAACCCACGTATCCACGAATCTCTCAAAGGGAATGGGATTCAAACATCAAAAATGCTCTAAACTACAATCACGTACCCTGGTCCGCATGATCCTATATTCAATTGTCAGTACGAACCATAGCAGATTACAGAACGAAACAGGTGACGCGACAAGGCTGGATGGAGAGAGACTCCACGCGTCGAGATGTCGAGTCCCGTTCCCGACACGTTGGTAACGCGACACGACTGTCTTGTATCCAAAGTATCGAGGAAGTACACAACGTGGGATCTCATATAGATATGATGACAAACGCGCGTTCAAGATGATCTGCTTACCTGAGCAGAAGTCTGCATGCTTGGATGCGGTGCTGGTGCCAGTGCAGGCTGCATTGATTTAGAAGAAAGGAGATTGGTGATGAAATCGGGCAATGACTTTGCACGACAGTCTTAGTATCCACAAGAATTGAGAGCAAAGAGAGCTGCTTTGCTGATATCAAAATACAGTTAAAATGAGGTAAGCAGTTACAGATCCGATGCTGTAAGCAGGTTGATGGCGGGCCCTGGAGGAGGAGGAGGATTACTTAAGGATTCTGAGTCAGAGGATTTGGGGCGATCGTCGATTTATGTAAGGAGTTGGTAAGCGAAGTGTCCGCATCAGGTAAGCGGTGAGTTAAGCAAGTGGCTTCTACCCCGGGTTTATCTCCATGCTTTTTACCACTAAGCTTGCTTTGATACCACATTTACTGGCTGTGATTGGGCTTAATCACAACCTCAAGATTTCTCGTCACATTCCGCCAATCGAATGCTGTTGTCGTGCCCGTGAACATGTCCACGAGTTGCTTTATCGCTCACTACTTCCCGCCCGCATCCGGTCTCGGGGCGGGCTTACTTATTCCCGACAGAGTCGGCATGACATCATTATCACCGGTTATCCCGACATTTCTACCTAAGGCATCAATAACTAGACAAGCACTCTATTCAATTGGGGACAACTTAAGGCATAAATCGAACCAATATCGGTGATTACTATGTACCTGTCACATCGCGCACTTAGTTAGATTTCTAAAAACTCATCATCTCGTATCCACACCCAAAACACAGTCAGCCTCCCACACCCCTGCCGCTACATCCTAGGTCTGCACAATTCTGAAGCACTACTGCTGCTTCTTCACGCTACCGTTGGTAGGCTGTGCCTGAATAATCCCAGCTCCAATCTTTGCTGACTCCGCCCAGCCCCGCTGATGCATCCAGAAACGGGTTGCCGGATCGGCGCCATGCAAGGACGCACGCCGAGCATCATCTTCGAGAGACGTGCGTGAGATATCAATTGGTTGGGTCATGGACGTAATATCGTCCTCGTCCTTGTCATCATCCACCTCCGCATTGGTTGTCGACTCAAGATAGCGCTTGCGCATAAGGTAACGCTCAGCGCGCTCCTTACGGGAGTTGGGAGGCTCAATCCTGGCCATACCAACCCGCACAGCGTACCGCACAATCAGATACAGGTGTTCCGAGAAGAAGATTGTCAAAAGCAGAGCCCAGCCTTTAATATCTGTCGGCTCGCCGTTCGGCCCGTGCTGTGCGTTACCACTGAACATGTAGACCAACGAAGCGCTGGTGATACTTCCGACCCAGGAGAGGAATCCGAGGCTATCGAGCCAGGGTCCAATCGTGTCAGTCCGCAACGGCACAGGTCTGCGGAACTCCATACAGATCTTAAAGAAGTCCGATCGCAACTCAACCCAGTTGTTCACAAAGAACGAGAGGGGAACAAGCGGCCATGTGGGTGAGAAAAGGGCCAAGTATCCAAATTGAATACACATCTCACGTAGATCATCGGTCACATCGTACTCGGAAAGCTCAAGCTCGTTACGCACACGCGTGAGGAACTGCACTTCCTCGGCCGGATCATCGAAGGACACGACGGGTCTTTCGGGCGATTCTTTGTCGCCATTTCGGTCCATCTTACCATTGCGCTCCTTGTTGTATTTTTTATATTTGCGCAGTGCATGCTGTTTGATATAGGGCACAATAGTCTCCATGGCAAAGCCAACGATCTGGGCAGTGACAGTGAAGTAAATAACCTGGTTTCGCAGGCGAGCTGGGTCAATCTGGAAATGCGATTGCTTTGAGACGGCATGTTCCTTCGACACAAAAGGCCGAACTGTCAAGCGGAAGACATCGAGGTAGGGGACAATTAGGCTAGCAAATGGCACGTAGACGAAGGCCGTCAGGAAAATTGGCATATAAGACGTGATGAAGTTGATAACAAAGACCTTCTGGGTCAATGCAGCATCGTACGCATCATTTGTCTCATGGTTCTCGTAGTCATTAAGCTTCGTTGCAATAGACGTCAAAATAGCGCTCATGGTTGGCACAAGCGCTGATACAAGGATGGTCGGGATGAAAATCTGAAGGGTAAGCTTTAGTAGCAGGGGATAGAAAGGATCACCATACCAAATATGTTTTCAAAGGACCATTGTAGAGCTCCGAGATGAAGATCTCAATAGCAAAGCAGGTCGCAATGATAGCACCCAAAGCAATTGCCGCAACCAAGGCAAATGGGATTTGAAGTAGCTGCCGTTGCATGCGCTTAGTTGCCGGAAAGACACCGCGCATCTCACCAGTACCCTCATCGCAGACCTCCTTTTCTGCCTTGAACTCTCGTCGCTTGGTCCGAACAGCTGAGACGTTCTTGGTCTGCCACCTGCAGCTCAAATCAACCTCTTGGCGCTTCCAGTATTCCACAAAGATGATACACCAAAGACAATTGACGATAGTATAAATAATCGAATATCCGCCAAGCAGGAACCAACAGGAGAATCCAAAAACAGCCGGGAAGATCAAAAATCGGAAGTACGACTGCAGGAACGCGAAGTAAAATCCAACCTGCCATCGATGTTAGCCAAGCCAAAGAACGATAACCACTTGCTCCACTTACACTTTCTCCAAACTTATTCCGGATCTGATCCAAGTCGTCATCAGAGAGGAAAGTCTTTGAGCTCCAGTCTCTTATCCACTTTTTATTTGTATCAACATCATGAAGGGGGAATATAGCAGTGACGTTCTTCCATTCGCCATGGTTGGGGGTGATAGCGGCACCGCCCTCTTCCTCGGGAAGTGTAATCATCTGGTTGATCACCCGCAAGCGCTCAGCCTCGGTCTGGGGTTCGGTCGAGTTGGAAGGTGTGGGCTCAGCATTACGAATGCCATATAGCCAGTCGCGTACTCTGTGGAAATACAAATTCAAGATTAGCACATTGACTTAGAACCATCACCCATCGTCACTCACCGCGACCGATAGACCGCCCGTTTCAGCCGCTTTTCCGAAGCTTTCACAAAGACGAGCAAAGACGACTCATCGCCTTGGCGAACCTCAACCTGTAGACCAACTTGGGCTAGTGCTTGGAGCAATTTTTCTAGCTGCTCAATTGCCTGCGATCGGTCTGCTATTGTTAGAATGTGTCACCCCGCCACACCCTAGAGCTTTATCTTACTCACCTACATCTCCGAAGCTGTAACGGATGACATAGTCCACATGGAGATTATACTCCTGAACATTATCTGGAATTGTCGCCATCACTGGGGAAGTTGAAAGAAGAAAGAAAGTGGAACAGGGCAAATCGAGGTGATCTGCGGGTCAATGCCGTCACCTGGCGCTAAAGGCTTAGGGGCGATGCTGCATTACGACGCAACTTGATGCTTGTTTAATATCCAATTACATTAGTTGTGTGGGATTGAGAATCTTGTATTAGATACGTTTCATTTTATTTTCATTTTCATTCTCAAAAATATGACATTGGGCCATTTATAGCTATGATCATAGATATTTGCTAAAACGTACATGTATACCTAAGCAGTCCACTTTCGCCGTCAATCTGTAAGGAGCTCTACAATGTAAATAAATCACTCTGAAGTGATCGTCCCCAATACCCTTGGTAGTAATATACAGAAAACAATACCCCAATCCTATCCCACCCAACACCAACCCATGCATTCCTCTACGCACCTTCCGCCAAACGAGTCAACGCATCCCCCTCAACCATCATCTTCATCCATTCGTCCATACCGCGCGCACCAACCTGCTGATAGAACCTAATACTAGGCTCATTCCAGGTGAGCACACTCCACTCCAACCGCCGGCCCGACACCTCAAGCACCTGCTTAGCAAGGTACTTGAGCAACTTGAAGCCGTACCCATGACCCCGTGCGCTAGGCTGCACATACAGATCCTCAAGGTAGATACCAGGGGCAGATCTCCAGGTTGAGTAGTTGTAGAAGTACAGGGCCATTCCGACGGGGATTGGGTTCGGAGTGTCAGCGGTGGGCGGCGGGGTAATGAGAGCTGTGTAGACGGCACCGCGCTTGGGCGGGGTATCGGGGAAGGAGAGAGTTGCTAGGAGAGATTCTTCGGTGGCTTCGACTTCATGAAGGGCTTTTTCATAGTCGGCTAGTTCGCAGATAAATTGGAGGATGAGGGGGACATCTACCTGGTGTTAGTTGTCTGTGCTACGCGCTCAGAAGCTTCGAAGGTCAATGCACTTACCCTCGGGGGTCGCGAGACGAATGGTGGGTTGGTCAACCGCAGTATTGGAGAGAGGACGCAGATAATCCATGATGAATTTTCAGTCCTTAGAGATCTTTTTTTTTCTCCGAGACTTTCGTACTTGCTAGTATATGCGCTCCTCTTTCTTTGGCCAAGCTTCGCGATAACCCCAGGACTTTACTATCCCGGATTAGGCAATATTACCGATTCTTTTTAGATGTGACATTCAACTTTAGTTGTCACGGATTTTCAACTTTCTACGACGGAACGCTATATTGATTCCTTGACAGTCAGAAGATACGTTGGTAGAAGAAGATATTATTATCTCTACAGAATGATATTGTACAGAGCAAAGGACTTGGATATGCAATCCACGCCCATGGGTATAAACGCCAATTATTTGGACATGATGGCCGACATCCACTTTTGCTCATCGGTTCTATGCCGGTTAGTGGTCATTGCTAAAGAGAAGGTTCAGTAGGAAACTTACCGATCGAAATGGAGCAGCATTCCCAGAACGGGGATCAACTGCTTCTGATAGTTTTTATCCTTCTGTTCCAAAAATTGGAGAAGGACATTTTTCAAGTACATGTAATCAATAGATGCATTGCTGGGTGGGCCGAGAGGAGTCTCGCTCTTGCTCGGAGATACGACTGGCCGACGAGAGCCAGAATCCATAGATGACCGCGAGGACTGTCGACCGGTCGGGGAGCCACGTAGGCGGACGTCCTCTCCGAGTGTCTTGTGGGATCTTCGAAGCTTCTCCAGCCGGTTGTTTGTCTCTTCCACTGAGCGACGAAGTTCTGCCTTGTCCTTCTCGAGATCACGAACTTGCTTCTCACTTTCATCGAGAGCATCGCGTAGACCAGCCATGGCCTGCCGAACCTCGGTCACTTCCTGCGATGACTTTTCAGATACTGACTCAAGCTCGTCACGACGGCGGCGCCAGTCCTTTTGAGACTGTTCAAGCTCCTCCTTGTCCTGCTCTGCCGTGCGCAGAGCACGCTCAGCTTCACGAACCTTGCCCTTGAGTTCTTCCATCTCGCGAGCACGGCGACGACCTTGGGTGCTGGCCTCATCTTCGGCACGGTCTCGTTCTTCGATAGCAGCCTCCATACGTTCCTTAAAGTCTCGCACCTTAGACTCCGAACGACCCTCAATGTCATTGAGCAGACGGCGCATGGTCTCGCCTTCGCGGGTTCGCTCGCTCAGCAGACGGTGCGCGTCAGCCAATTCTTCATCCAAGCTCTCGCATCGCTCACGGGCCTCCTTCATTTGCATTGCAACTTCCGTGGTCTGGTCTCGCATACTGTTTAACAGGCTCTGGGCGCTGCTGTGCTGAGCTGTCTTTAGCTGGATCTCATCTCGGAGGCTTGCGAGTTCTTTGTTCAACTGGGAAATCTGTTCGTCCATCTCTCGCATCTTAGCGCGGGTACTCTTCAAACCGTCTTGTGCCTTGGAGAGGTCGCCTGCAGTTTTGTCTCTGGCATTGATGGCATCTTGCTTTTTGCTCTCGGCAGAGCGCAGGTTAGATTGAGTTACACTAAGGCTCTCCTCGGCCTTCAATCGGCTGTCGGTCTCCTGTCGGATCTTCTTATTGAGGGTACCCACTTCTGCGTCACGCTCTGAGATCTTCGACTTGAAAGTCTTCAGCTCAGCACGCAGATCCTCATGCTTGCCCTCAAGGGCCTTCAAGTCGGAATTCTTGCTGGTGAGGGTTTCTTTTAGGGTCTTCAACTCTGAAGACTCAGCACGTAGGCTGCGCAGCTCGGGCTGGACCTTCTGAAGAGTTTCACGGAGGTCTGTAAGGTCTTTGAATCGAGTGGCAGCCAGCTGCTGGGCGGCGGAAAGATCTGTCTCCAGGGTAGCAGAGCGGACCTTGAGGTTATCGAATTCCTCTTTGAGTGAGGCGTGCACCTTCTCCGAGTCAGCTGAGGTCGAAGCGTTGCTGGCACGGAGTTCCGCCAATTCCTTCTCGAGCTTGCTGACAGTTTCTTCGAGTGAAGTCTTTTCTGCTGAAAGCTCCTTAATCTTGTCCTTGGCTGCCACATGCTCCTGGCCGATGTTGACAAGGTCATCGCGCAGGGACTCAATCTCCTCCTTCAAATTGTCCTCGCCTTTCAGCTTAGAACTGAGACGGTCAATGGCTGCCTCCTTTTCGGACAATTCCTGGGTGAGGGATTCAATCTTTTGCTTGAGTTCATCCAGCTCTTTGGTAGCTGGGGCAGGCGCCTCTGCGGGCGATTGCTCTGCAGGAGCTGCAGGAGCTGCATCAGCTGCATCAGCCGGCTTAGCAGGTTCCTCCGCTTTCCCACCCTTCTTCTTCTTCTTGTTCTTCTTCTTCCCTCCACTGCCGCCACCACCAGTAGCTTGAGCAGGCTGTGTCTCTCCTTCGGTGGGGGCAGGAGCAGGAGCAGGGGCAGTAGAAGTGGGCTCATCCCTGGCATCCTTGGCCGGCGCCAGGGTCTTAACAACCTCATTGAAGTCGGCAAGCTCTCCAGCGAAGACTTTCTCCCTAGCAGACACCCACGCCGTGTTCTCTTTCAAGTTCTCATCCACAAACTCAAAAATGTCTTGTAGTTTGGCAGAATGCTCGCACCTCTCGTCGACCTCAGTCTTCAGTTCCAAAACGGTAGATTCGGTGGCCTTAAGCTGAGATCGGAGACCGTCAACTAAGCCCTGAAGCACAACGAGCTTTTTCTCGTCGGATTTCTTTTCCTCCTTGGTCGTCTCCAACTCAGCAGCGAGGTCCGAATCAGGCTCAGTTCTTTCGGAGGCCTGTTTCTGAAGCTTTTCAATTTCCTCACTCTTCTCCTTAAGCTGCGACTTAAGCTTCTCAACCTCGGATGTGGTTGATTTGAGAGAGGATTCTACAGTTGCTAGCTTCGCCTTCAGGTCATCGACATCAGCCTTCTTAGAGGTTTGCAGAATTTCAATCTCAGCATCAAGATTGTCCTTGGTTTCGCGCAGTTCGACGAGCTCCCGGGTGGCTGTCTCCAGGTTCTGTACCATGCCTTCAGTCGACTCGCGGGTGACAGACATATCGCGCTTGAGTTTCTCGACTTCGGTTTTAAGGTTCTCAACCTCTTCTTGCTTCTCCTTAAGTTCGCCTTCCAAGCGGGGAACTTCATTCTCAAACGAAAAGAACTCTTCGCTGGCCTGTTCCCCGGTGCCGTCTGTCCCCTTGGTTGTCTCAGTCTGGGGTTTCTCCTTTTTAAGACCAGCAACCTCGTCCAAAGCCTCTTTGGTAGCCTGCTGCGCTGCTTCGAACTTCTTTCTGAAATCTTCTCTTTCTTCGGTGACGCGCTTCAGCTCTTCCATGACCATGTCGCTTTTCAAGGCTGATTGGTTGAGATATTCCGTGAAGGCTTTGGGTTCGCCGATCGAGGTGAGCGGGGTGTTCTCGCGCAAAGCAGCTTCAAAGGGTTCAATGGATAGGACACGGGAGTGGGCGGTGCGGTAGGCCTTGAGTAATTCTAAGATGCTCAGTTAGTCTTGTTACAGTCTGGTTAGGCAGATGCATACCATGGTATCGGGACTCCAGCTTATCAAGTCGTCGGAGTTTCGCGCGAACATCAGGTGGAAGCACGGCCGGAGTCTCCTGCCCTGTCTTGTTCTCGGGCGTCTCCGCCGGGTTGCCTTCAACCATCTCGCTCTCTCCCTCGTTAGAGGCGCTTACTTCCGAAGCAGCCTCTGGTGTATCTGCTTGGGGAGTACCGGACCTGCTGGATTCATCGTCGCCGATGGTGAATTCGGCCTCAAACTCCTTAGGGTCGGGCCCTCGAATGGGGGTGCCAGTGTTGCGTCGCGGGCGGGACCGCCGACTTGGGGACTGGTTGCGCCCAGGCGGACGGCGAGCGGAGTTGGAGCGTTCGATGTTATCTTGGGCGGACTTTTGACGTGCTTGTTCCTCTGCAATGCGAGAGTCGATGGCGTCGCGGAGCCGCTGCGATGGGTGTTAGTTAGGAAGGCGCATCATCCAAAGGGCGAATAGGTACCTGAAACATTGCCGCGGTTCTAAGAACCCAGACGACGATAGAAAGTAGAAACTCAAGACCACTGGCAAGGGTGTTTACCAAAAACAAAAAGAATAGCAGTGGGCCGCAAAGGGAAGTGAGGGGGAGCATTGGTTTCCAAGGTTGGAAGTGTGGCCAAGGCGGAATGCCATGTGGAAGGTCAGCTTCGGCTGTTCTCTTTATGTTGGGAGACTTGAATCAATGGGGCCATTATATTTTTATTGACTATTCTTTCTCAGTGTATAATTAGATCTAGTGTATTTTATTTAGCTTGTTATTCTTGTTATTCTTGGTATTCAATTTAGCCTTTAACTTGAATCTAGTCTATTAAATTGCAACGTTGCATATATATTTGCGGAACCTACCTGAAAGGATTCTTAAGAACACCCTAAATGGAGGTTCTACATTTCTAAGATTTATATATCTGAAGGAGGAATCTTTATCGCCTAGATTTGCTTTTATTTTAATTATTAATATCTATCAAATTGAAGTTGTGTTGCTACGTGTACTACACAGCGTATAAGATTGTAAACAATTACATCACTGTGGATTGGGCCTGCTATAACCGGGATATTTCGGTACAATCTTAGCATCATAGGATCATGGAATTATAAAATAAATTATAAGAATTGAAAACTAGTGTGAATGTAGAATAATAAAATAAATATTGTAAATATTATAAACATTATGATGATAGTTGGCATACGTGACAATTTTACTCCGCCTCAGTTGCAGGTGACTGGGAACTAATCCATCTCCTCACACTTCTCTATCCCACACCTATTCCACCTACAACACACAACATACACACCTCCCAGTGATGCTTCCAATCTTTAGGCCTAACGGGCCCACGGTTGGGTTCACCTCTGCATTGATCTAAGTCAATCCGAGTTAGTCTCAACCTTAGACCTGGAACGCAAAGCGGAGCTCTCCAATCTTGCATGTGCCCAGGTGGTTAACATGGCTGGCCTTGCCCCATCCCTCGCCCTCAGTCTAACGGCTCCAACTTCAACTTCTATTAATCCCCTCGCTTCCAGCGCCTATTTCTCCCAAT